GGTCGCCAGCATAATAGAAATTAGTGCGCGCATCGCGCGCTCTTGGAGCATGTGGGTGACATGACTGGTACTTGCTCCTTGAGAAACGAATGACAAAAGAAGCGAGTGACTGGAGTAAGTAGAAAGAATATGCTATCATGATGTCGAGTTGGTATATATGGTGTTGCAAGTAAGGGAGGGTGGCGAACATCGCAACATGGCAAGGGAGGAATGAATTCACCGAAATGGCTTGGACGCAATCCGGCTAGGTGGGCAATAATTTTGCATGAAAGTGTTGAGTGTTGCAGAAGGGCGATGGAGGATGGCAGGGTGGTCGTGCCACAATCGACGCGATGTTTGCATTCCTAGGGATAAGATGGCCGGACGCGAGCATTCCCATTCCACGTTGGAGACTCATGTGAGCCACATGCCTAATAGCTGCCGCTATCGTTTCAGAGATAAGGTGCCGCAATGGCCTGATTCAAGATGGTTGGCAAGCTTTGTGAAGTGCAATGCGCGCTGGTGAGGCGCGCCGCAAAGCGTATCCTAGAGGTAGGTCCCTTTGTAGACGCGACTCAAATCTTTTGCCACAGGAGCGAATGAGATCAGGTCTCGGCATTGGGGTCCGCTTACACCAGTTGCTCACTTCCCGCATGCACGGTAATCGAGACGCTAGCTATCTTGAGGATGCCTTGCAGAGGACTAGGCTAGTCACACTTAGATCGCTCATATGCACAGGGACCATATTACCTATTACAGCTTGCATTAATCAAGCGACAGGCGACGCCTGACACAGCGTTCACAGCGACCTGGCCAGACTACAACGTGCTGCCGAGGTCCATGATCCCGCTACAAACTGACTTGGTCGCATCCGCTGCTCGTCCATCGAGTCATTTTCGACATCCAGAACACAGCGAGCATAATCTCGCACGACATGTCGAGTGGTATCATCCTTGTCCCAACGTCATTCCAAAATGCAGATCCTTACGCCGTTCCTCATCAAACCATACAACGATATTCATCAATTCTTTCTGTGCCACCTAGTGCTAGGATGAGCAGCTTGCGACTTTCATCAAATCTCCTTCAACTTCCTGTACTCCACGATTTCGAACCTCGTTGGGCGGCCCTCAGGTCCATTGCCGTATCTTATTTTCTCTTGGCCAGGACACCGCTCCAGAGTGAAAAGGTGGGTCTGTTTCTCCTTGTCGACCAGCTTGTAGCTCTTCGCCGTGTAAAGTCCATCGTAGCGTAGGCCGATCTCAGGACGATACTTGTTTTTCGTTGAGAGATGATGTGATCGAATGACCCGAATCACGTTTCCAAGAGTGCAGGAGGTGATCATCTGCTGCGTAGCCTCAGTTGGGGTAGAATTCTTGCCTTCGGTTCCGCTGTACACGATTGTGTCCCCATCATCTCTGTCGTCGTACCCTCCACCGCCTGAAAGCACGATGCTGTAAGTCCCTTTCTCTTTCTCGCCAAAGATCCCTCCTTGAGAGCTACCGTGTGCTCCATCGCGTACGGTGCAAAGCTGACTTGGCCAGCATTGACCTAGTACTAGGCCATTGTGACCATAGCGTTTAGCATTCGGCGGGTGCTTGTTCCTGTATATCGGGCACAGTCTGTCACTGCCCCGATTTGGGCCCTTGACGGCGGTGATACCACGCAGAACGTCGTGCTCAAAATCTGCTCTCATCCACCTCAAGTACAGCTGGTAGGCGTCGGCCTGGAGGTCCCAGGGAAACCCAGCATGTTCCCCAAAGATGCGAGGAAGCCCATTCTCAACATTCAGGATGCGAGCTGTCCTCACCTCCCATTTATTGATTACCGCGAATTCTGCCTTGTGAACATGGTCACGAAGCTCATTGAAGTAGTCCGTGAGCTTCTTCCGATGAACTCGCTTATCGGGCTGCATTTGCTCTTCGCATCGCCCAATACATGTTCTTGAGAGACTCTAGTGCTGTAAGAGATGGGGAGCGCTTCTTGGCCAACTCTTTCATGTTGAAGTTTGAAGGCTTGATTTCAACGTGCCAATTGGGTAGAGATAGGACAGGGTAATTTTCCGTCTGCTCAACAAATAGCGAAGGTGTCTGTTCCATCGGGCCTGTGCTTCGTGCGGCCGCTTCTCGTGCAGTGCCAGTCTCTGAGGAATCTGCAGCAATTCTAGGTAAGGATCGACTCTTCATTCCAGCTGCTGCAGGATGTATGGAGATGTTTTTCAGGTTCTGCTTGGCCTTGTCTTTCTTCGTCTTCCGTTCCTTTGGGGTCTTGGCTGTGGGGTTGAGCTTCTTCGTCTTCGGTGCACTCTCGATTTGTTCACGCAGGTGCATAGCGTCTGTTTGTAGCTCCGGACGACTCGGTTCTAAGGGTGACATAGCGTCGTCGGACCAAGGACCACTGCCTGGCGTGGAGGCATCAACATCTTGGGCAGAGCTCGTTGCGTCTTCCATATGCACGTCTTCCTCAGACGACGAAATATTGTCTGGCTCCGGGCGGCTTGTCGCATCCTTCATCTGAACATCGGCCTCTAGTTTGGATGCCGGCTCTTCGTGTGCCGATGTGTCTATTACATCGAGGTGTCCAGCTGAGTCTTGGATTGTTGTTGTCCCTTTCGAGACCACCCTCATCAGCCCAAGTCCCAAGCTCCTCAGGTAAGCTTCGGCATCAACGCCCATCCTGGTTGCATGCTCGACGTTCTTCCGGTGAAACTCTTCGGGATTGTTCCGCGCCTCTTGGAATCGCTGATGGACTAACTCCGCAGGATAAAAGTGCTGTGCACCATTGGCTTGTGGCAGCTGCAGCAGACGAGGTGGGGAGGCAGGTGAGTCCTGATGATCCGGTTCTGAGCCCATGTTGATGCGACTTTGGAGATCTCGCAGCTCAGTCGCATCAACCACTCGCTTTTTATCTTTCGTGGATGTTGATTGTTGCGAATCTTGCAACGCGAGCAAGTTACGCCGGCTCCGTCCAAGGGACGACTGCAACCAGAATGTGCTCTTGGCCGTCCGGTATAGCAAGAGGGTTGACTTGAAAAAAGTAGGACTATGGTACGATATCGCGCATATCAGGTGTGCTGGTGAGGGTAGTTGATTAGCCGAGTATGTATGGAATTCGGTTTTGAAGGTGAGTTACCATCAAGCTCCTCGTGTGAGAGTGAGCTAGACCGCGGCCACGTAGCTGCAGCGGGTTGAGCTTGTTGTATGGCGTTTGCTCGGCACGACGTGTCAGTTGCGCCGACTTGCGTAGTTCAAGTGAACAATTTCACAATTGCGCCTTGACACCGTGCAATCGTTCAACTTTGGTATAATTGAAGTGTAAAGTGAAGCAAAGTAAAGTTGATGTGAAGCTAATTCGGGGTTAATGTATGTGCTTCGGCGTTTGCTCGTAGGGTGGAGATGTGGGGTCGAAGTGCGCCCGGCCGCTAGCGTGAACGCGCTGTCACGTGAAGACGAGACCTGTGAGCTTAATGGCACCATTTCAAGACACGTACATATGCGCCTGTTTGCTTGATGAAGCAAGGCTTTGGATTCATAAACGGCGGACGCGGTGAGACACAGTAGATGGTAGTAAATTTCGTTCAATCGTAGTATCGTATCTATATGCACATGGGTATGTCTAATGCACCAAACCGCTATGCCAAACGCCAGCACCAAGGGACAAGTACAGTCTTCAAACGCTCATCGCTCCTTATCGTCCACCACCTGACCCAGTGCCTCACCCTCGAGCATTGCATCTCCAGGTCCCGAACCAACTTTGCCGCTTCCTACTCGTTCCATGGGCGTACCGACAAGACTCTTGCCCTCGACGCGATCAAGCCCAGAAAGATCCAAGCCACCTTCGATGTCCGCACTCAGATTTACCCAGTCGCGTACACTTTCCTTAGTTCGACTCAGAATCATGGTGTCCTGAGCTAGGCTCTTGTCCTTTGCTTGAGATTCGTCAATCTCTAGGTCTTGTGGGCTGGTGTTTGCTACTCGAATGCCGTTTTCTCGCATGACCTGCAGGATAGCGCGTGTATTGAGCCTCAGAACGCGATCTGGTTCTTTCGCGCCGAAGATCTTGGTAGTGACCCATGGAAACAGGACACCAAAATCGCTTTGCGAAAGATGCGCGGATGAGATCGGGTAGAAGATGTGCGGACCAGGCTGATTGGGGTGCTTAGACTTCGCATTGATAGGCTTGGCGAGGATGCGCTTGACTTCGTTGAAGTTCGATTTCCAGTTGAAGAAGCCCTCACTCAGGATCGCAAGCAGGTTCTTGCCACCAGTCGGAGCATCGTACGATGGCATTGGCTGCGATCGAAGCCATGCAGTATCTGGGCTCTGGATTGGCAGCGTCCAGAGGTCGAGAAGTACGACAGGATTTGCGGGTGTTACTTGGCGAACAATGCTGGAATCCGCAGCTGGTGTGAAGAGTGGCTTAAATGCCGGTATGCTCTGTGCTGGTCGATAATACACTGACTTCACGAATTGGATCATGGTGCATGCGCCGAACGAATGACCAGCAAAACTGATCGCTCCTGGTTCATGCACATTGAGAGTGTTAGAAAACATGCTGAGCAGATCTTTGTCGGCCTTCTTTGGCTGATCCAGCGCCACATTCTGGAGTTTGCGCCCTTCATCGATCTTGATCAATGCATCGTGTATGTATCCAAGCTCTGCCAGCCGTATACGCAATTGCTTGTCACGAGCTTCGTAAACTTCTGTGCTCGGTTTGTGGGCAATCTTCTCGTATTCCACGCGCTGTACTTTCTCTTTTCCATTTGGTACGTTGTGAATAGCCAACGGCGCGCTGCCATCCCGGTGTTCAGGTGCAACAACCACAACTCCGTGGCTAGCAAGAGATCCACAAATATGCGAGTATGCATTTCTTGAACCTCCCAGACCGTGCGAAAATATCATGACCGGCCATCGATTTGACTTTGTAGGTGCTTCGAGAAGATTGGCGTTCTGGTGTACTGGCATCGAGACGTAGTACAATAGTTGCGGAATCAATCTGTGTATTTCGTTAGCGAAGATTATTGACCAGCTGCCTGGATTTCATGCTTACGAGAACACGCCTGCAAATGCGCTGCTGGCGCCCAAGAATCTAGCATAAGCACTAATGTATTCTCGTTGTGGGCTGGGTATCCATCTGACGCCCCTTTCATTGCTTTCTTGCCTCGCCGGATAGAAGATCCTGAACGCGACAGTAGGAAGTTCTGCGCTTCCAGAATCGGTGCTTGGACTCTCCAATTCGCTTGTGGGTACCTCTATATCCACTGAACCAACTTTGTACGGTCCAGTATGCGCCGGGAAAGCGGGTGTAGGATTAATGCGATTGAGCCAGGACATGTTGGCGGCTGTGACAGGGCGCGGCTTACGGACGGCCTTTGGGAGGGCGCCGAGAAGGGATCTATAGGCTCGTGAGAAAGACAGGGTGGTTGTAGTGAGTGCAGATTTCCACGGTCAAAAGTAGAAGATGTAGCAGCAAAAGTATGTATTGTGAAGGGAAAGATTTCTAGAGTGGAAGAGAGAAATTTGCGGCGCAAAGCTATGCGCGGAAGCAACAGGGGATATTAGAAACGAAGACATTGTGGTGACGCAAATGCTAAATGCTTATTGTATGCGCTAATGCCAGGGCAATCCCGGAGCACGCGACACTGTGAAAACCTGGCGGCCAGTGGCGTCGCAAGTGGTGAGAAGAAGTACCGAGGTGTCGGACGCGTTTCGGCGGACCGTGGGTGCTTTCGTACGAATTCAACGTTGATTGGCATGATGTAGCGTCTACTACGCTCTGTAGTGTTGATGGGCGAGAGCCGATTCTATCCTTATACAAACAGAACGTCGTAAATGCTGAGATGAGTTGGTCGCGTGTCAAAGCCATGATGACGAAATGTCAAAATTCGAAGATTGCGCTAAGTTCGGGCCGAAGCATGTGATATGCCATTGATCGGAACATCGGGTTTTGGAACGGCTAGAATCCTGTGTGCTTTTTGGAAGTCTTATTACAAAATGTATTAGAATATAGCTCTCGTAACAACGAGCCGAATATGGAATCATTGCAATATTCACACCAATTCAGCAACATCCGCCTCTTCTCCTGCCACCACTCAACGTGAACACTTCCTGCCAGTCGCCCAAGGCACCTCCACCTTTCTTCCCCCTCTTCCGGTACCTTACACCCTCATCGCCAAACCCACTTTTGATACTTCCCGTGCCGTCATCCCACCCCAGATCGCCATACTGGATCCCGCTCGCTGGGTCGTCCGGATCGATCTCGCCTAGCTCGATCTTTGTCAGGATCATCCGCGCTAGTCTGTTGAACAGCTCTTCCACGTTTTCTCCGTCGAGGGCCGAGACCTCGACCGCTACGGGAATGCCATTTGAACCAGCCCATTGGGACGCTGTTTCTGTTGGTACTTCGCGGCCATCTGGCGCAACAGTATATGACGAATGGAGGTTTGCGTTGAGTGAGTGTGCGCGACTTGATTGCGAGGATGGTGTCGGTGGTGGTAGACCGCTTTCTGAGGATGGTGTGCTGCCATAGCTGCCAAAGTAATCTCGGTCGGAGCTTGCAGGCGGTTGTCCATCTATGACGTCGGCCTTGTTGCCTGCCAGTATGATTGTGATGTCTGGTCCTGCAAGCGCCCGCGCATCGTTCAGGAACGTTTGTAGTTGCTCGAAGCTTCGCCAGCTGCTCACGTCGTATACGAGTATGGCACCAGCCGCACCACGGTAGTAGGACCGTGATACTGAGCGGAAGCGTTCTGTACCGGCTGTGTCCCACAGCTGAAGTTTTATGCGCTTGCGGTTCGAGGAGTTCGCTTTGCGGTCGGCGATGTGGACGATCTTGGTGGAGAATTCGACACCGATGGTCTGTGAGGATAGCGATCTCCCTGCTGCGGTCAGTTCGAAACCTCGTGGAGTAAAGAAATTTCCATACATTCGTTCTTTACGAAGCGATGCAATAGACATGATCTTCATTCATATGTTAGCAAACATACCCAGTCCCTGCTTATCGCGAGCACTCACTTGCCTGCGCCACTGGGTCCTAGGAGTACAATCTTCGCGAGATAATCATACATACTCCCCAGTTCCTGCAAGACATTAGTACACCTCCGAGTCTGCGTCAAGCTTGCATACCTACTCGTGCCGGCATTTCGCTACTCCTCGTGCTCGTGTTTGAGGCTGCGCGGTTCCTCCCCATGATTAATGACGTCGGGTAAGCAGCAACGCAGGGTGTAGATCTTCAGAACTGAGCGGAATATGGTCATACAGTTCCTCCGGGCAATATCTGGGTATTTGAGCGTGGAGCAAGGTTGCGTTGTGCAACGATGCGGTGGAAAGCCTTATCGCAGTGACGCGAACCGCGGCCCTAGCCGCCATGCTGTCAGACCCGCCCGTAGGCGCCGATCTCTCCTAGCTCCATGGAGCAGGCGGTCACATCCTTCACTGCTGACCTCGACACAACACCAAAGTCTTGAAACCAGTTTGCATACGCCGTCGTCTCCCTTCACTGCGCCCTTGTCTGCGCATTGAACAGCACTTCAAGGAGACGTCTATCTACGTAAAGGGCCACGAAAGTATCAACCTGTGTTCAAGCTTTGGCGGTGAAGAGGAAAAGTCTCCCCGCCATGTGACTGCCTACTGACAGGATGGTTTCATTCGGCGCCAGAGAGCTGTGCTCATGAGTCGCTGGTGTCTTCTTCAGCCCAGCTGCTATTTGCATTCGTTAAAACGACTTGATCAAGATATCCAATTGCCTCGATGTGAAGCTCATGACAACGCTCACCTCCCAGCAGCACGCTCAACCAGAGTGAATCTTCCAACTTCTTCGATGACATTGCCACGCAGCTATATGACCGAGGATTCTCGCTAAATATCTCGACCATCCATTGGTCGTTCTTACTATGCTCTACCGCATACAAAAAGCAATTCTCATTCAGTCTCTTCCCCTTCCCGTCACTTCTCTCTCCCCTCAATGAACCCCATGCTCCGGCTCCTTCCCCACCCGCCCCCAAACACTCCTCTCCACCAAACTCACCAACTTGCCCGTCTCCCCATCAACAACCCCAAACATAAAACTCTCAAAGAAACTCTCCACTCCTTCAATTTTAATCGTCCCTGTCATGCGCGCCGCAATTTGTTGTCCATCACGGAGGAATTCTTCCCTACCATACTATTAGCCACACATCCCATCCCTCTCAAACTGATATAGAACTTGGAATGTAGTAAGTGGAATATATGACGTACACTACTGGTTTGTATTCAGAAATCTTGCCTCGCCACTCCTCAATCCCTTTAACATATGCGTCGTACTCCAGCCGCTCGCCATTCATGACATGGTAGAATGTTGGTACCACAGTAGCTTCGGCGTAGGCTTTTGTTTGAGAGGGCGGGCCAGTTAGGCTCCATTCCATCGCCTTTTGGAAGCCGGATTTGGTGGAGGTGTATTCGGACATGCTGGTGTAGGGAAAATGTCTTGGTAAAATGGAGTGGGGTTACACAATGGATTGTTCAGGGCGGGTTTAATAGGTAAAGATGCTTTATGCGGCACAGTATGGGGCGTATTCTTACACACGTGTTGGTCCTGGGGGCGATCGGTTTACCCCACATGGGCTGGATGCGGCTAGGTGGAAGACTAAGGGCAGGGCTTCGGGGACCGAGATACAGACTAAGTGCAACGGAACATGCTGCTGGTATATCTCATGCAAGGCCCATGTGTATGGAGGGCAGGCTGTTTCATTCAATTGTTGCTGTCTGGCAAAGTAGGTCCAAAAGTACCGTCGCGTGAAGCTTTTTTTTAATTAAGAAGTTGTATGAAAGTTGTGTCTATATGGTGTGGACCGTGTGTAAGTCTCCTTTATCCCCAGATACTGCAAAAGACTGAGACTGTTTCTTCTGTTTCAGCAACCGATTTTCCTTGTTGCCTGGGCAAGCAACCCTTATCGTTCGTTGCATGAAGTCCAAGCATCGTCGCTCCCTTCTCCAGGTTGTTCATGCTGTGGTTGTCTTTCATCGCAAGATGCCCAATCTTCATCGCTCTCGTCCCCTTGCTCTTCACACCATGGGTTTTGTCTCAACCTCTCTGCTTCAGAAAGCATTTCAAAGTGGGATGCGGTCGATACCATATTGTCAACATCAATTTTCATCTCGTCCCATGGACGCTCCGGATGATATACCAGTTCGCCCTTCGAGCTCTGGCCATCCTCTTTGTCCGGTATTTTGATGTAGAAGCCATCTCTATTCACCAGCGGAGCACCCTTGTAAGACATGCGATTGAGCAATTGTAAAGGCTTCAAGTCTACTGAATCTCGTGTCAGGCGCATGGAATCTCCGACGTCAGAATCCATATCTGATGCCAACTTGGTACTTGAAAATCTGAAATCCGTTGCATCGTGACGACTTGGGAGCCGAGCAACTTCTGTCCAACTGACACTAAAGATTTCCCATCGGCCGAGGTCGATGGGGATGCCAAGGATCTCAGGTACAATTTGTTTTGCTGTAGAGAGCGGGCTGGCAGTCTTCGCAGATACAAGCGACGCCTTCAGCCCATACCAAGGCTTCGAATTGTTGGGCTGATTGGGGACATGGATGCTTGTTTTCAGACTCGGGATCAACGCCGTCCTTTCGGGATTCGTGCAACGAAGGCTCGGACATCGTCGAGGGGTGGCTGGTTAACAAGCCCGGAACATAGTGGTAGTCGTATTGTACAGTTGTAAGACTTTAATGCCTTGGACACTGCCAAGGCGCAAACGCTGTTTGCTAGCGGGCGGTCTGTGAATGGCTACAAGCAACGTGAATTCGACGTTGCTGTGTTTGAGCACGAGAACCGATAGCCCAGACAAGCCAGCGAGCCTCAAAATCTTCCCTGGTATCGCGACTGGAGTCGTAGTCGCCATGTCTCGAGATCGATCGATCCCGTGCTCGAGTTGCCCGCCGCGAGTGAGACTGAAGCCAAAATGAGGATGGTGATATCTGGATGGAGAAAGCGCGTTTGTGATTCCAGATATCGTGGGGCCAATCCGCTAACAGACGCGAGCTCGCAGTGAAGGAAGGAAGCAGTGATGGCAAACATCGAAAGACAGCAAGTGAAGTGTCTGAAAGCGTTCTTCGATCGTGAATTGCAAAGAACTGTCTGTGCGACGTCGCAGACGTATCGTGCTGTTCCAATCCAGTTCTGATACTGTTACATTCTATGTCAATATCAACTCGCTATCAATGTCTATCCTACACACCGCTTTCCTGTAAGCTGTTCAAGAGCCAACAACCAGACTCTCCTCGCCCTCAGCCTCCTCTTCGTGCCCCAGCGGCTCATCCTTCTCTACCGGCTCTTTCCACCCAGTACCAGCCTGTACGAGCGCTACGATGATAGACAGCGCCACGGCACTCAAAAACAGCACTTTGAATGCGTCTTGATAGGCCCCCACAGCGATAGTATGTTCCTTCCCATTCAGCTTGCTCACAAGCGCTGGACTTCCCAGTAGCTTCCGAATCAGCTCGCCTCGGTGCGTCAAACCCGCATTCGAGAAGCCATCCTTTAATGACTTGTGCAAAACCCGTCCGAAAATTCCTCCTCCGATCGCGGAACCGAAACTGCCGGCAAAGCCACGGAAAGTGGCAAGAAGTGAGATGACGATTGGATGAACGTCGGCGTGCGTGAGGTGGAGAAGGTGGACTAAGGCGTAATTCATCGAAGCGCCCGTGATGAGACCATTCAAGAAGACCATGACAACGTATCCTCCCCAAGGGCTGCTGGATGTGGAGATAAAAGCGAGGACGGCCATTGTTACTGGGAAGAGACCCATTGAGATAACGCTGTGAAGATAGAAGCTTCCGGTACGCTTGATGTGGAAAACACCAGCCAGAAGACCACCGGTGGCGAAGCCCGCATTAGTTGGGATCAGGATAGATCCGGCAACTGCGGGAGCCCATCCTCGAACCGCGATGGCGTACATTGGTGTGTAGAACAAGATGGTCCATCGTGCCATCATAAAGCCAAGTGTGGCGAAGCAAGTGAGGAGAGTGCCTCGAGATTTGAGGACGGATACAGGAATGACAGGATCTGTAGCAATGTGACTCTCATTCAAGATGAAGACGGGCAGAGCGAACGCGGAAAGAATGAGTGGTGTCCAGAGGATCCTCGGTCCAGACAAGCCGAGGAGGAAAAGGATAATGGCTGCGATAAGAAGAAGAATCCCGGAGTAGTCGATACGCCTGAGCTTCTGCCCCAACGACATATCGCTATATTGGTTTTCTTTTGAGTAGTCCGACGGTATTGACAGGAGAAGACTGATTCCGGCAAGCAGACTGATAGGCGACTGTATCCAAAACAATGGCTGCCAGCCTATCTCAGGTTCGAGGGCGCCTGCTATAACGGCTCCCAACGATACGCCGACAGTCATGCCTGTGTTCACAAGTCCAATGTAGAGGCCACGGCGCTTTGGTGATGTCATCTGGATAACGATGATGCTAGCGACGATGAAAATGCCACCACCTCCAGCTCCAGTGAGTGCGCGGCCGACCAGAAACATCCTGAATGAGGTGGAGAATCCGGTGACCAGGGTACCAATGCTGATCAACATGGTTGAAAAAAACATGCAAAGACGACCGCTGAAGACCTGAGACAGGCGACCCATGAGCGGGGCAAGAGATGACATGGCGATTAGATAGGAAGAAGTCAGCCATGTTGCTTGTTCAAAGGCGTCCAGATCCGCAGCTATTGATGATTGTGTCGTGGTGAGGATTGATATGTTGGTTGCTAATTGACGTCAGCATGAGAAGAGGCAACGTTGGTTTGAGGTCCATGGGAGACATCTAGACGTCTCGACGTACCTTGGAGGAATATCAGCAGTCCTATGGATGCTATGATGCAAGATCCTCTCGCTGCTGATATGCCTGTCTCTGCATCGTCCTTTGAGTAAACAGCCCTCACGGAGGTTGAGCGATGGAGTAGCGGTGCTCGCTCCGGCCTGGTATTTTCAATTGCCATGGTGGAGTCAGGGTGGTCTAATGTAGGGGAAAGACGTCGCAAGCAAGCAAGACCAAGGAAAAGAAGAGTTGAAATGGATACGAAGTGCAGTCATGATGATGCTAGTAGGGTGCCTTGTTGGGCGATGACAAATGCGGCAAGATGGCAGGCGCAAGCCCGATGTCTTTCGTCCGCTCTGACGAAGAATCCAAGATAGCTGATATATACTACTCGATGACGAGAAGTGGAGTACGCATAGTAGCATACCTGTAATACAGCAGAAGTCTACCAAACCTTGCGCTGTAGTGGACGGTGCAGCTGCGGCGGTGACGTCAACGCTCATTGGCCCGTCTTGCGGCGCAACTCCAAGCGACGTGGGTAGTGAAAGCTGGCCTGAAGCAGCAAACACACGACAACAGCTTACGCGCAGTCGCGCTCTTGCCTCCTCTACCTGAAATGACGCGATGATCGGTTTCCTTTCGACTTTCTCTTCGACCCAATACTATCCACGATGAGGCCACGACTACAGCGGCTCGTGCCGCTCCTCTTTGGTGAGCATCGGCGCAGCCACGCACGTGAGACTCGGTGACTGACTGCTAGATGGCTAGTTCTTCTCTCATTCTTCATTTGCATTACGACAGCGGAATCCCAAAACGACGACCGAGCACACGCGAGCGAGAAATCATCACGAAGCTATTCGGCTGGCGGCCAAGATGGGGAGCAACCATGGAGGTCAAGATGGGGGAATACCGATGGAGGCGCGAATCCTCACCAGGGAGAGATCGCGTTCAGCGAGGCCATGTCAGTCCTACGCAACATTCAGCCACCAGCAGCGCCATGGTGGAAGTTTGAGAAAAAGTCCGGCATACTCGGGTCGAGCGCATACTACGCCAAGGAGATATTTGTCCTCCTCTTCATGAACGCACCGGCGCAGCAGGACCTGCTGACAAGCAGTTCGCAGCCGAGGAAACTGGGAGAGCCGCTCGCCCAGGCAGTCAGGCTGCTGGAAGAAGCTGCAGGACAGAAGAACCCCGATGCGCTATTCACCCTCGCCGAGATGAACTTCTACGGCAACTTTACGCATCCCCGAAATTACTCCGAGGCCTTCCGCAGGTACCACGAGCTTGCGACACTGAACGGAAACTCGTCGGCACAGCACATGGTGGGGTTCATGTATTCTACCGGTATTGGTGGCGCGGTCAAGCAGGACCAGGCAAGAGCTATGCTGTACCACACTCTGGCTGCCGAGGATGGCAATGTCCGCTCAGAAATGACCATCGCCTACCGACATTCTGCCGGCATCTCCACACCACGAAATTGCGCAGAGGCTGTGCATTTCTACAAATCCGTCGCAAAGAAGGCAATCACATACATTCGCTCAGGACCACCAGGTGGACATTCTACCGTACGAGAATCGTACAAGATTGCTGACGAGGAGGGTGGCGTCTACGGCGAGGGTGCGAGTGCTAGCAGCTCTGGTCAGAATGCCAAGATCGGCAGCGTTCACTCAGATGCATACAGCTCGCTGGAAGACGTGGTCGAGTACATGGATCTCCAGGCCCGGAAAGGCGATGCAAGAGCCAGCTTCAACCTTGCCAAGCTCAACTACGATGGATCTAGAACATCCGAGCGCGACTTGCCGGCAGCAAAGAAAAGGTTCCTTGAACTTGCTCGCATGTACTGGACAAAGGAGGGCAAGATCAGACCGAATGTGCCACCTACTACTGAGAGGCTGGCTGCGAAGGCCGCTGGCTATCTTGGACGTATGTTCCTCCGTGGAGAAGGAATGCCCGAAAGTTACGAAATCGCGAAGACCTGGTTCAAGCGTGGCATTGACCATGGAGACGCGCTATCCCAGTACTCCATGGGCATCATGTATCTGAATGGACTGGGTGTACCTCAGGATGCCGTAAGAGCAGCTGACTTGTTTGCTGCCGCTGCAGATCAGGACCTGGCAGTTGCGCAAGTTAGACTCGGAGCACTGTTCCTCGATCAAGGCGACGTCGCCATCGCGATAAAGTACTTTGAGCTTGCCGCTAGGCACGGACACCTCGAAGCATTCTACTATCTCGCTGAGCTCACCCACAACGGCGTCGGCCGTGACAAGTCCTGCCCCGTTGCAGCTGCTTATTATAAGATCGTCGCTGAGAAAGCCGAGTTCATCTCGACATCGTTCCCAGAAGCCAACGCAGCTTATGCCAGTGGCGATCTCGAAACAGCTCTTGTAGGCTATATGATGGCCGCCGAGCAAGGTTTTGAAATCGGCCAGGCAAACGTCGCATACCTCCTCGACCAGGTCAAGCCGCGCTTCACTCTCTCTTCCATCGTACCTTTCATGAAGAAACAAGCCTCGCTTGCCGGCGACGCCGCTCTAGCTCTGATCTACTGGACCCGCTCCGCCGAGCAAAAAAACGTAGACTCCATGGTCAAAATGGGCGACTACTACCTCCAAGGCCTCGGCACCACCGCCGACAAAGAGAAAGCTGCCCAATGCTACCAAGCTGCCGCAGACACTATGCAGTCTGCCCAAGCAAACTGGAACCTGGGCTGGATGCACGAAAACGGCATCGGAATCGACCAAGACTTCCACCTCGCGAAGAGACACTACGACCTCGCCCTGGAAACTAATCCACGCGAGGCGTATCTCCCAGTCGTCCTGGCGCTATACAAGCTTAGGCTGCGGAGTTGGTGGAATACCATTACGAATGGCAAGATTAAGAGCATTCAGGATGAACCCGGTAAGTCCTGGCCTCTCTTCCTCCCTTCACATAAGCTGTCTCTTTTCTTCTATGCTAATATCCAACGCAGTCCAGAAAAAAGACCTCACACTGACAGAATGGCTCTCGGCCTTTCTCGAAGCCGAACTCGCAGAGTGGGACCTCGACGACGCGTATCCCGATGACGACTATGACGACTACGCCGACGACATCGATTCGGATATCCTGGAGTCGCTGGTCATACTCGCGTTGAGCGGCGCGCTGGCGTTCTTGTTGTACTACCGCACGCAGCGACAAAGGCGCCAGGAGGAAGAGAGGCGCAGGCAGGAGGAGCAGCAGAGACAGTTGGGGCAGCAGCCGCAAGGGGCACAGCAGGGACAGGATAGGGGTATGTTTCCGAATCCAGGGGATCCAGAGTTTCTGAATTGGGTTGCGGGTGGAGTGGGGCATTGATTGAGCATGGTGTTGGGGCATTGTTAGCATGATTCACAGAGGTGGGTAGATAGATGTATGAACAGTTGTACAAAGTTCACTTCTCTGTGTTTCTTTTCCAAGCATAGCATGATTGCTACACAACATGTAGAACTATCGACCTTGGTATCTTCATCAAATGCCATGCCACGTGAACAACGCCCGGTCATTCTTCCATAGACAACCCGGACCCAAGATGTCCAATTTCACCAAAAACGCCAAAGCCCAAAGTCCAGATCCGACCCTGATAACGCCGTGTATGCGAGTGAAGTAACCACGCCCTACTCTTCAGCCTCAGTGTTCCAGATCTCCACCTCCCTGCTCTCAAGCTCTCGCATTCTCTCTTCCTCGAAGATGCTCTCGGTAGGCAGGCCCGTCTTTCCGTAGTTGACGACAGGGCCGATGGTGTTGATCCACTGCTGCCTGCGCTCCATGAGCGTCTTGATCGGCTCGCCAACACCAGGTCTCGTTACAGCCGTGCCTGTGATGGCATGACTACCACCGCCGGCGCCGCCAGGACGCTTATTCTGCTTCTTGCCCTTGCCAATGTTGCGGTTGCGCTTGAGGTAGGCGGCATTGAGCTGGTTGTCGAGGTCGTCTGCGATGGTGTTGTATTCCTGCTGGGCGATGCGCTCTTCGGTGAGGCCGAGGAGGCGCTGTTTGCGCGCGCCGTTGACGATGGACTGTTTGCGGAGTTCTTCTTGGAGGAAGCGCAGACGCTGGGCGACTTCGTCATCGAAGTGGGAGTCGTAGGCGGCGGACTCGGCGTCGGCTTCCGAGATCAGACCGTAGTGCTTCAACTCCATCAGGACGCGGTCCTCGAGGCCGCTGTATTCGGTGCGGCCGTTGGACTGGGCAGACTTCCATGCTGGAGATTGGAAGTCGGGGAGCTGCGTAGCGGCCGGTATCGAGTTGGTGTTTGTGCTGTCTGCAGGTGCACCGGCGCCTTCGTCAATGTCCATCGCATCGTCATTGAGACCGTTTGCACCGTTGGAGCTATTCTGGTTGCCGCGTCCCTCTGGACGTAGAGTACCTAACAGCCGGGCCAGCAGAGGACCAGTAGATACTTGGTCAGTCTCGAGTACATCATCAGTGACGTCCTCAGCTGCACCGCGCGGCACATTAGGTGCTGGTCGTTGGTCATTCGAGTCGATGTGCATGGCGCCATCCTCCTCTGCCCAGATCTCCTTGTAGTGCCGGTTTCCACGTCTCGGGAGCACGAACGGTGCTATCCTATCGCCCCGCTCTTTCAAGAATGCTACATCCTCCTCCGTGAGCGGTCGGATGTAAGGCTCCACATAGTTGGCAAACACAGTGGCATTAACCTGTGTTGCTGGCTTTGCGTTTGAAAAGTCTTTGTTAGGCGGTGAGCCAGCTGTGCGGTCGCGTAGATCAGACGGGGGGAAGTCGGCAACACAGTATATCTCCTTGCGCTCCTCGGCTGACATGCCCGGGGTGACCTCACGAATATGGTATATGGTGGGATCGTCGAATTTGGCGGGGTCTGGGCCGAAGGTCTGGAACTGCGGCACAGCGGGCGCGGGCACAGGCTGGTGTGAGACGTCAGAGCCGGTGGGCGAGGCCGCATCGCCGGCGCCAGCTGCGGAGGGCGGAGCCTGTGATATAGGCGAGGACATGGCGGAAGAATTGTCTGTGGACGAGCTTGTTAGCACCGATCTTGTACGCATGGTTGCAACTCTGCTGTTGCTCGTGTTGTTGTGGCGACAGAACGTTAAAGGCAATTTTATAACCAACCGCTGCGCGGGATCCGTACGGGTGGTGGAGGTGAAATCGGGAAGCTTTTCTCATGGTGAAGACGTACCTTTGTTGACATCTAGACCATCCTGTCTGGTGACGCCATGCGCGCCTGTCGTGGGCGGGTGCTTGCCGTCCTCATCGTGCTTCTTCGCAACCTTTTTCAGCTTCTGTTTGCGCTCGCGGTCTTCCGTGTCCTTGTCCTTTTCCCTTTCCCGTGGCCCTCGATTCTTCCTCATGCCCTGCAACTCCCTCAACACGCTCTCGGAATGCGTGCACCGCGTCTCAACGTTCTTGACCACTGTCGACTCGATCTTATCGCGCATGGCGAGCAGCTTGCTGCCCGATGGTATCGATGTGCTGCTTCCTCCGGCATCCAATATCTCCTCCAGAGTAGTCTCGCATCTTTTTAGGTAGGAGCTGAGGGGCTTGTTGAAGTATGACGAGGACGACGAGGGCTCCGTTGACGCGCGCATATTGGGCAGTGGTGTGGTGTTTCGACTGCGTGGGGTGGCCGATGGCTTTGAGCCGGGCTTCGCCTTGCCCTTGCTGCTCACATTGGAGGGGGCCATTGCGGGTGCTGGTGGTGAGGGCGCGGAATGTTGGGGTATGCGGGGAAGACGCGCCGTGGACGTGGGGAGCAGGCGGCCTCAGGTTCCGCGCACGTGACTGCGCACTCGTCGGCTGGGTATGGATGGCGACGTTTCTTCTGCTAGGGTGGCATCGTGGACAGTAGCAGCAGGTGACGGGGCGTGTGCGAGGGTTTGGTGCTGTGAAGGATGGTCCACGATGTCGCATTCGCAGCTGCTGCATCGCCTAGGTAGCTGCGTCCGAGCTCGCCAAGCGCCTCTCACGGACACCCATGCAGTCTGGCAAGACCTTCACTACGTACCGCCTAGTCCCGTGACGACGCGACGCTCTGCGCTGCATCCTGCGCTTGGGCGCATTCGTCGTCAGCTTACTACGAACAATTGCGCGTCGACGCAATTGGACATTCGTAACGTGCAACCGGCGCCAACAAGCTTTGGCTAAGCTTTCCGTGCTCCGGGCATCCATGCATCCGGCAGAGGCGGTTTCCAGCCGCCGTCAACCACCCAGATTTCAGCTCGTGAACACCACTCTTGCTGCCCTCTTGACTGTTCCCCGTTCACTTTCACTCTGCTGCGCGTCGCATTTCCTGTACATGCGCCATTCTCGCTCGACTGATTGATCCAGCATGCGAGGTTGTATCTGCATTCCTGTGGCTCCTGTGTAACCGTCCATTGTCCATTGCGCTTCAACATGAGTACGTCACCACCCCTCGGCCTGTCGCTGCTTGGAACATGCCACTAATCGCTGTGTCGCACAGCTGCCCAACGCATCGGCATCTACACGATTGACTTTCCCGATCCATACACAATCAGCTACGACAACAAAGAATTCGAGACTCTCAATTCCAGCGTCTCCTTGCTACCTACCGCATCGATGGCTAACTTCCAGACTCTCTCCACCAAAGGCGTCGGCCGCTCGGACCCGTACGGCATACTCTACGTCCCCAATCTAAGCTCGGATGGCTGCAAGAGCGAGGAGCTAAAAGTTCACGTGGCTGCGCAATCGCTGAACACGGCTGGCCAACCTTCCACAAGACAAGGACTACGCCTTGATCGCAATCGCCCCTTGGTTTTCTGCGCAATGCACGCTCGAGTACTTTGCCGCCGCGCGCAAGGAGCCGACCAAGGGCATCTTCGTGTACCAGCCCGCGCGAGGCAATGACCAGCCCCCGGTCCTCAACGATCCGTCCTGGAGTCTCAACGATGGTGGGAGCTGGCAGAGCGCAAACACCTTCCCCACATATGCGCTATCTTCCATGACGGGCGACATCATCATGAATCAGATGGCACAGTACTCGGGCAATGTGACCAGTGTTCCACATGGCGACGACCTTGCGCAAGAACTCGATCCCAGCGACTATGTTCGTCTGTGGGCTACGGTGGCGACAGAACAAGGTGCTCAGCTTCCGAGCTTGTGGGTTTTCCTTGTCATAGTGCTGGCCATCCTCATCGTCGCAGTCTGTGGCACATCTATCGCAATGCATTTCATCCAGCGGAGGCGGCGCAACAACCTTCAACGGCGCGTGCTCGCTGGTGAAGTCGACCTCGAAGCACTTGGAGTCAAGCGCTTGAACGTATCTCAACAGATCCTCGACAAGCTGCCAGTGTATACATACACTGCCAACACCGCCACCGACCACGAGAAGGCAATCCCGCAGATTCCTCTACCAGCGGCAGATCTCGCTTCGTCGTCTGTAGATGCCGAGACGGGAAACAAAACTTCTCCCCTAGTGCGCCATTCGTCTGCGCCGACAGCAGTGGGTGCTTCAGCATCATCCCTGAACCAGCCGACCTGCGCGATATGTCTGGACGACTTCGAATCTAACACAACACAAGTCCGCGAGCTACCATGCCGTCATATCTTCCATCCCGATTGCATCGATACCTTCCTCCTCCGCAACTCTTCGCTATGCCCGCTGTGCAAGCAAAGTGTGCTACCACCCGGCGCTTGTCCGGTGAAAATCACAAATATGATGGTACGAAGGGAGCGTCATATAAGTCGCATGCGAGCACGTGGCACGCATTCAGCAAATGGACAATCGAGCACTCCTCCAACCCTATCGCAACCTCATACTGCTCCACCAGGACCAATCGGATCGCTAGGGAGACGCATAGGAGGAGCGATGGCAGGTCGCCGTATTTTCAGCGCTCCAGAAAGGATGCGATCTCGACCAGCAGACATTGAGATGGCCAATAATGGCACTGCGCCAACCACGATATCTACCCCAGCAGCCCCAAGTCCACCAAGCGGTGAAACTCCTGCTCCAACAACCACACACACCACTTCAAGATTGCTCGCCAACACAAAATCGCAGAGAGTGGGCGCGCCAGCGTGCGCTACAAATGCTTGGCACCCGCCACGCTCCTGGGACCGATGTGGATGAAGTCGACACTAGGCACAGAAATGGCGGCGGGACTCTTAACAGAGTCTTTCCGTGGCTTTCGATAATATTTCTTAGCCTTTCATGATACCGACGAATAGAGGGTACTGGCGTAATGGCATACATGGCTGGGCTGTTCATATCTTTTCATCGCACATTATCTTTTAGCGCACTGTACATATACCACCGATCACAGTCTCTCTTTTATCGTATATATATATATATATACCACTTGACAATCATTCTATAAGGAATCATAGTATAAATACAGCACTGTCTCTCTGAATATATGCGTAAACTGTGGTATTTGGAGTCATTCACACCTAGCGTTCAAGCTAATACTTTCGTCTGCCAGCTCTTGTTAGACTTCCTGTCCTCCATTCCACCACGAATCATCACCGGCTAACATATTCACCATGTCGGACCTTCCAGATGACCTTGTCATCGCTCTCGCGGCACATCAGGACCAAGGATCCATGGAAGAGGAAGGTCAAGAGCTTTTTATCCGTATCAACACTTTTCAAAAGAGGAAACGCAAAGTCTCAGACCAGTCTTGTGGGCCGGCGAAAGTGACTTTCCCTGACATCCCTCGGCTTTCTCCAGGGATCTGGCACAAGCGTATATATGTGGGACGAGTACAGGTTCTGTCCAAGTTTGGTGTATGCAAATTGCCATCATCGCATGATGCGGAGCAAGGATCAAGATTCTTCAACACCGGAGTCCTTTCCCCTCCAGACAAGATCTGCGCTGAACTATCATGTTCGTTCGGATAAATGTGGTCGGGTAAACATTGGCGCAGAACGCCCTGCAGTAGCCTTGGAAATCATCGCTGCTGAGATATAGGTAGAATGTCTGTTATTCCACTGCGTATGGTGACTGAGAAGGTGCATAGTTTGTGAGGTCCTTGATTGGACCATGTACTAGGTTCGATTTCGAACAATCGTGCGGCTTACGCCTGAGTGCATTCCTGTTGGCGAACAGTTAAGCCAACAGTAATTGAAGGACCTTATTCCGAAGGTGTCCTGGGAGGCAACCGATATTGCAGCTCGCTTTTTACAGATCACAGCCATCTTGCCAAGATCTGCATACTTACGGCGTGGTTCGTAATGGCCTGCTGGGGATATGACCTATTGCTCTCTTTTCTGCACCCAAAAAAACCCCTAGTTGCATCTTCCTCCACTGCCGAAGTTCGGACGCATATACCTTCAAAGTGATTACATTTGCAAAGCCTTCTAAACTCCATCACATTGGCCGTCTCTTCACACCATGGCAGCACTCGAATCCTGCTCCCTACCTTTCCACTTCTCCGACGTTCCAATCGCTCAAGAAGAAACCAGCATCTTCATCAAGTGCCACGATCGGATGTTCTCAAAAGTCACCGTAGTGGATGACAGAGGCCAAGAGCTCTTCGTTGGAGGAGGCGAAGGTCTAATGAAATCCTGGTCCTGGCGCCGCCAGATAAAAGACACCGCCGGGCTGCCGCTATTCGACCTGCGCCACCACGGTTGGGCGATGAAGAATCTGTGGACAGTGGAGAGTCCTGATGGTGGACAGATGGCCGAATTGAGGCATGTTTCTGATGCGAGACGCTCGGATTTGGATATGTTTCTGAAGGGGAAAGAAGGCGGGGAGGATGTGGTGCTAAATGTGCGACAGAAGGATCATAGCGCGATTACGACGCAGGTGTATTTTGGGGATAGATGTGTTGCCGAATTACTGCTGCAGGAGTCGAACGATATAACGGATCTTAGTGGTGTGGACCGGAGTTCTTGGAGAGTGAGGATTGCAGGGGGTGTGGATCCTGCTGTTGTAAGTGCTGAGGGTTCGCGTGGTGGAGTGGACTGAATCTAATCTGTGTGGTAGATTTTGGTCATTGCGCTCTGTCGGGCGGAGATGCATCATATTTGGAGACAGTAAACAGTACTAGATGCTGGGCAGGGCACTGTTAAAACTGGGATGGTGCTAGATTTGGCTGCCCGAGCCTTGTCTCGAGAAGTGGGAAAAAACCATTTTAATGTAAAGGATGCTGCCATTGCTTCTCATTCATGGTCGTGTGTGAACCGCACTTAGTCAGTTTAGCTGTGCGATGAAAGCTTTTCGAGCAGTTGTCCGAGCTTGGCTGCCCAAGGATATCGTCAAAGAGAGGGAGAGGGCAGTTTGCTGACATACAATGCTGCGAATGCTTCTGGATCACGGAGTGTAGTCTGTAATGAAACGAAATTATTCACTTTTCCTCATTTTCCGCTGCAAACTTTTAACCAACTCGTTTTCTTAGAGTCTGAACAGTCATTGCCCCATGATGCTTTTACATATATAACGTTGACCCAAAATGACTTAGAGGAGCTTTCCCCAAATGGGTTTAGTCGCCAGGCATGATCTCAGTGGTCGAATTGTGCTAGTTGATACCGCCCGACTACATGGCGAGCTGTTCCTAGATCTAGCGATGTTTAAAAGTACCCATAGAGCATCGTGTAGCAGACAATTGTATCTGCCCCATTGTTTTGCATATGCTCAATTCGCCATCTCACACACCAGCAGTCACGGTTCCTATCATCATTCGGTAAGATGGATATCCACTTGCGATACTCGGCAAACCACTATTCATGATGCATCTGGTCCGAAGTCTTTTCTTGCCGCGTATCTGCCAATCGAAGATATTGAGCCATTTGAGCGATACGCTCCTGGAGGTTACTACCCAGTCCGAATCGATGAACAATTCGCTTCATGTCGTTATCGCATTGTACACAAACTAGGCTACGGCGCGTCTTCCACCACTTGGTTGGCACTTGATAAGCACTCAACCAATTTCGTTGCGATGAAATTCGCAGTGGCTGAACTTAGACGTCCTTTCGGGAACGCAATCTTGAAAATCTTGCGTGGCACGAATGGACGTTTTCATGACGCGGATGCAGGTATAACCATCATACCAGAGTTATTGGACGAGTTCCAAGTCGAAGGCCCGGACATTCATGGGATTAGGAGAAAACATCACTGCCTTGTCACGACACTAGCAAGAATGAGCATCTCAGAGGCGCGAGACGCATCTTACAATCGGATTTTCCAGCCCTTGGTAGCTCGCGCCATTGCTGCTCAGCTGATTCAAGCCATCGCATTCATGCACTCTCGTGGTGTCGTTCATGCAGGTAGGCAATCAAGCTGGTCATACTAGAGACCTACCACGATTCTGATCACAATTCCAGATCTTCACGAGGCGAACATCCTACTCCGCCTGCCTAATTCGATCGACAACCTTACTCCAGACCAGCTCTATCAAAAGTATGGGCAGCCTGAGCTCGAAGAGATAACACGGCTGGACGGGAAACCTCTGGATCCGTGGGTGCCTACTCATGGCGTTGTAGCAGTCTGGCTTGGAGGCGCCAGCGACACCATTTCGCTCGCCGACTCGCATGTTTTCTTGACCGACTTCAGTGAATCATTTCGGCCAGCGGTGGACGTACATCAGGTTTCCCACACACCCTTTGCATTACGATCTCCAGAGATGCTTTTAGAGCCAAAGTCACATGTCACGTTCGCCGCGGAGATCTGGAGTCTCGCGTGCGCAGTTTTTGCTATCATCGGCCAGCGACCCCTGTTTGATACTTGGTTCCCAACCAGAGACAAAATCCTCGATGAATATGTAGACACATTGGGTTGCTTGCCTAGAGAATGGTGGGAAAGCTGGGTGAACCGCCATGAATGTTTTGATGATCAGCTTGAGAGGGTAGATGGTGCGCCTCGTCGGCTGCTCGAACATCGGCTGGAATATTCTGTCCAGGAGCCACGTAAAGAAGCCGGAATGGCTGAAATGAAGGAGCAAGAGAAGCAAGAATTCCTCGCACTTTTGAGATCTATGCTGTCTTTTGTACCAGAAGATCGACCCTCAGCACAACAGGTCGTTGAATCCAGTTGGATGCAGAAATGGGCTATACCGGCCTTGGAGTTGACCAAAGACATTCAGGTTCTTGACAATACTTCAGCAGCTATGTCCAGAACACAACAATAATTTCGTCTCGACTCGATCTGGTAGCATGCAATTGATTGCTCAAAGTATTGTCAGAACGCAGGTCTGCACCCACTGCGCCAGCATGCCAAAAAGGTAGCAGTGCAGAATAGTGTATATCGTCAGCTAGGTCTGACAAGTATGTTTTGAGATCACAGATCTGAAACAGAAGAACATTGTCTTGCATCGAATAATGTCCGTGGAAACTTTGCGTTCTTTTGAGTGGAAGACGCGCTTTGCATACTGTATTCCAAATGAGCCCCAGCACAAGTCAAGTTCAGAAAGTGTCCGTGTCAAGAAACAAAGTCCTAATCTGGACATCCTTGGGTATCGAGATCTCCATAACCGACGCCAATACATTGCGGCAATGGTTCCTGCTTGATTCCATTACCGCAGGATATCACGGGACCTCCCTTCACCAGAAAGTATCTTCACTGCAATATCTTCGCAGCTGTGGACATGGTGTATCTTCCTAAACGCAAAAGCGGCCAAGGAGGAACTGGAACAAAGTGTGGATACTCAAGTCACTCTGATCTACCGATGAAATACACTGGAAGAAATCAAGAACTCCAGGATGAGATTTGACTGAAATTTAAAAAGAGAGGGCTTGCGGGGTGCCGATAAGGCCAATAGAATGTATGGACAGCAGCGACAGACGAGAGGGGATTACGCATGCACTTGTCGCGGGACAAGAACCTGCAAGCATCGAAAATGGTGGTGCAGCACCGGTCCGACATAACATAATGAAGCAAGTCTCCTGACTGGTGGGTAAAACGCTGGAGTTGTGAGGACTACGGACTTCGGGCGAACGTGAAACAATACCGCCGCTGTTTAGAAAGCAACCTGCGATTGGGTTGAACCTGAGTTACAGCGCACTACTTTCTGGTGCTTGTTTGCACACGTGTTGCGATTTATCGGTCCTGTATTGCGATGCTGCCTTGGCATCAGTGCTGCGCTGTCAGTGCTCGTGCTTCTCTTGCGCTTCTAGATCAGCTTCTCAAACTATGGCTCCACAAGCAAGCTGTTGGATCATGAGCTTTGTCGATACTGAGCCGGTATGATGAGTACCCGAGGCTTGTACGTAACAGATGAGGAGCAAAGATAGCCTTGAAACCGAGGTTTGTCGCAAGCCTGTAGCTTGCATAGATGGCAAGCCGTTTTCAATATTTGTGGGACCTGTTCTTGTCGATCACTAGTCCTCATGTCTACCAATATCCTGATATAAATCGATGTGAGGACTATCCAGGGACAATGCTCCGATGAACTAGACCTAAATGCAGAACTATCCACCTCGACTACGCTAGAAGAATGACAAAAGAGATTGTGAGAACTACTCACGTTCCCTTTTACAGCCCCCACATTCGGTCCGACCCCTCCACAGATCTCTACACGTGCGCCGGTACCTGACAGCCGGCTAGCCTAACCGAGAAGGTGCATAATGACGAGCATAGTTAGTGGCCGGACCGCGTCCAGGATAGGCATGCATCAAATGCCTTGGACGCGCCAGGATGCACGGTGATATTAGGGCGCGACATCTACCACACCAAGTATCGACAACGTGAGTTTCAAGTTAACGATGATTGGAGCGTTGGAGTCATGACGAAGGCGACGCAGGAACGTTAATCCCGGATGTGCGAACGACTTGGGCAGGCAGCCAGGCGGGTAGGGCTTTGAGCCAAGTATAGTGGAGATTTGGACGGAATCGCGATTGAGACGGAAACTTGAATCGAGAGAAAGATGGGGCGGTATAAGAGGGTAACGGCGTCCCATACAAACCGATCTGCAACCACCCGACAAACTCGTCTTGCGCGTTCGACTCTCGCTTAAATCAGCCAAATCTCCACAATAGCAACATGAAGTGCTTCATCCCTCTCTCTCTGCTCGTCGCTAGCGTAGTTGCGGCGCCAACTGCTGCACCTTCGCCACAAGAGGGCGCCAGCTTCCCCATTACCGACCTCGTCGACTCGGACCTGACCGTCGAAGAATACGCTTCACAGCTCGAGAGCCAACCTGCGGGAGAGCCTGCCGTGACTAAGCGTCAATTCAATGGAGACACTTTCAACCAGTTGACTGACGGTACTCCGTATGTTTGCTGATACATTTAAGCAATTCAGACACTTACACTGTGACTACAGATGCCGAGCCGTAACTGTCATCTTCGCGCGTGGTACCACACAATCCGGCAACGTCGGCGAGGCAAACTCTGAGGGCCCAGTGTTCTTCAACGCTCTGGCCAGCAGACTTGGAGGCGCAGGTCAATTGGCCATCCAGGGAGTGGACTATCCCGCGAACGTTATCGGATTCCTTGCAGGTGGAGACGCCGCTGGAGCCACGACTATGTTCAACCTCATCAACCGCGCCGTAACGCAGTGCCCAGCAACGAAGATTGTGGTATCGGGATACAGCCAGGGTGCACAACTCGTGCACACTGCTACACAGAGGCTTTCCGCTGCGAACGCTGCGAAGGTTTCTGCTGGTGAGTTCGTTCGACCCTTGGACATGGAACCAAATCAAACTGACGATGAATAGTCGTAACTTTCGGTGACGCTGATAGGGACGAGTCGTTCGGCCAGGTTGCTGCCAACAAGGTCATGATCATCTGCCATGACGGAGACAACATCTGCGACAACGGCATCATCATCACTCCTGCGCACAGGAACTATGAGATTGATGCCCCGGCTGCGGCTGATTTTGTTCGCGCGAGGACTGTTTAATCGTGCTCGACTGGGGCTTCTCCCTCTTTCGGTGTTCGTGCCGTGGGCTATCGCCCATCGCGAAAAGTCATGACTTATGTTTCCTACGCAGCTTAGTTTTAATCCATATGAACTTCAATTCTGTCCCGTTTCCGTCTTCGGATAATTATATGTTGGAGTGGTTGGAGTGGTTGAATTGGCTGTTGGTGCTTGTTGGTCGCAGGAGGTTCTGGTTCTGCTCTGCCTGAATGTCGGCAGCTTGACCAGGCATGGCGAATGACTGCATACTCATCTACTCTTTCTTTCCATTCGATACTAATGTGGATTGGTTTTGAAGGGGCTATTCCAGTATGAATGGGATGCTGTGTTGTCGCTTGCGACACCTCGTGCAGTGAGTCGTGATTGACTTTGGTTGCTGTCAGCATTGCGTCCACTCCGAGACGACATTGCGTCCTCAAATGTCGTTTAAAATCCTTCAGTATCGGATGCGGCCGTGAACCGACGTAAAGCGGGTGGCTTTCTCGCGCATCGTGAAAATTTGGACCACATAGAGGGCAAGGTCGAATCCTCGACACGCGCAAGGTTCGCTCCCCGGCTTACGCGAGTCAATTAGCACCGATGTCGTGCTCGACCCACAAGTATGCGAACGCGGCCAGAGGCTCAACATCATAATGAAGTAGAAAATCTTCATGTCGACCAAGCCACTATAGGATTCATCCGAAGTTGTTCCTGAATCACTTAAGATGTAGATCGCAACGTCTTGCGGTGTCGTGAATATCTTCACAATTCTTCATCGGTCTTGGCTTGACTTCACGACACAACCACGACGTCGTGCAGTGGTTTGAACTTCTCCATCATATTCTTTGGCTTGTTTATCAAGTTCTATACTATAGGATGTCTGCTGATGCGTCTTCCGAGCCTGCGGGCTCTCTTGTCGCTAAGCGGCAGTCATTCTTTCGGTCGGTCCCTTTCCAAATTATCGTAGCATGCGGTGTCTCCTTCACAGCTCCTGGCATGTGGGACGCTCTCGGTGGATTGGGAGCAGGAGGTGCTGCTGAGCCATACGCTGTATCCGCTGCCAACGCATTGGTATATGGCCTCTTCTCAGTCGTATGCGTAGCGGCTGGAGCCATCAACAACCGTATTGGACTCAAGTACGGACTCGCGCTGGGCGCCATTGGTTACCCTCTATATGGTGCTGGCTTGTACACAAACAATGTATCCGCCAACACCTGGTTCATGCTCTTTGGTAGTGCCATTTGTGGTATCTCGGCTGGATTTTTCTGGGCTGCTGAGGCGGCTATTATCATTGGATACCCAAGTCCAGGAGACAGAGCGTTCTTCTTGGCTATATGGCAAAGCGCAAAGGCAGCTGGACCCAGGTATGTATATCAAAATCTGCTTTTGAAGATCAGATAGCTAACATTATGTAGTATGTTACTCTTGGATAAAACTACTTCGATGGTATACTGACTTTGTACTTTCTAGTCGTCGGCGGAGCCATTAACCTTGGTCTGAATGCGAACAGGCGGACTGCTGGCTCAGTCTCATCTTCAACATACATTGTCTTCATCGTCATCATGTGCCTTGGTCTCCCCGTCGCACTGTTACTTTCCCCGGCGAACAAAGTCTGGCGCAAGGACGGTACTCGAATTGTCACCTCTATGTCCAGCAGCTGGGGCCAGGAGTTCAAAGCTGTTGGCAGACTGTTCATCAGCCAAAGAATCCTATTATTGCTCCCGGCATTCTTCATCAGCTACTTTTACAACGGCTTCGTGAGTACCTGGCTCACAACATACTTCACGGTTCGCGCCCGCGCATTTTCCAGCTTCTTTACCAACTTTGCCGGTATTTTCAGCTCGTTCATCATTGCAGCACTTCTCGACAACCAGAAGATCCACATCAAAACTCGCGCACGCATCGCGTTTCTGTCCATCATCACGATCCTCGTCGGAACATGGATCTGGGCGACGATCCTGCAGAAACAGTTTTACGATATGGCTGAAGCACCGGTCTTCGATTGGTTCACAAGCGGCTTCGGAAAAAGCTACGCGCTCGTGTTCTTCTGGCAATTTGGTGGCCAGGCGTTCCAGCAATTCTTGTACTGGATCGTCGGACAGTATGCGACGGATCTATCGAATTTGAGTCATCACACCGGTATCTTGAGAGGTGTGGAGGCCTTGGGCCAGACTGTTGCCTGGGCGTAAGTACTTCCTTCAAGAACACGTAGCATTCCACTAACGTACCATTAGCATGCAATCCGAAGGTGGAGCCAACCATTTCGTCAGCATCGGTATCAACTTCGCTTTCACAATCTTGTGCGTTTTCCCCACTTGGATAGTCATCTCGAGATTGGAGCACAGCCATGAGGTTGTTGTTGTCAATGCAGAAGATGAGCAGGTAGACGCAAAGGTAGGTGACCGGTCTTAAACGGCAGGTCAGGGCATACAATTAGTCTGGCATAAAACAATGATGTGTAAACATACCTAAAATAATGATACACTCGAAATTTTCTTCACACTCTAAGGATATGCGTGAAACGATGTAGACTAGGCCAGATGTAGGACAAATATGTACAGAGCTTATCACACGGCCCGATATCAGTACCTACGAGCAAATGCTCCGTTCACCAGGGTATGGCCAGGATAGGACTAAGCGAGTTCGGGAGGATGACATGCATACAAGCACAACCGGAGCTAACGCAGACTCAGCTTATGTCTTTGCCGACGGCTCAACGTCGTGTACGGAAGTCCTGCTGACATGATAGTGAAATAAGCCAATGTTACAGCCTCTTCATCTTCATATCATCAATGCGTGAGGCAGATTGAGCGCATTAATGACCGGCATTCTTCCCGTACATAACTAACCCGACGTGAACCCTCGCAGCTCGCAACCGACCATGACGGATGGCTCGAACAATGCCAAAGCCCGTGAGATCTTGCACATCGCCGAGGATTATAGTCTGAACTACCAGCGGACTGGGGCCTGGGATGGTTTCGACACGTTTCTTCCCGTGGTCCAGGGCCAAGTGGAGCGTAAAGAATCCATCAAGATGCTTCTACCTGGATTTCCGTTCAAGTCTCCAAACAACAAGACAAAGGTCCTAGGTGTATTGCCTGATTTAGGGGAAGAGCTGGCGCTGAAACGTCTCGATGGTATCGCCTCTGCCATTGAAGCCGTATATGAGCATGGCGCAGAGGTCCACATCACTTCCGATGGTCTCGTGTACAACGGTGATTGTGTCCAGCTACATCACCATACCTCGTGCTGACCACGTCCTCAGATCTCCTCGGTGTAAGCGACGAAACGGTCTGGGACTTTGGGCAAGCAGTTCGCGGAATGGCCGACGCCAACAACCTCACTCACCTGACCTTCCTGCGCCTTTGGGACCTACTCGGAAATACTGGCGACTTTCAGTCCGAATCTTACTATCTTGAGCACGCATCCTCGATCCGTCAAGAACTCAAGCAGCGCTTCGGCGATCCGCAATTCGAAGCTGACATGGCCAACAAATCGACCTCAGATATGCACATGACGCATACAAAGTATCTCGAATTCCTAGAGCAGGATCTACGCTTCAATGAGAAGCATTGTGTATTGAGCGAGGAAGATAAGGAAGCGAACATGGCGAATACCGCGAAGGAAATGATGGGGCGATGGAAAGCGTTTTCAGCAGCTTTGGCGGCGGTTCCGACAGAGTATGTGAGGCTTTCGATACATGATTCAGGCGGCAAGGACAAATTGAGCTTGTCTCTCATTCCGCAGCGGGAGACAGGCACGTTGGGCGCCACGCCGTGGCATAGCACGCTGGTAGTTGAGAATGATGGAACATTTACACAGGCGCACATGCATCAGGTCGATCAGGAGAAGTATGAGCTTGTAGAGAGATATGGCAGGCTATATTTCTGGCGCCAGAAGGGGGCACCGGCAGAAGTGAAGACTTCCATGGGCGTGCTGGAACTATACTAGCTAAGCCACCTGGTCATGTATTTGTTTTATTTATTGATCTACAAGATCCACTTGTAATGTGTTGTGTTGGGCAAATGCGTCGGATATTTTGTTTAGCGACACGCCGCTATTCCCAAAGCCCCCGCCATCAAGAACCTAGAGGGTGATCAGGAGCAGCAGAACACAGAGCGAGGCACAGCAACGTAAACCACCAGCGGCCTGGTATAGTTTCGGCACATTGCTACACGGAGTCTAGTTGCCCGGCGGTGGAGGTCATGGTCGAGAACCATGGAACCGGGCACCGGCAATCGCAAATGGCATGCGTGGCTGATCTGCCGAGAATAGCACCGTCGTTCCCTCACCAATCTCGATGGCACTTGTGATTGTGGTGTCTAACAGAGCGGAAGGCCCACCGACGTTACATCACGCGTCTGCGCGCAGATTTGGAATGCTTCTTTCACCCTCGGATTCGGTCGCGGTTGCTGTTCTGTCGCCTTCTGGTCATATTCATGGTCCAACTCGAACTCACTCCACCGCCCGAAAACGACGATATCTCGGGCCGCAATGCACCCTTGAGCGTGCCCATGTCCGCGATTGCGCCGATTCAGCTTCATAACGAGGAAGTCCATGACTGGACAGAAGACCTTCCGAAGACCGAACATGTTCGGTTCTTTCGCAATACAGATTGGGCGGCCACCTGCCTAGGGCCTCTGAAGAGCTGGAGTCCGACGTTGCGAGTCTTCACTGGCTTTGTTCTCGCAGACTCACGGGCAGCTTGCTTGTGGTGGGATCCAGAACTCACTGCCATATACGTGAGTCACTGGTGTAAGATATGGTCGTGAGGCAGGGCTAATTCCGTGGTGTGCCAGAATGAAGCTTATGCGCCTCTTGCTGCAAAAGTGCATCCATCTCTAATGGGTTCCACGTTCCCCAAGAGCTATCCCGATCTATGGCCATCTATCAGTTCATATTTCGAGGAAGGCAGGCGCACAGGTCAGGGGGTGAATTACTCATCCACTATGCCTCTACTCGTCGAGAGAAAAGGCTGGACGGAGGAAGCATTCTTCTCTGGAGCGTTCACGCCCATTGGACCCGCAGGCCACCCCGAGGGGTTCTATAATTCGACCTACGAAGTGACTAGCCAAAAGCTTGCCGATCGTCGCATATCGATGCTGAACTCGCTCGCCGCCGTCACGGCGCAGACACTAGACGACGTGTTTGCGCACATCTTGAGCATTCTCGAGACGAACCCCTTCGATATACCCCTAGCTATGCTCTATAAGTTTGGGAGTCAAGAGGGACCTAGCGCATTGGAGCTCCATGGCTACTTTGGTTTACCCAAGGGTCACAACCTTATTGTAGAGAGTGCCTACATTGAGAGCGAGGAGGGCTTGATCCCCGACATGCGACGGGCTGGCTCAGAAGCAATTGTCATCGACTACGACGAACGATTCGACTGTGCTACTTGGCAGGGGTGGGGCTCCCCAGCGAAACGAATTGCTTTGCTACCCATTAAAAGCGGGCTTCGTCTGTTCGGTTACCTTGTAGTAGGCACGAACCCCTATCGCCCGTATGACACATTTTGTCAGCAATTCGTTTCCGACCTGTCGAGAATGGCCTCGAGTCTTGTGGTAGCCGCTGCCGGATACGAATCGACCAAGCGCCGTCAGGTACAGCTGGAGGCAGACCTGGCCTTTTCAGACCTCAAATTGCGGCATCTCATTGATCATGCGACAGTAGGCATGTGCCATATTTCGCTCGATGGCGACATGTTGTGGGCTAATGAACACTACTATCGCCTAGCTGGAATGAGCGCCAAGCAGCATTCAGGTCCATTCTCTTTCCTTGATGCTTACCATGATGAGGACCGGGCCAAGACCGTCGATGCGTGGGATCGTCTTCTCGCTGGTGAACGCCATGTGACTGTGGAAACGAGACTCAAGCGCATGTACGAAGCTCCCATTGGAGACTCAGAACCAGCACAAATACAGGTTCTCGCCTTTCCATATCGCGATTCTGAAACTGGACAAGTGAAGTCTATCATGGCTTGCACGACAGATATCTCGAAACTGCAATGGGCTCAGACATTCCAGGCCCGGCTAGCGGCAGAAGCGAAAGAGGCGAAGCGACAACAAGAGGCCTTTATCGATGTTGTTTCTCACGAGATGCGTAACCCTCTGAGTGCCATAGTTCATTGCGCAGACGCTATTGCCAGTGCTATGGATGGGTTGAAGCTCACAGACATGCCCACGGAAATCCTTGAATCGTTGAACGAAAACGTGCAGAGCGCCAATATCATATTGCAATGTGCAAACCACCAAAAGCGCATCATCGATGATATACTGACATTGAGCAAGCTCGATTCGATGTTGCTTTCTATTACACCTGTCCCAGTCAGGCCTCAGAAGCTGGTCGACTCTATTGTCAGCATGTTTGGCGCAGAGCTCAAGAGCAACAGCATTGAGTGCAAAATCCAACCTGGCGCATCTCTGATGCAACTGGGCATAGATCACGTTTATCTCGACCCCTCTCGCATCACTCAGGTCTTCATAAATCTGCTGACAAACGCCATCAAGTTTGTGAAGTCATCGCAACAGCCATCAATATCGATTCGTTTCGGAGCTAGCATCGAAAATCCGCGCGCCTTCTTTCCCAGCGGCATGTTCTGGGCTGCGGATAGCAACCGAAACGAATCAGTGACAGATGGTACCGAGTGGGGTGACGGCCAAGTAGTGTTTCTCACTTTCAGCGTTAGAGACTCTGGGATTGGTCTTGAGGGCAAAGAGATACGGAAAATCTTTGAGCGGTTTCGCCAGGCAAATGTCAAAACGCACGTCAAGTATGGCGGCAGTGGCCTCGGTCTCTTCATCTCGAAAGAGCTCACGGAGAAGCAGGGCGGCGAGATTGGGGTGTCCTCTCAAAGCGGAGAAGGCTCTACGTTTGGTTTCTACGTCAAGTCGCGCCGCGTGCAAAAGCGCCCAGAGATGTTCAGAAGCTTGGCTCATCGTGATCGTCGGCAGGATTCAGTGGAAAGGAAACTGCGTGTGTTGCTAGTAGAGGACAACATCATTAACCAACAAGTTCTCGGCAAACAGCTGAAGAAAGCAGGATGCATGGTCAATGTTGCGAATCATGGACTTGAAGCGCTAGATGTCTTGGAAGAGCAGACTTTTGACATTGTACTCATGGATCTTGAGATGCCAGTAAGTCTTAACTGACATCAGGAAGGGTTGGCGACTAACATCAAACCAGGTACTAGATGGGCTATCAGCTACAACTAGAATACGAGAACGCGAATTATCTTGCGAGGGCTTATTAGGTCAGGCCATGTTATCCGGCCCTCGTGCTGGATCTCGACTACCCATCATCGTTGTGACGGCGAACGTTCGCAAGGAGCAAATCGACACGGCTATCGCTGCTGGTGCAGTACGTCAATCATTCGTCAAGTCGAAGATCAAGCTAATGTTGCATTAGGACCGCGTCATGCAGAAGCCCTTCAAAGCCGCCGACTTGGTGTTCATGATGGACTCTTTGCTTCCACAACAATCAGCGCCCAACATCGAGCCTCCCACTCCAGGACTCGGAAGTCGTTCAAGTGCCTTGGTCCCGTGAAGTAAGACTTCTCGAAGAGGATATAACCTCACAAATCATTCGCAGATCGCCGTGTTCTATTCTTAAGGCTAGAAGCGCGCCCACGTACCCATTCAAAAAGTGCGGACAATACCATAGCGCACGGACGGGAAGAGCTATGAATCATGTGCCGCGCCAGGATTTATACCTATGCCACGGCGACGCTTCAAAAAAAAAGCATACCAGACACGGTGGAGAGGTTTCAGAGTCAAGGGCTGATGTGAGCTTTATTGAAGGCAAAGTCGTAAACTACAGCAGGGCTGATGAGCGATGTTTGCTCTACCTCGAAGGACATGAAAGGCCGTACTCACCCGAGGGAAACGGTGTGACACAGCACTACCACGGTTGCATTCAGAAGTTTCCATCCTGATTGTGTTAACCTTGGACACGCAAATGAGTCAGATCCGACATCATCCAACTTGTAATGCAGTTATTTGCCGATGCACTATCTTCATTACACAGAGCCAACGGCGACCGTTCAGATTACATGCCTCGGTTGCAGATAGAAAGAGCAGATGACAGTGAGCGGCAATCTACTCGGAGTAACTGAATCTCCGAAGTGTCAAGTGTGAATGTTTATCCGCTTTAACAGTGACCAGCTGGACAAAGCACCGGTCGCGCTTGTTTGTGGCATGCCAATGACGAAAGAGTGGCGCTGGCAAGGGTCCATCAGCCTTATGAGTGTTTAAAGACGGGACCCCACATCGGCGTGAGACCCCACATGCACCTTATATTCCATCTCACATCCGACTTCAAACGTCTAATTCTGATTCTTGTGCTTCAATCGATTTCATTGTCTTCACTCAAGCTTTAGCGTTTGCACCGAAAGACTTTCATCCATTATGACGTTTGAAGATATGAACCAGAAGCTCACACCAGCAGTACGTCCAACGGCCCCACATGCTCTGCTTCGAGCATCTCCCATCGCTTCACTGTCTGACCTTGACAGAATCCCAGCCGTGAGACATCACCAAACCGCGGCTCCTCCGTGCCCCAAGCCGAAGCCATCCCCAAGCCCTGCAAACCCCTCCGACAATGGCAAGCCGAGCAAAACATCGACCGCTCCGCCCAAATCAAACTCACAAAGCTCGTACACATGCGCTACCAACACCCCAACCTCGATGAGATTACTACTTTCCTGCGTGACTTTGGCATGAGCGTTGCGCAGAAGGCGGAGGGCAAGAGGTGGTACAAGGGCTATGGAGATGACCAGTACGTGTACTACGCGCAAGCCGGCGAGAAGAAGTTCCTAGGCGGCACGTTTGAAGTCGAGAGTTTTGCCGAGCTAGAGAAAGCCGCGCGAGTAGCTGGCGCAAGTGAGATCATCGACTTGAGCTCAGCACCCGGGGGTGGGCATCTCGTCACACTGCACGATCCCGAGGGATTCCCGATCAACCTGATCTTCGGGCAGGCGAAGAAAGCGGCCGGCCCGTACCCGGAGATCCTCACGACCAACTACGAGGCCGAGAAGCCGCGGGTCGCGCGGTTCCAGCGGTTTAAACCGGGCCCTGCGGCGGTGCACAAGTTGGGCCATTACGGGCTGTGTGTGCAGAACTTCCAGGAGGAAATGCAATGGTACACGCGCACGTTTAATATCGTGCCGACGGATTTCCTCACCGTGGACACGGAAACAGGGGAAAAGAAGGACGTCGCCATCTTCGCCCACATCGACCTCGGGCCGGGCTACACCGACCACCATACCATCTTCCTGTCACACAACCCCTCCTCACACGTGCACCACTGCTCGTTCGAAGTGCACGATTTCGACACGCAGAGCCTCGGGCACGAGTGGTTGGCGAAGAAGGGGTATAAGAGTGTCTGGGGCGTGGGCCGGCATATTCTGGGCAGCCAGCTTTTCGACTACTGGTGGGACACGACGGGGAATATGATTGAGCATTACGCGGACGGGGACCTGGTGAATGAGGAGACGCCGGTGGGGTGGGGGGATGCAGGGGATGAGAGTTTGGCGGTTTGGGGGCCCGAGGTGCCCGGGTGGTTTTTGGATTGAGGGTAGAAAGCGGGGGAATGGGTTAATGGGGGTAAGTGTTTGGATTCAGGTACGAAGATGGAACGGGTTGGAACAGTCTTGTAATTGGTATTCCAAGTAGTTATCCAGGTAACCACGCGATCCACCAACCTCCCCCCTTCACGACCCAATATCACGCCGTTGATCACATCCTGCAGCATCTGCGCTCAGGAAATCAGCGTCCCGTCTCAACTTCCCAGGATTGTAGAGCGACTTACTCAGTGGTCGCACTTGCACGCAGATGAATCGTGTCCAGATTTGCCATTTTCACTGCAACAAGTAGAACAGCAACGGATGACAGGTTCGTTGGTGGCGCAATGCATCTATACGAGACGGACAGTCAGATGACGAACAGCTTGGAATTTCAAGGGTGCATCAGTTATGGGTGTTGACGAACCTCGTGTGGAACTAGAAGAGGCTTGGAATGTGAAGACAATGGCTTTATGGGGTGATTGTAGGATTTGAAGATGGAACCTTTAGAGTGAGAATGGCTTGCTTTATACACGTCTTCCTCGCCCTATTGTGTATCTATGCATACCCTCTAACGTGCAAGAAAAGCAGAGTGTGTCTGAAGCCCACTCCTCATTGAACGGTTCTTGCCTGCAGTCAGCATGCAGCGTCTAAATGCGGCGACGACATCTTCTCCGCAGCCTGCCCAGGTGGCTCGATCGTAGGTGTGTAGCGAATTGCGCTTTAAATATCTAAATCCGGCGATTAAATGTTCTGGTGGTGCGGAGTTGACGCCATTTCCACATGCGCGAAATTAACGCAAACGATGTGCAGCTATACATTGCCACTTCGCAAGACGACTACTCATACTCGCTCCTTTCCGGCCGGAACCAATGAGCGAGGAGTTCAAGCCAGGTGCACTTGTCCGTACACTTCTCCTCTACGCACTCTCCCGGCGCGGGTCTGACTGGTTGCTCATCCGAGTAGAGATTCTCTAAAAACAGAAGTCTCTCCTCTGAGTCGTAGGGACCATACGCATCTCTGATCTTATGGCGCAGTGCTATTATTTCTTCACAATTCTCTGTGAAACGCTTGCATCGCGCCTCGATGGCGGTTTTCTCTTCGGACGGTGTGTGTTCGCATAAGCGGAAAAGGTGCAGCCTGTCTTTTGAAAAGCCATGATGCTGATGCGCATTGTTGTAGATGTGCTCTTCCCAATCGTTCTGATCAGCGAACGTGGCAGCGCAGTCGGTGTCGTAGCTGGAGGCTACACAACGCCATGGCGAACCGGGAGGGGAGTACCGCCGATAAGACTCCAGTCTTAGGCGCTGAAGTCCCCACTGTTCCAGGGCAGAAGGGCGGTTTGACGCGAGTGTTTCCAACATTGTGCCAACCGGGAAGGCCGGGCAGTGTCTCTTTGGTAGGAGAATGCGGCGAATCGTCCAGGATGATTGGATAAGCTGCCATGGAGACTTGGAATCAGGATCGACTCTCCAAAGATCACAAACAATCTGCTCAGCCCTGTTTGGCGTGCGCCAATACTCTTGAGCAACCAGAACGCGAATATTCGAGGGCGCATAACCGATGACAGTCTCAATGACCGAAGCAGAAGTCTCATATTCGCTGTCTGACGGGACTAGTGGGAATCCCTCATATGACCTTAAACCCAGTCATTACCAGAGTTCGCACAGAAGGGAAGATGCTCTGTACACGAGCCCAGAAGGCACGGGCCTTGTCTGAGGTCGTCGTTCTCGGTCCTTGGATAGGGTCTATCTCATCTGTTGGAAACGCCATGTGTATGCGAATGAAGTCAATTTCAACTTGCGTGATCCTACTCGCGAAGTCTGGACAGTACTGAATGATTGGATGCTGGGTATCTCGTGGAAATGCTGTGTCTTCTGAGCACCTGTACCAGGTATCTTTGTGAGTCCAGAACCGTTTCGAGGCCTCTTTACGGATGTCAGAGCACGTGTGCATGAGGTTGAACAGCGTAGAGCCATCGCAGAAGTCATAAATTTGAAGCTGAAGCTCTACTGGTAGTTGAGGGAAGCAGGTGAAAGATGTTGACACTTTGGATGATGGCAGTATTGTCGGACGAACGAAATACTTGAAGGGAACATTTTCTCTTCCATGATGATCCACACAAAGATCAGGATTCAAAGTCATAGCAGCGCGTCAGAGAAAAGTCTGTAGCAGTCAGGAGGCAAGAAGGAAGGACACTGAGTTATTACAACCTTTGGCGCCGACGCTAGCGTATCTACGGAAGCCACAATGCGTTCCGGACCGATTTTGAGTCACGTGTTTTCACACAGATTGGTCGGCAGCTTTGAGTGCTGATTGGCCGCATGTACGCAATTGAGCATAGCATGATATGACAAGCATGTACCCAAGCGGGCACGATAATCGACAATGTCTGGTCTATCGCATTTCTAGATTGTTGACATTGTCTAGGATTCTGAGATTCCGAGCACGCTTCAACCACAGACAGCAATGACGATGAAAGAAAAACAGCCGAAGAAACGATAGTATGAGCGAAAGGCAAACCCTCAAACGCGTCCTATCAGGCACGAAATAGCATACCCATTCCATAGAAAAGCCGTCTATAGCCCCATTCCGCCCCATATTACCTTCCCTACAAACACCCCCCTTACGCCGGCGGCAGCTGTCCACCCTCCTTGGTATGTCCCGGGGGCAAATTCGGCAACTTGCCACCACCGCTGTTCAAAAAGCTCAAATAGCAATTCCACCCGAGCGAAATGATATTGACAACCAGCACCCGATGCTCCATGGGCACGTATTTGAAGTTTGTAAACTGCACCCACGGCCAGATCATGAAGTTCTTGGTGAGACCGGGGACGTAGGCGTCTTCGAGGCGTTTCTTGGGCGATGCGCCTTCGAGGTAGGCCATGGAGGAGAGGAAGAGTCCTGGAGGAGCGTTAGCGACCGCCATTCGAAGAAAAGTGAGAAATATGTGGACGCACCCATGTTTACGGGCGCGAAAATCAATTGATCGCATGCTACGCGCGCGGCGATTGTGCTGTTCTTGCCCTTGAGGTTGACGTTCTTGGTTAAGAAGCCGTACCATTTTGTCGCTGCGGGACCGAAGATGACTATCGCGGTGTGTCAGCCATTGCCTGTTGTGATTCCCAAATTGGCGTGTAGACGTACCACCACCGTATGCGCCCATTCTTGCCGTTCGCATCGGGTCGTGCTGGTCGAAGCCGCGCTTCTCGACGAGCTGTTGCGCCATGACGTCGCCGGTTGAGAAGAGTACCTGCAGCACATCGTGTTAGCTGTTTCTCGTCCAATTTGCCCAATTTCTTATGTATCTCGTTCAAGGTGTGTACGTACAGCTGTGGTGATACTCTGCGTCAGCAGCGGCGCCGACTTGAGCTTTGCTTGGTACCTGTCAATTTTATCAGCACTGTTCTTATCCGTCGCAACTTGCTCGCTAGAATTTTGCAAAACTTACCAGCGGAACGCCATTTTGCCTGCTATCGAATACTTCGGTTTACGAAGTTTGAGTGGCAGAAGTTGAGGGGATGAGTGAGGGCAAGAAGGGGGAAGGAAAAGAAAGATATTATTGTAGCGCAGAGCTCGTCGCGAGCACAGATGATGTAGTTGCGTGGACCCTGCATGGGGGGCAGTCTGGACCCACCACGAGGCTCGCTTCGACCACGATGGAGACCTGGCGCTTTCACAAAACGCTGCATATATTGCACTTTGTGTGAGAGTCCGTGTATTTCTAGTCATGCCGCATGTCACGAGAACAGTTCAGGCCTGGGAATACGACGCGCTGGGAGATCAACCTTGCATTGGTTTGTCATAAGGGTATAAGGTAGCCAAAAACACAAATTACAAAACGGACCGACAGGTGTTGTACAAAAGTCGTGGTCGTTAGTGGAAGTCAGGAAAGCGGATGCGCTGTGGTATAATTCCGACCTGCCCCTAATCCCGCCCTTTTGAGGATCTTTCGAAAATCGCCCATGATATCCTTGCAGATCTTCCCGCGGGAGATCGTAGATATCCAAGTACCCGGAAACGCCATAATCACTGATCTGGCGTCGAGATCAAGGCCATGCTCGCAAAGTGGAGGTAAAGCAGAAAATTCGTAAATTTTGGGTATGTAATATTTGCGAAGTGCAGACCTAATCAATCTCCATTCGCTGCCCAGGGGCAGGTCCGCTGATGGATGGCATCTCGGTGTTGTATGCCTTGCCGTCGTTCTCGACGGCCTTGTTGTTGACATGGGGCTTGAGTCCCTTGTTGAAGTTGTGCGTGCATATGCATGCGACCACGATGGTAAGAATGAGCAAGAGAATGGTGAGCACAGCAAAGGCGGTCAACGACTTGCGCGCAGGCTGGTAGTCTTTCTGGCGATCCAGGTCGGCAATGTACATGCGGATGAGCTTGAACAAGAAGTAGGCCATGGCAATGAAGTAGACGATGATAATAGTAATCATGCCGGCAACAGACTCGCGGCGGACCCACCAGGCGGCGAAGAAGAGGAGGAAAAAGGTGATGACCAGGGCGACGGCGGTCAGAGCGAGCTCGACTGTCTTTGTGTTTTGGACGACGACGAGAAATTGGACTGTAAACGCAAGGAAAAAGAAGAAGTCAAACTTGAGGAGCGCAATGTAAATCTGAGAAAGTCAGTTGTGTATGTGAGAGGTGACGCGGGTGACGAACCTGGTATGTCAGATAACGCCTCTTCAGGCGCAAATCGGCGCTGATGTGCTTGTAGATGGTCCACGCAAACTCGTCGTACAGCTTCCATGCCTCGAATGCAAAGAGCATGGTCATGAAGGCCATCAGACACGGCAGGGCGACGAGCATGGGCTTGACGTCTTTCCAGAATTCGGCATCAACGAAGTTGCTCTTGTTGAGCTCGTCGGCAGCGTCTCTAATCTGGTCGAACTGGATGGCCGCATAAATGAGGATACCGGCGTTGTAGACGACGAGACCTATAACCTGAATGGTGTTCTTCAGGCGCAGAGCATCCCACACGAGCCATAGCTGGTATAGATAGCCGAACATGAAGACGGCCAGATAGGTGGGAATGGTGCGGGTTTCGCTGTGTCTCCCGTCGGCTTGTGCCCAGTTGACGCTATCTTGGAATTTCCCAAAGACATAGCTGCGATTTGCGTTAGCAGTGCTCGGTGCTGGATTGGCAGGTGTTGACATACGACTCGAGGGCAAGGGCGATGCCGGCCTGGAGAATGGCCGTTATCATGAATGCCCAGGTCCATCTGCTGTTGGGGATATACATCCTGGGTGTGCGGCGGACCGCTGGAGGCAGGGTGGTGGGGAAGCCCTGACGGTCGTGATATCCTCCGGGCGTCGCGTAGGCGGAATGCGCCGGAGGGCCCTGCGGTTGGTACGCCGTGTTGGAGTAGGGAGCGAAGTTTCGGTCGAGTGGTTGTCCTCCCAGGAGGGATGCGCGCGCCTCGTGACGAGAAATTTTGGCAGAGTAGCAGCCGCGGCGGGCGGCTGTCGACGATGGATATGGGAGACTGCGGTGGAGTCGCTACGGTGACGGCGCGGAGAGAGTGCACAAGCTGCCAGCAGTGTGCTGTGAGGGAGAGTGCAGGGCTGCGAGCCGGATGAGACCGAGATGAAGCAAGCGATGGGGCTTGGGGCCAGTTTCAGCTATCCGCAAAGGAGAGGGCAGAGCCAGCGCGCTGGATTGGGGAAAAGCACGAGTGTCTGAGTGGCCAAGCCTCCTGAAACTGGGTAGGCTGGGGTGCGGAGAGGCCGGCCGTGCAGCAGAAACGTAGCAGGGCGGCTGCAGCAGCGGAATGGGCGGGGACTGGCGTGCGTGCAACGAGGGCAGCGGTTTTGTGTCAAGCGAGGTGAGCGAGTGACAGATGACGGGCGCAGGAAGGGGAACGATGGGGTTGAAGGATGTCCGGCGTCGTGGGTGTGAAGGGCGCCGCTCAACTTAGCCTCCGTCCGCTGCGGGCTGTGTGGAGCTGGAGGGTCTTGTCGTGGATGGGAGCCTTGCAACGGGCCGATGCTTGCTGTGGACGCGGACTGGCTGCTGTTTACCGCGCACGTGTGGCACTTCTGTTGTACATGGAGTAGCAGAGCAGCAGAGATGCATGCAAATGGCTTCACTGGCCCACTACCATGTGTCGAGGAAGCGGTCTGATATGGCGCAAACAGATGTTTGCGCCGGCGCGGCCGACTGTGCTTTTCAGCTCACTGCACGCGTGCGCAGCCCTTGGCTCTTCCTGCACCGCCCTCGCGGCAATTCCCCGCCCTCTCCATTGGTCAGCCTTGCGGTAAATATAGCCTCGTCCCTGCTCGCCATCTATTTGCTGTGGCGCAGGTCTCCCGTCGTCGTGTCGAGTGGAGCCATTCTGCCATCATCGGCTCCCGCAGCACTCGTCCAGTTCACCACACCAAGCTTCGAGGCATGACGTCCGGTACCAGCACCATGTCACCCCTTTATGCCCCTTGCTGATCCCGTGCAGCAGAGACCATCCTGCAGAAGGCCGCCGAGGAAGGCGCGCTGGACTCGTAGGTGCCGTTCCACATGGGCGTGGAGCACTCAATTGACGCGCGCAATGCAGAGCAGAATGGCCCAAGACGCTTCAGTACATCCTGGACCGCCTGGATGAGGTAAGAGCATTCATTGCTGCAGCCGTTGCAGTACCGCAGTATCTGACGACCTGCGCAGATCGTCAACGATTTCCCCAAGTCGCCCGCATCGTCAACCGCAGCACCAGAAGAGGCCGATTCCACCCCCCGCCCCCAGAACCCGTCGCAGAGCCAAGAGTCGCATGCCACCGACAAGGAGAATGCACCGCCCACGACCCCTTCGCGCCCGGCCATCCCCGCCTTTGCGACGACATCCAACTCCACGGGCCTCCCGCAAGACGTCACTAACTTCTACTCTACCATACGCGCAACCCTCTCCAAGAACTTCGCCAAGAACCCTCCACACACCGTACAGCGTCTGGCAGAGCTAGTCCTCGAGCCGAGGAGAAAGTACAAATACCTGCCACCGTACCTGCGCGCGCTCGACCGTGTCGTGTCCGTCTCTTCACCACTCAGCCTGTTCCCTCTCCCACTGGCTGTTCTTCCCACTTCTGGCGGGCTGCTCAATGGCACCACATCCGCCATAAACACCACCACCCCGACCCTCGGCTCCGACGAGTCCCTGGGAGGCGCACTCCTGACCCCCATTCCATGGCTTCAGAGTCGCGCGCAGAATGAGCTGGTCTCGGAGAGCACAGAGATCGTCGACGGGCCCAATGGCGCCGGCCGCATCGAGACAGTCACAGTAGGCATGCTCACAGGCAGACAGCGCCCGGACGCCGCAGCCACACCCTCAGCATCGTCGAGCAACACCGTGGCACAAATTGCGTCCTCCCACCCCGATGGCGAATCACTGCCCTCTACTGGCCCCGTCACACAAGGCGAGCTACTGCGTCAGGAGCAGGAAGCAGGTATTGTGCTCAACAACCCTCACTCGCTCACCACGAGCCCCACACGGACAACTTACGGAGAGACTGCAGGTGGTGGCACAATCATTGACACCGTTGAAGGAGAAGAGGAACCGCCACATGCCAGAGGGCCAGAGAAAATCGGCATGGAAGACACTGGTCCACAGAAAGTTGCTGGCAAGTTGGATATTGAGGGGGCAGTTGGTAGACCAAGTGTTGACCGCGCAAGTAAGAGCCCAGGACCTGCTGGAGAAATCAAGGATGAGGACATGAAAGATAGCAGTGAGAAGACTGCGGAAGACAAGGATGCTGAGGAGGAGAAAGCGGAGGTAAAAACAGAAGCCAGTGAGGATGTGGAGATGAAGTCTGAAGACTGATATTCTCTTGAGCACGTTGATATTCCAAGACGAAGCTATGCTTCCATTACATAAGGAACGTCACCCTCCAAGACTGGTGTTGCAGGAGTTGTCCTGGACGAACTACCAACCATGGTGTTTATGTTTGATCCAAGACTTGATTCAGTCACAAATATACCAATGGTCTCGCTCAAGTGCTCAATGTTGTGATCGATACAGCGGTGTCGATTGGCGCCGGTCAGCTAGTCCGTTCTTGGCGGATTCATTGACCACATTCACACATGTATATTCGAACGCGTTACCTTTAACATACCGACTGGCTCATTTTTGGAACTTTTCCTCAATTACTGGTGGTTTTGCTATTGGTCAGACAAATGACGTCGCAATTACCCGCGGGGGAGTACAGGGCGCAAACGCGCACGCACACCAAGGGTTGTATGACGGAGTCGCAACTTTACCTGCTCTCAAGTCCGAATACAAACAACACTGACCTTTTCTTAACCTCCCCGCCTGCTAATCTCAACCAATCCCAACAAGTACCATGGACCTCAAGAAAGAGCTAGTACAAGTAGACGAGGAGGAAATAGGCCTCGACCGAGCAAACATCACCTCCAACAACCAAATCCAACTCCCCATTCTCGACAACAGCTCCAGCTCCAGCTCCAGCACCGATACTAACTCCTCTCCGACCCAATCCCGCTCATCTTCACACCTCGTCAACAGTCTGCGCGACCGCAAACACCACGCTGCTGTTAAAATCCGCAAGACACTTCACATCAGCAAACCTACAGATGACATCGACTCAGCCTCACCCATCCTCGCCAATACAGCGGAAGAAACATCCGATTCACGCCTCGATCACAAACTCCCCGTGCCCGACAAGCACTCCGTCAAAGAGATCCTGCACCACCCCATCGACGCAGTGAAGAGCAAGGTTGGAGATCAGGGGAATCACGAGGTCGCGGCGAACATTGCTGCGAAAGAGATTCCGCATGGGGACGAGGTTGATTTGGTCAACGCACATGACAAAGTGGGGAATGCAAGGACGGAGAAAGAGCGGGTGGAGGCGACGGATGAGGTGAAGAGGTTGATAAGGGACAGGCAGAGTAAATTTGCGAGGTGGTCACTTGATCGTCATGTTACGAAAATACGGGTGTTGCCGAGGGAGGGCATGAAGAGGAGGGAGAGGCGGGAGTTTGAGAAGAGGGATGCGGAGGGGGGAGTGGTGGTTGATTGGAGGGGATATGCGAGTCACGTATGTATTTTACCTCATCGCTCCCATTCGATTCATACTAACATATGTAGCTCCTGGTGTACCATGCCCACCAATATGGAGGTAAGCCCCCATGCCAAAAACCCCCCGTCTTCCTCACACCATACTAACTTCACATAATTGAAGGCCAATACATAGGCTACGGCTCCGACCCCCCAACCCCCTCCAAAGAAACCCTCATGCCAAATATCGAGCGCCTAATCGTCGCCACCTCGCCATTCCAAGAATTCATCATGACAACCCGCCGCGTCTACCGCTGGGAGTCTCCCGCCGAAACATCCAAGTACCTCCTGATCTACCTGCTCTTGTGGTACTTCAACTTGCTTCTTCCTGGAATCGTAAGCCCGTGACCCCAACGCATCCCCACCAAACCGTCTATATTAACAATTTCCCAGCTATCTGCTGTCTTATATTTGATCCTCGAACGCCGCCTGCACGGCAACACCCTCGAAGATCTGCGCGCGGACATCCAGCACGCCGAATCCACGCACGAAACCGCCCTCTCCCTCACAGAATTCATAACCAAGCGCGGCGACGACAAATGGGCGGATGAGATCGTCCAAGTCGTCGGCCCCTGGCTAATGGTCCAACTTGCCGACATGGCGAATTTCTTCGAGAGCGTGAGGAACTTCTACGAGTGGAGGAAACCCGCGCGCACGGCGTCTACTCTCGCCGTCTTGTTCCTGCTCATACTGGCGACAGCGCTGACGCCGGTGTGGTTGCTGGTCAAAACCGCGACGTTTGCAATGGGCGTGACCTTCTTCGCCGTCTTCCCGCTCGCTACCAATTTCCCCGAGTACAGACTGCTCCTGAGTCCGACGAAACGCTTGCTCTGGAATATACCGACGCATGCCGAGTGGGCGATTCAATATGTCCAGGCTGAAGGATCGCGGGTTGCCGCCTCTCACACACCTGATCCTTCCGCTATACCGCTGAAAACCTCGCCTGCAGGGTTGGTGCAAGGGGATTACGGCTTTTACACCGCGCACCACGAGTCCTCCGCGGGCCATTTGGTCATCAGCAAGGCGGCGTGCCGCTTCGTGTCGAACGTGGGGCACAAGATGCATTTCACCCTTGCGTACAGCCAGATAAGTAGGATCGAGAAGGAAGACCGCATCGTAGCGAAAAAGGTGCTTGGAAAACTCCCAAGCGATTCCGGGCTGGATTTGAAGCTTGTCTTGTCCGATGGGAATGAGTACGTACTAGGGGATATGCGGCAGAGGGACGAGGCGTTTAGCCAGATTCTAGGGTTTAGTGGGACGGTGTGGCAGGTAGTCTGGTAAAGATGGGGAAAGTTGCGAGTATGATGACCACTTCACCAGTCGCAAGATAACACAGGAAAAAGGGAGCTTGCAAGTCAATTTAACCTCAGAAATACACACACACACAACAAGTCTATACACACACGCGCGCGCATATGCGCCCTTTCGCAACTCGTACACTGCAAATCGAACCCCCAATATTCTCCAGAAAGCGCCCGAGAATAAAAATTACATGAGAGTAGTTTGTTACCCAGGATCGCCCCTCTGTCCCCCAATGAACACACACAAAAAGAAAAAAAAGGATTACAACAAGTTTAACGCCGGTACTAATGCAAGTTTGACAGCAATAATTACCCGCTTGGAATGAAAAGGAAAAAGAAAGAGGTATCCAGTTTGCAGCTCAGGACCAGCGCGCGTGAATATAGAAAAGTAACAAAAAGCAGAGCTCAAACCCCCAATAATGTACTCAAGAAATACAGCTCTCTCACACACACACTCCGCTGACATCCTTATAACTGCTCGTGGCTAACACTACCGCCCGCCAGTCCTCTGCTTGCCCATGCGCCTGAAGAAATCCATGACGCGCTTCGAACTTCCGGAGGATCCCCCCTTGTTCCCGCTTCCATCTTCGTATGCGTCTTGGAACTTCCTGCTCTTCTGCAGCACGCCCTTGCGTTGCTGCTGGTCGTCTCCGCCCATGCCCTGTGGGTACGGGTTCCGTTGGTCATCCAAGTCCGAGTCGTCTGTTGGCCTGCGCCCATGTTGGGACGGATGAGGATCCCTGGGGTTGGGGAACTTTTCGTCGCCAATGGGGGCGGTGGGCGGATAGTCGAATTGCGTTTGCTGCGCGGGCGCTGAGCTAGGGCCTGCGGCGTTGGCGTTGCGAATCCGGCTGTTGCTGTCGTGGTGGCCATCGTAGAAGCCTGGGCGGATACTACCCGTGGTGCTTTGGCTGGGAGAGCGAGAGTCTCCACGGCCAAACGCCATTCCAGGCTTGGAGGTGGCACGAGGACGAGCACTTGAATCCCTGCGTTCGTGATGGGAAGACTTGGCGGGCATGCTGTCGCGCTGCTGCGAGGAGAAAGTCTTGGAAAGCGAAGACGGGAGCAGCGAGAAGCGGCGAGATGGCTTGCCCGTCTCATTGGAATTGTTGGTGTTTCTGCGGTTGAAGCCGAACGATCGCCGACCGGAATCGGTGCTTTGTCTACCGGCTGAAATGGCATCATTCGAAATGGGAGCTGCCATGGAAGTGGGAGGATAGCTTCTCTGCTTCTTCTCCTCCGGGTAGGGCGCGTATGAGTTTTGCGAAGTCAACGACTCCTTGGGGTCCTGCGAGTATGATGGCTGGCGACCAGAGAACATGGAGGTCATGCGTCCCAAAGTCTCGGTGACAGTGTTCGACCTCTTGTGTCCACCCTTTCCGTGTTGGCCTGATGGTCCGAGCTGGATCGAATGTCCTCGCTGCGTGCTAGGCTGGCCAATGCTCTCGTCTACCGCACCAGCTTGTTCGGGCTGGACATATGGCGCTGAGATAGAGTAGTTTTTGCCCTTTGGCTGCGAAAAGCGGCCCTCGGCGTTGGTTGGAGCAACAGTTGCCAAAGATGGCTGGCCATATGAGTTTCCTCTCGAGGGCAGGCGGTTGCCTGCACCAAGAGCACCGCCAGTAGACGGACGAACAGCAGAGCCCTGTGGCGCACTTCCAAAGGCTGTGTAGTCGGAGACTGAGCGCTGAGATTGTTCCTGTCGGGGACGGCCAACAGGAATGGGCACACCAGATCGTTGCTTAGTGCCAGTCGACGATGAATAGCCATCCGTAGCGTGCGCCTCGTCCGGTACTCGTGAGGGTCCAGCGGCGGCATTTGGTGGTGATGCCTCGCCACGTTGGGTCTGCGACTGCGGTGCCACATATTCGACTTGCACTGTTCTCCGCTTGTTGTCGCGTGTGGTCTTCGGCTTCTCCGAGGGTGGTGAATTGATTTGCTCCCGCTTCGCAGTGAGACCACCGGGTGCAGGAGCAACGGCTGTGTGTGGTTTGCCGGGTTCGCGGACCGAAGCGCTTCTAGCGAGAGGAGGTTGCTGTTCGAACGTGTCTTCTGCAGGCGTGTTAGTTTCAATTCGTCCTATGTCGACGAAATCCTTACTGCTAGAGTAGACAGACGCCTGCTGGGCCTCATTCGCTGCGGTGTTGCTGGATGTAATGAACCCAACCACGTGCGAGTAATCGGCCAACCAGCTATGACGCGCCACCTCGAACAAATCCGCACGCTTTCTTGGGTCAGGTACGAGTATCCGCTTAAGAAGGTCTCTGGCGTGTGGTGTGACGTATTCGGGGAATGTAAGTGGTGTTGAAACGATGTACTTGTAGAGTAGGTTGATGTTGTCACCCTCCGGGTTCGCTGGATCGTCGTCGAATGGCAGATAGCCAGCCAACATGGCGTACTTCAAATGTTAGCTTTGAGTGAGAATGCACGGAATCATGGACCTACCAGAATAACACCACAGCTCCATACATCGACCTTGCGACCAGTGTATAAGGAATCGCTGACGACCAGCTCAGGCGCGGCATAACATGGACTTCCGCAGCTGGTCTGCATGAGGTCACCACGGCGGGATGCATCGCTTCCGTCGAGGCCAAGAGATTTGATAAAGTCCTTGTCGCCCAAGCGGTACTCGACTTCCTCGCCGAGCTCATCATTGGGGTCGAATGTGTTGGCAAACCCGAAATCAGTGATAATGATGTTCTTGTTGCGGTCGAGCAGCAGATTCTCAAGCTTGAGATCCCTGTGCACAATACCCTTGCGGTGGAGGTAGCCCACACCAGAGATGAGCTGGGAAAAGAGCTTCCGCGCAGGGCCGTCCTTGAGGTAGCGATGGTTGAGAATGTAGTCGAAGAGTTCACCACCGGACGCGTATTCCAGGATGATACCAATGTGTCGGTCGGTCTCGACCATTTCGTGTAGCCGGACGATGTTAGGGTGGTCTAGCTGGCGCAGGATCTGGATCTCGCGGTAGATCTTGGCCAATCGATTCGAGTTGCTGCCGAGCGTTTCTCTTCTTATGAGCTTGATAGCGACTTCGACGGTGCTGTCCCGCTTCCACCCCATCTTGACCTTGCCAAACTCACCCTCGCCGAGCGTCTGCCCAAGGATGTAGTTGCCAAACTTGCTACGCTTAGCGTTTTCAGATTTGGAGTGATCTTGTCGGCTCCTTCCTGCTCCACGGCCGCCATCGTCGACGCCCTCGCTGCCAACGAGACCGAGTCCCGTGATTGGAGTCAGGTCCGCGCCGGATGCGCCCGAGCGGCCTTCTGCTTGCCGCGCCTCTGCACGGGCGATGTCTTCTTGCGGGTCAGCGACCACTATGCGGTTGATGACTGTGCTCTCTTCGCGGGGCAGGCTGGTTCCGGCGGGCGTCTGACCCACGGCGGAGGCGGATCTGCTGTGCTGGGGCTGCGACCTGCTGGAGCTGGCGGGCTGGCGGGGGCTCTCTTTCTCTCTCCGGCGTGCAGAGTCGTCGCGCTGTGATGAGCCGGCCGGGGTGCGGTGCGAGGATGAACGTGGAGGCGGCATTGGGCCACCTGCCGTCGCGGTGCTGTTCACGGCGGGCGAGTTCTGGGTCGAGGGAGGCAGTGGTTGGGCGCGGGGGGTGGTTGCGGCGGACGAGTGGTGCGTCTGCGGTGTGGCCGGGGTGTTTGGGGACGCGCCATTGCTCGGTCGCTGGGCGTGTCGGCGCTGCGAGGCGGGCGATGCGGTTGCAGGGGATTGCTGCTGGTAATACTGCTGGCCATGCGGCGGCTGCGATGCCACGGCGGCCATGTCGGGGGATGCAGTGTCTCACAGCTGGAGGCGTGGGAATCGACGACGTGCACTTGCGGTGGTGGGCCAGAAAACAGTCAACAGTGTCGAATGGGCGTTGGCGGGGACAGCGGCGTGCTTTAGTTCCCGCGGGCCTGCGATGCTGCAGCGCGCTGGCAAATGGGAAGCGGCGACGGAGCGGTGAGGACGTGTAAGTCGAGCAATTGGATCGGCAGCGCGTCGTGGGTGCGCGGAGCTGGCAGCTGGCAGCTGGGGGCTGGAGGGGCTCGTCTCGGCAGCAGGATGCAATGTGCAATGCAGTGTCTTCACGTGCACTATGAGCGAGCGTGCAGGAAACGGAAGCAGGCGACGGTCCGGGTTGTCTTGATAGCAGCCTCAGGCTCCGAGAGTGGCTGGGCGGGCGCGGTGGTGCTGGAGCTGCAGCGGAAAACAGCAGCAGCCGGCTATCTAACGGTCGCCGTCTCTCAAGCGATCGAGGACTGGACGTGTTGGTTGACGTGAGTGGAGGAGGCAGGAAGCGCGGCTGAACAAGACCCAGACGCAATCTCGGTAGACAGTGAGTAGCTAGCACGCAGCCATGACCAGGGCAGCGAAGAAAGGAGATCCATCACCGTGACCACCACCACGCCCTCGGCCTAACACCAACCCGCCAGAGCGCACACACCACGGGCCACCAGATCAGCGAGATTGCACACGATTCCCACACTGTAAATACCTGGGTTGTCCCAGCACGCGCTCGCTCTTGGGCATCACCATACAACGGCGCGCGCACACTGAGCGCCTTTCTGCTTCCATCGCTGCAAGTCCCCATTAGGCGCTGCAAGGATGCCAGCTGTTTCAAACACAAAGGCCCCGGCAGAGGCGTCGTTGCGCAAATTGCCCTTTATGCGCCCTCACTAAGAACACACTGACTCCTTCCCACGATGTCATGTGTGGAGAGCAGTCAGTGCTGCTGGCTGGAATGCTGGAGCGGAGTCCTCAGCGCTCAGTGCTCCAGGGCAGCGTGCACTGCACGTGCATGGCCGTCTCATCATCTCGAGATGGATGTACAAAGTACCACACCACAGAACTCTATCACCAACTACTTCACGAGCATCTCGCATTGTCCCAACGTGTCGTCTCCATGGGAACCCAATTGTTGGCGAGCAGAACCCGCCTGATATTGCCATGCTGCTGCATGTCTTGCTCGCCCACGACCTATTCGGCCCCATATATCCATGCATCACAGGTTCCAATTTGTTAACACGCGCCGTCGACGCGACGTCAACATCAACACCAACACCATCACAGGAATCTCCCCGCCAAAGCGTTCCTGACGTAAAACGCTCAACGCGTGCCCCTGAGCACAAGCAAGGAACTCCACGTCGCGAAAAAGGTTCAGCGACACAGAGAAACGATGTCGCTCAACTGTCACCGTGTCTCAGCCGAAGCATGGCGGTGGCTGTAAGGGCCGTTCCCTGCATGCATTGGCGCATTCTTCGGCTCCGCGCCCAATGACGGCGCCCGTGCAATGACTTGCAGCGTGTAGCTGGCTTCTGACAGATGATGCGCGCCGAGAAGATCACTCCAGCAGGCATCTTGCTGCATCGCAAACACGCCGTTACCTAAAGTTGCAGAAGAAGTGTAGAATCTTCTGCATTGGGCGTAACCTCGGAAATTTGATGGTGCTTGGGAAACGCTTGCTTGTGTCACTCGGGTCCACCTCCCGGTAGCTTTTCGAGGCCGTTGTTACTCCATCTTCGCGCTCCTTCCTTCCGAAACCGCGGCCATGTCTGGGATCCATGGTCAGCGATGTTAGAGGCGATCTTTTTGACGTCACACGGTGGGATTACATCGCTTGGACTTCATTTAATAATCTGCTCTACGGCTATTCTCATGCTTATCGCCACATGTTGCGCCTTTATTTCGCACATCACTCAGATCTTGATCTCACTAGGCATGCCAATCTCCATGATGTCGATGCCCTTCTGGAGCTCAGCCTTACCCGGCATCTTGTTTCTCCGCATAAGCTCTGCGCTCTGTGTCATGTACGGATCCTTCATCATCGAGGCCACCGCCACCACCTGGTCTCCCTTTGTGTAGTAGGCGACAAATGATGGCTTCTCGATATCGCCTTGGAGAACCACATCGTCGTATCCACTAGCAGCTGTGTTACCGCAGTATCGAAGTTGCGAGCCGAGAGCTGACCAGAAGACAGGTATGAATGGCTTGGGCTTGGCTCCCGGGTTGTTGATCGAGTTGGCCACTGAGCGTCCGGCGTTCTGTGCGACGTTCCAGTGTTCAATACGAACGGGTGCGCCATTCCCGCCAGGGCCGTGGTAAGGGTAAGTTGCAATGTCGCCCAATGGCGTAGACATCCTTGAGTCCGTCGACGGCGAAGGATTCGTCTGTCTTTATTGAGCCATCCTTCTCGAGGGTAATGGCAGAGTTCTCCTTGAGATATTCCGTAGCAGGCTTGACACCCACACCTTCGATGACCAGGTCCGCCTCCAGTGTGGTGCCATCCTTGAGATGCACGGCACCGACCTTGGATGAGTCGCTCTTTGAGGGGGTGGCCTTCTCCACGCTAGCGCCCATCTTAAACTTGACCCCATTCTTCTCTAGGAGGCCGCGGAAGATTTTCCCAACCTTCTTACCCATCACACGCTCCATTGGCTCTGTGCACTGTTAGCGGATGATCAGTCAGATGAAAGCTCGTACTAACCCTCTTCCATGCCAATAACCGTAACATCGTTCTTCATGCCAGCCAAGCAGTTACCTACCTCCATGCCGATGAAAGAGCTTCCGACGACCACAATCTTTTTGCCGTTGTCACCGACAGCCTTCAAGATGTTCTGGGTGTCTGGCAGGGTGCGCAACAAGAAGACGTTGCCAAGGTCACCCTTCAAGCCATCAAGTGGGAGCCAGTTTGGTGTTCCACCTGTTGCCAGTACCAGCTTGGAGTAGTCGAAGTCCTTGCCCGACTTGGTCGAGACCTTCTTGCTGGAGAAGTCAACGCCGCTAACTTCACCCTCGACGAAGTCAATCTTAGCATCCTTGTAGAAGTCCTTTTGTCTCCACGCCGCCTTCGACAGGTCTGCCAGTAGGGCCTTGGACAGCTTGGTACGGTCGATCGGTTGGTAGCCTTCTTTCGAGACAACGGTGATCTTGCCGGTGTATCCTCCACCTCGCAGACCTTCGACCGCGCCGAGTGTGCCTGAGCCACTGTTTCTATTAGCTATGATTCTCTCATGAATGGTGTCACGCTTACCCTCCAATAACCAAGACCTGCTCATCGCTCACCGAGGAGCACTTCAGGTTCAAGACTCTCCGGTTTGCCTTCAATGTGGCCTCGTCGGTCTTGATGTACACAGCACCGTCGCGCTCAAACACCTCATACTTTGAAATCGGGTCAAGAGCAGGGGCGTCTTCGACATCGCCAGTTGCGACAGAGAAGCAAGCTATCCCACATCAGCTCAAAGTTTTGAACAAATCGTCCAATGGAACATACCTCCGTGCCATGGGCACGTCAACCTTCCCTCGGGTGTCAAAACACCCTTGGCCAATGGTGCACCGTAATGCGTGCAAGTCGAGCTTGTAGCATGTACCTGATCCTGCACCTTCAACAGCAACACCTTGCCTCCCTCCACACCCTCAACCTCGACCTCCTTCTTCTCTCCATTCTTCAGATTTAGCGACGTCACGTCCTTGAGCTTGAATTCCTGCGCCATGATGCGAGCTGTGCTGCTAAACTGGCGGTGAGCTGTGGAACTGAATTGCAACTTGAATTGACTTCGTAAGGGCCGAAAGACACGTAGAGATTGCATTAATTGCGCGGTTGAGAGAGCGTCTGGAGGTGAGGTGATGATGCTGGCAAATAGCGGGGTGCTTACTGGGGAGCTAAAGGCTGTGATGTGATTTGTTCGGCCGGTCACGATTGCATGACGACATGGGTATTTTACGCGCGATGGAGACGCGTTGGGTTGGATGTTTATCGATAAGGTGTGGAAGTGACGTTTTGATGCGTGGTGTGGCCAATTGGAGCGGAGGAGATTACTGCTACATGTTTTGTGACGCGAGATCAGACGTTTAGTCCTTAATGGCTCTGTTCTGTTAATTGCTCAATTGTTGGTATCTACCACCTGTCTGGCTGGTCTCTATAAGAGGTATTGGCTAGATTGACTCTCTTTTTCTAGTAGCCGTGCTATACCCTGAGGAGATCACGAGAGCACTTCGGAGATACATACACTTCAAGCATGTAACTGCCATATCTGTCACTGTCTGTACAAACATCGTATGACTGCAGGTTGTCAGCGAATAGGAGCAGCATTTCTCCGGTACCGCTAGTCTACTCCGAGGTACGGACTCTTGGCGTCGATTCTCCGCTCCTTTGGCAGTCGCGATACAGAAAGCCGGAAGCGTCACCATCTACGGTTTTCAAACACAATCGAATAAACACAAGCAATCGTTTGAGCTGTGTCAGCCGACCATCGCTTGCATTTGCCTTTAGATACGGGGTGTGGCTGACGGTTGAATCATTAGTCGAAGCCTCCCACGCCATGTCTCGTCAGTCAACAACACCGAAGGTGCGGAGATCTGCTGACCCGAAACAGACACCACCTTCCCGTCTGGACTGCCCGTCCCCAAGGATGATGGCGCTTGTTCGCATCTATTAGGATCTCGTATGCCCTCGGTCACACTGCCTGACACCTCGGGCAATACGGTAGATGTTTCATCGCTCTCAGGATTGACCATCCTATTTTGCTATCCACGCACTGGCGCGCCCGGAGAGACCATCACAGACGACTGGAATGCTATTCCGGGAGCGAGAGGATGCACTCCACAAGCATGCAGCTTCAAAGATGAGCTTGCCGAGCTGGCGAAGCTCGGCGTGAAGAACGTATTCGGCTTGTCGACTCAAGACACCCCATATCAGACAGAGGCTAAAGAGCGGCTGCACTTACCCTACGACCTCCTTTCGGACAAAGAATTGGCCTTCGCGGAAGCTCTCAAGTTGCCAACGTTTGAGTGGCAAGGAAAGCAACTGATCAAGAGACTTGCGCTTGCAGTTGAGGATGCAAAGATCATCCATGTATGGTATCCCGTCTTCCCTCCCGATTCGAACGCGAAGGAGGTGCTCAATTGGCTGGCGCTCAGGAAATAGTACATGCAAGGTACCAATTCGCTCATTTGAAACAATTGGATCTCGTCAGGGACGGATTTGGTTCAGCATGACTCGGCATCGCTGCAGCAATCACAACTTCTCACAAACTTGACTGCAAAGCCGGCCGAGGCTGACATCCACAATGATAGCGAAATCACTGTTGTACCAGACTGTTGTTGCGCAACGCCGACAACGTGCTCACATCGCCTTCAACGGCTTCTCCTTTCTTTTTCCGTGCAACGTCCTCCTGTCAAGGTTCTAGCGCGATAGCTTCTTCCGCGAAGGTTTGCTGGTGCAACGCTAGGTAACACGCTATCCTGGTCAAACAAGCTTAACCCCAAAATTGACAAACTCGAGATCGTGAATTAGCTTTCGGTCCATGTGTTTTGCCGAGAGCTACAATAATGAGGTATACCCCTCGCATCTCATCGCGGTTTGTCGCGAAGGCTATTCCGGGGCGGACGTTCACTATTGCAAACCCTTAATGCCAGGCTGAGAGGACCGACCTTTCTTTACACACATCCAGTCACTGTCGTTCTTAGTACTTCCATACATGACTTTGGCTACCGTTTGCCTGAGCTAAAGCAGGGGCAGCTCAGTTTTTACGCGTACATCTACATCTGGTTCTCTTAATTATAATGTCTACCACCCTCAGCACGCGCCGCCAACAACCGACGACAAGTTTTACCACATCAAAACGATCCTCGGCCACTAGCACTACCACATCACAAGCAACTCCAACCTCTTCCATCGTCGATCGGCAGTTCAGTCTTGATACCAGCAGCTCTACTTTCAGCGCGACGACAAACACATCCAACAACGTTATCGGCGCGACTCCGACATCCACACCCAGTGCCAAGTGCTCGGCAGACAGTGATTGCGGTAGCAACAAGATATGTTCGAAAGGGGTCTGCGCTAGAGTGATCGATGGTGCCCCGTTTGGTCCAGCTGGAGGCTCGACTTCAGGGTCAACGTCGCATATGAGCTCCGGAGCAGCAACGGGGCTGGGTCTGGGAGTTCTGAGCTTCATTTTAATACTGTTTGGCCTAGGCATCTGGTTATGGCGGAGAAGAGTACAGAAGATACCCAGCTTTACGATAGAATCGTCGCGAGTCAACCGCAGCAGGTCCGTATCGAGTGCGACTGATCAGAAAACACTTGTGGCTTCCGTACCGAACAGTCCACAGTACGCCAATTTTCGCGAGCAGTACGATCTAGAACACACTGCGTCTCTTGCGCAGCTAGTCTTGCCACACAAGGTTGCTAGCCACCATCGGTTCGAGAAAGACGGAGCTGCCGACGAGAAGCAAAATTCATCCACAGTAACAACGCGCCAAAGATCTCAGTCGACCCAAAAGCGTCTACCTTTACCGCCTAAGGATATGCCATTGCCCCCACCACCCACAACAACGGAGAAGAAATACACAGTGAACGTCAACATCAATAAGAGCATGATATTCGACGATGTGATGTACAAAATGGCTAGCACACCACGAGACACGGGAACACCACGTGAAAGCGAAACACCACGTGATCGAACAAAGTATCGATTTGAGGAGTACCATCCGCCTGTCAAAATCACGCCACCAATCTCTCTGAGTTCGGACAAGCGAAAGTCTGAGATAGAATTGGCGCCCTACCCCCGCAATACCAGGGTGTCAACAGCTCCGACTGTTAGCGATGAGGGAGAGGACGGCGAGAGAAGTTTGAAGAGGAAGAGCACACTGAAGAGATTGCAAAGCAGACCGCCACAGCTTCATCTCCCCGGGCTGTCATCACCTCCAAGTCCCAGTCTCAGCTTCAAATCTTATGACTGGTATCAGGACATTATTGGCACAGAACAGACGAACTTGGAAGATACAGTTTTGACAACTTCAGCACCATCGATTCCAGATCGCAGCCCAAGGAGGTCACCAACGCGGCCGAATTTCATCGCCATACCACCTTCAACACTATCGGAACCCCCGATCCCAGATCGCCATCCCCATCGAGATTTAGAACGTGGACTTTTACCAGCACCACTCTCACCACGGCCTCTTACGCCATCTTCGCCATCATTGCTATCGCCGAGCACGGCCGCGACGCCCAGTCCTACTTCAACAAACTTCATACTAGCACCCGCAGTATATGTAATGCCCTCGAAGCCAGCGCGCGTTTCTCTGCACAGCTCAATGTCTCAGAAACCACACAAGCCGAGGAAAAGCTGGCTTCCTGCCGAGGGTCTATATCTCCCCAAGGAGGGCACGCAAGACTCTTACACGATGTTCAAGAGGAGAATTAGCGACGACAGTCGACCGACGAGTTACTCGCCGTTCTAGTAAACATCTTTCTCTGACAACGAGTATTTCCACGGACTGTCCGAATTGAACTTCTACCGTTATTGCACCGATTGCAACGATTTCCTTTGTTCAGATATTTCCTAAAAGCCTCAATTGTACCTATACCCGCCTCTATGGCCCGACTTTTGACCAACGAGATGTATTACTATCATTTTGCGCTATTTCCTATATGCTTGTCAGGGGATTGGAGTGGGGTAATTTGGCGTCCAACTATAGTCACTGTGAGACGGCCCACAGCGAAGGTCCGATGTCTTCAAGCATGTTTGAATGCTAGATATCACGAAACATGAGACTCAGTTTCGTACAGCGATACGGAATGCTTCTGTGTTGCAATGTTGCATAATGTAATTATAACGGAAACATAATGAATGTTCAAACAGAACGGTGAGATTTGATCACACAAGCAATTCAGGCAGATACTGATTCAGATCTGCCACCACAGGCTGTGGGGAGATCTGCATTGTGCAACCACACAGCTAGCATGCGGCTACAAAACGTTGAGATGCGACGCCAGTATGTTCTGTCGTAGTGCAACAGGCGCCTTCCAAGCTCGGAACGTCGTCGGGATGCAGGCATCACCAGATCTCGAGCCTCACGGTCCGACATCGAGACCTTCATCAACACAACCCCGTGAACGGTTCCAAAACGGCTGTTCACCTACCTATCTTTACCTAGATGGCACTCATCGATATCGCGTTATTGCTGCTGTCGTGGCTCTTTCAGCGCCACTATTACGTTCCGGTATGTTACTACACACTGGTCAACAACACCATTAAGCATTAGCAACGGGCGCCTCGAAGCTTGAAGCTTCCCTGTGGAAGCTACTTCATGAGTTCAGCAGATGCTGCTCTCCGCGACCGCCGATTCGTCTAATGTCGGCGCGAGGGACGTGTTGTGTTTCCCCGCCGCCTCGCTAATGCAGACGCCCCTGGTGTCAATGTGCCTGGCCATCGTCATCCGCCTCAGTCATGCGGGGAGCTTGCGAGCTTGATCGGCGCACCTTGGCAGAGACTGGGGTAGCTATATGTACCTGCAATTGCCCTTGATGAAAATTTCAAGGACATTCGGGCCTCTTTGCCAATCTCTCATAGTGCAATCAGTTGCGTTTCTGATCGCGAACGCCGCGATTGAAACGAAATGGCTCGCACGAACTTCTTTCGTGCTTCGGCGCTTTTTTCTTGCGTAGCGTTGACACATGCGCAGGCTGTTACGCCCGCAGCTTCTTCAGATGGCGGGTGGAGCACAACACTCAACGGCACGCCGACGTCGTTTCGACCTGTATTTACGATTCCCGCGTCGGCGGATCAGGGCGCGAACGTCCTCCCCAACATCCAGGACCCGCAAGCAGTCAATGCGCAGAACGTCTGCCCTGGATACACAGCATCAGCCCTTGAGCAGGACGATCAAGGATTGAGCGCGGTCCTCACGCTCGCTGGAAAGCCTTGCAACGTCTACGGTACCGACATCGATGTGTTGAGCCTCAAGGTTGAGTACCAGAGCAATAGTAGGCTGGCTGTGAACATCAGGCCAGCACATCTGGATGCTTCGAACAGCTCACAATGGATCGTGCCAGAAGACCTGATCCCGCGACCCAAGAGTGAAAGTTCTTTCGCGGACATCGATCTGAAGTTCGATTGGGGCAATGAGCCCTCCTTCTGGTTCACCGTCACCAGAAAGTCCAGTGGCGATGCGATCTTCACCACCAAGGGTACACATCTCGTTTACGAAAACCAGTTCATCGAGTTCGTCAACAGCCTGCCCGAAGACTACAACCTATACGGTCTCGGCGAGCGCATTCACGGACTGCGCCTCAACAACAACTTCACGGCTACAATCTACGCTGCGGACGTAGGCGACCCGATCGATCGTAACCTTTACGGCAGCCATCCCTTCTACCTCGAGACGCGTTACTTTGAAGCCGGCAAGGCAGACAATAAGAACAAGAGGGCGTTGATGTCGTCGGAGATACAACAGACTAGCTTCAACACAGGCGATGAGGCAAAGGGGTCACCCTACGAGTCTGCCTCCCATGGCGTGTACTACCGCAACACACACGGCATGGAAGTTGTACTCAATCCTACAAAGTTGACCTGGAGGTCTTTGGGTGGCGAGATTGACTTATTCTTCTTTGATGGGCCGACACAGCCAGAGGTCACCAAGCAATATCAGACATCTGCGATCGGCCTGCCGGCCATGCAGTCATACTGGACATTCGGGTTCCATCAGTGTCGATGGGGATACCACAACTGGAGCGAGACAAGGGAAGTTGTCGAAACGATGAAGAAGTTCAATATTCCCCTGGAGACCATCTGGCTTGACATTGACTACATGGACCAGTACCGGGACTTCACCCTTGACCCTGTCACTTTCCCGCCATCAGACGTCAAAGAGTTTTTTGGCTGGCTTCACGGTAACAACCAACACTTCGTGCCTATTGTTGACGGTGCAATCTACATCCCCAACCCCCAGAACGCTAGCGATGCGTACGACACATATGCCCGAGGCAACGAGTCAGGTGTTTTCCTGAACAACCCTGATGGCAGTCAATACATTGGTGCTGTTTGGCCTGGTTACACCGTCTTCCCTGACTGGATGGCATCCAAGGCTCAGGCGTGGTGGATCAAGGAGATGGTTGAATGGTACAAGGAGGTGCCGTTTAGCGGTTTCTGGCTCGACATGCAAGAGGTCTCTTCCTTCTGTGTTGGCTCATGCGGCACTGGCAATGTGACGCTCAACCCTGTTCACCCGCCATTCTCGCTTCCGGGCGAGGTCGGAAACATGGTTTTCGACTACCCTGAGTTTTTTAACATCACCAATGCGACTGAAGCTACTGTTGCTTCTGTTGCGTCAGCCAGTCAGTCCGCTGCATCGGCAACTTCGACTTCGTCATCTACCTCTACTGTCTATTTGAGGACGGCTCCAACAGCTGGAGTAAGAGATGTTAATTACCCTCCTTATACCATCAACCATGTCCAAGGCGATCTTGCAGTCCATGCCGTTAGCCCGAATGCTACACATGCAAATGGTGTGCAAGAATACGATATACACAACATCTGGGGCCATCAGATCATCAACGCTACCTACCAGGGTCTCCTCGAAGTCTTCCCAGGAAAGCGTCCCTTCATCATTGGCCGATCAACCTTCGCCGGCAGCGGCAAGTGGGCTGGACACTGGGGTGGAGACAACATGTCAAGATGGGCGTACATGTTCTTCTCCATCCCTCAAGCGCTTTCGTTCTCACTCTTCGGTATTCCCATGTTCGGCGTTGACACTTGCGGCTTCAATGGTAACACGGACGCTGAGTTGTGCTCGCGATGGATGCAACTCTCTGCCTTCTTCCCCTTCTACCGCAACCACAATGTGCTCTCTGCTATTCCGCAAGAGCCGTACCGATGGGACAGTGTCGCTTCTGCTTCGCGCACGGCAATGAACATCCGCTACACTCTTCTGCCATACATGTACACCCTCTTCCACCAGGCACATACCACCGGGTCTACTGTCATGCGTGCTTTAGCATGGGAGTTCCCCAACGAGCCTCAACTCGCTGGCGTCGATACGCAGTTCCTGCTCGGCCCTAACATCTTGGTCACTCCTGTGCTCGAGCCCCAGGTAGACAGTGTTAAGGGTGTATTCCCTGGTATCATTGATGGAGAGTCGTGGTACGACTGGTATTCTGGCGAGCGTGTTCAAGCTCAAGCCGGTGTCAACACAACCATCCCCGCGCCTCTAGGTCACATTCCCGTCTTCGTCCGTGGTGGCGCAATTCTGCCTACCCAAGAGCCTGGCTACACCACGACCGAATCTCGCAAGAACCCATGGGGTCTCATCGTTGCGCTCAGCGATCGCGGCGAGGCGTGCGGCTCGTTGTACGTCGACGACGGAGAATCGCTCGAGCCCTCTGACACGCTTGACATTTCTTTCGCTGCCATGGAGGGAAAGATCAAGGCGACAGTCAAGGGCTCGTTCAAGGATGCGAACACACTCGGCAATGTCACCGTCTTTGGCGTGTCTAGTGTTGGTCAAGTCAAGCTTAATGACCTGACCATTGATGCGGCCAAGGTGAACTATGACTCGGCGACCAGGGTGTTGAAGCTGTCAGGTCTGAATGATTTGACGAAGGGTGGAGCATGGCAGGGCGATTGGACGTTGAGCTGGGCGTAGTCGTTGTGTCTTACATGCAGAAGAATCAAAAGCATACTTCTCAAATCACGAATCTTTAGTAATCCTTACTCTGCATACGTCGTGAACGCTTGCGAAGCGAGGACAAACGCCCATTCGGTACCTGAAACCTCATCTATTTACCCGAGAAACGTACTTGACCAGATGTAGTACTCGGCCCTACCCCAGGTCTAGGCATCCCCGCACATCGAGGCAGTGCAGCTGTCAGCACGTGTCTTGGAAACAACGCAAACATGGTAGTTTTTCCCTTACCCAGTATCTTGGTATGTCTTGCCCCTGGCAAACCAAGCCTGGTACTCGGGCTTGCTCAACGCCTTTTGTGGACCGCATGCTCGCTCTTATGTCGATGAGTTATATGGAATGTCCGATGAAATCTCCGATGGGGGATGGATAAAGGCGCGAGGAAGGATAAAGGCGCGAGGAACTGCCGGTAGGACGGATAGGGTCGTGATTGCCTCTTTCCCGGACACTGTCATCCGTTTGAATAGAAGGAATTGGCCATCGTGAAATCACACACAAGCGACCATGATGCTTCCAAACCTCTCAACCAAGCTCCTAGCTTGCGCATCCCTCGCCGCCGCCCTTCCAAGCAGCAATCCATACCCGCAGAAGAACTACACGGAAACAGAGATCCTGGGTGCTCTTGCGGGTACTTACACGCTCATCAACACCACCAGGTAATAATCCCACTCCACCCACATCTGCCGTCCACTAACATTCCCAGCGCACTTAATGGCGTCTCCATCCCCGACGCCGCATATGGCACCGCCCCAATCGGCATCTTAATCTACACCTCCACCGGCTGGATGTCCGCCACAATAACCGCTACCGAACCCGAGCTCCGTCCCCCACAACTCATCTTCCCCTTCCAGGCCAACGACACGGACGCCGACTGGGCGCTCGTCGGCAAGCATAGTATCGGCTACGCGGGCCCGTTGAGGTTGAGCGATGCGATTCCGGCGAATCTCACGCATGGCCAGGTCTTCCATGGGCCATTGACTGTGGCGAATGTGCCGAGTTGGAAGGGACAAAATCAGAGGAGGAATTTTACGGTGATTGAGGAGGGCGGGGAGACGCTTTTGAGGATTGGGAGTGAGAGGGGAGGGGGGTATACGGGGGTGCTTTGGTGGAGGAGGGTGGCGAAGGAGACGTAGGAGATGAGAAAAGGGATGAGGGTGCTTTGGACGGAGTAGCAATATCACATTGCTAGAGACTTCAAGGTATAGAAGATTGGTGAATCATACCTATATTCTTCGATGTCATGAAATGCTTTTGCTGGAATGCGACGCTAAGAACAAACCTGATGAATGCAGATGATCGCCAATCTTGAGCCAGCGAACAGTTGAATCAGGCAGCTTGTGCCTGTTTACTCCTGACTTCCAATTTCCTCGGTTTCTTCTTCTCCTTCGGCTCTCGATTCTCTTTGTCTGTGTCCTTCTCCTCTTGTCCAGCACTGCCATTCATGTTCCCAATCTTCCCCGCCGCCTCCCTCAACACCTCCGGATTGGGCACCATGTCCTCATCCTCGCCCGGATCCTCCGCCATCTCAGGTCCCTTCTCAGTCTTCTCCTTGCCATCGCCCATCCTGCCATCTTTCCCAATCTTTCCCAACTTAATCCACGGCCCGTGCATTGCTCCTGTAGCAACTCCAGCCAGCCCTCCAACCGCCGTCGCGGGTATCGCAGTCACGGTGCCAACAAGCGTGCCCACCACCGTGCCCAGACCCGCGGCTGTAGCAGCTCCTATACCCGCGCCACCCACGCCGCCCTGGAACGCGCCAGACGTAAGGACGCGTGCTTTTTTCGAATTCCCATGGGCTTCGATTTCCTTGTTGTACGCGTCTGTAAGGTACTGTTCGCGTTTCGCGGGATCTTTAAGTGTCGCAGCAGCTTGCCGGAGCGATGAAGCAGTTTTCTGCGCGGCGAGAGCTTGTTCGGCGGCGGTGGCTGCTTCCTGGAGTTTTGTCTGTGGGGAATCGCCTTTTTGGGCGATTTTTTCGAGTTCGGACGAGGGGATCTCTTGCTGGGATGTTGTGCGGTTCAGCTTTTTGGGTGGCATTGTGAATGTGGTCTTTTTGGTATGAGGTCGAGGAGTGTTAAGAAGGGGGTTAGGTAAGGACGCGACATGGTTGCTGGTTACACTGTGGTTGTTTGGGAGGGAAAGTTGCGAGTGATGATGGATGTGACGTCAGATGCGCGTGCTGTGGGCTACGGTAGGGGTCAAATCCTGGAACAAGGTGCGACAACATTGGTGCAGGGAACATGTACAACAGCAATTGTAGTTGACGTCTACTATTCTATATGTTGTCCGAATGCTCAGGATGCTTACATCGAGCGAATAACGATAGAGAGTTGGTATAGAATCTTACAGCTACTGCGCCTTCAGTACTTCTCCTACTCCTTCTCTGAACAGCAACAACGCATACCACATATGCAATGTCATAAGCGCGTCTGGCTTCAGCGGCTTGTTCTCTTTCGGGTTGCAACTTGTATGTGCGTACTCGATCGTTACGTTCGTTGTGCTATCATGATTCGTATCGGGTTTGGCCTCGTTATCTGCTCTGATGACCGAGAATCTATGGATGCCAGCAATGAAGCCATCATTCCAACCAAATACAAAATCGACATGGCTACTCGGCCCTAGATGCGGCTGCGAAGGCGGACCAGCTTCGACTTGGGATTCGACCAGTCGCCATACACCAAAGATGAGGGCGTGAAGCGGTGGAAGCTTATGGGTTGATAACTGTGCCTTCGACCAGATCTTTGATGAGACGGGAGTGGTACTCAGGGCTTGCGCATGTCAATAACTGGGGTTGCATGATGATCCAAGAGCTTCGCATACCTTGCAAGTCTGTCAGCTCCTTGTTCTTCGCTTTCAAGAGACCGCGCTCTATGGCCAACACATGACCTCCGAAGAAACCTTTGACGAAGCGCGCCAGAATCTCCTCATCTGAGATGGTCTTTGAAACGCGTATAGTGATGTGTCGTGTGTCGTTGATAGTCACGTGATCGTCCGGATTCGCGATCTTGACCCATTTAGATTCTGCGAAGGAGTCAGGAATGCTGTAGCTGCTAATGATTTGATGGATTGGCGCATTGCATGTGGCGTTGTAGATGTTAACGAGGTGATATATGCCTAATGCAGCAAGCGCTGCTGCTGTCGACGCGGCGATGAGGGGCTTCATGAGTGGAGGTGTTGCAAAGTATCGTGAACACAGCTTGCATGCTAATGTCACTTATTTATCAATCTTTTGCTGGTCTCGTGTACCTTTCCAACGCCTCTTCGTATATAGCGGAGCTCCGCAGGCTTGTCCCGACTTGACCCGCAGAAGCGTGTGCATTCTGCAGCATCGCGGTGCACGGCGAGAGTTTTACCGGCAACGATATGGACAAAGGTCGTGGTCCAATGGTCCTTGGATGGCCGGTGTATGAAGGCGAGGCATTGACTGTCTGAATGGAGGTGGCGTAGGTCGACCCGGGATGCTACCGGGACCAAGTCGGAGATGGCCTGCGCTTTCCGAGGTCCTTTGGTTCTTCGATAAGAACTTACTTCCGCACATTATGCTTCACTTCACCTCGATTTCACGCCCGAACGACATTCGGTGAGTAGGGCTTGGCATACTGCAAGGCGGCAAGAGAAGGCTATAAAATGGCTATTTTTATCTCAAGACAGTTACATTGGTCTCAAGACGGCTGCATTGGTCGCAACTCCGCTGGGCCATGGTTGCTGTATTACACACAAAAATACTTCACACATTCTAGACCTCAACAAAGCCGGGCTAGAGACAGAGCAAGGGAGTATAACTACTAAAACAGAGACTGTGCGGGTGAGACATAGCCTTTGCTTCTCATAACGAGACGTGGCAGACATATGCTACGCTCCTAAATCTGCATCATATTGGTTACGCGATGAGTGCGTCGCAAGATATAGCGCCCTCGTTGTCGTCAAGAAACCAGTTGTGCCGAGTTCTGAGACTACACCCCGAACAGTTCTCTCAAGTGTATGCTCTCTAGCTGCAATGCCAATTTAGCAGCTAATACATGTCTAAATACGAAGTAATATTTATGACAACGAGAGAGTTGCCTGGCAAGAATCCAAGGCCACGCTCACAAGGTTAGCAGCGCCGTGTAAATCTACGAGCTGAGTAAGTAGAGCATGCCCTGCGAATCTCTGCCGCGGTTGTTGTCATACAATTCCTGTTACGGAAGACGATTGTTTTTACCCCGCGCAAGTCATAACTTAATCCGCGGGTAGCGGTCTACAATCTTGAGTCAAGCTTGCTTAGTTTGTGCGCTTATAACTTGGCACGAAAATCTACCTGCGCTTCTAGGTAAAGAAGTTCAAGCCAGGGAAGAAGACATCGAACAGCCTCGGTGTGGCGTATAGCCTACACCACGTCTTTCGGGCCTCTGGAACTTGAACCTCTCGCACCCAGGCGATCCTATCTCTACGCGGCGTTGCTTTTTCAAGGCCATCATAATCAGGAAGGCGCCACATGTGCTACAACACGTTGTTCGTCCATGGCTAAGACAACCAATTCTAGATTCAAAAGTATCAGCGAAAAGAGTCACAACTTTACCCAACCGCTACTGCGCCACCAGATCTACGAAGCTTCGGGATGGTGGACCTTCCGAAGATCGCCTCAGGGTCCCCGCCTGATCGTCGCAAGGGCGTCTGCCGAATGGACTCAAAGATCCTGTGTGTAGTTACGGTGATTTGTCTATATAGAGGCCACATATTTCCTGGTGAATGATGCACTCCTCCCGTTCAGAGCCAACAATACCATAGTGCCGACATCATGCTTTCCCTTACCAACCTTCTTCTGGTGGTGCCTGCGGCTCTTGCTGCACCTGTCTTACTGAATACTAGGCAAACCGATAGCATATCTGGCTCCTGGATCGTTCGTGTCAACCAGCAGAGTGTACTGTCGGACGTCATTTCTCAGGTCACAGCTGCTGCTGGAGCCGGTGCAACTAAGAAGCACACGTACGACTTCGGCGGCTTCAAGGGCTTCTCCATTGACGGCGTTTCCGACTTGACCAGCATTGTTGCCAATATCGCTGCCATCCAATCGATAGAACGAAACACCGTTGTTCGAACATCAGCTCTTGTCACCCAGGATAATGTTCCATCATACGGCCTAGCTCGCATTTCTTCACGCAAGAACGGTGCAACCAGCTACATTTACGACTCTTCTGCCGGCGCCGGAACCTATGCCTACATCATCGATACCGGCATCAGGGATACCCACGAAGACTTCGGTGGCCGCGCAACCTTTGGCGCCAGCTTCGTTGACGGTGAGCAAGGTGGCGATGGCAACGGCCACGGTACTCACGTCGCTGGCACCACCGGTGGAACTTCATATGGCGTAGCCAAGAAGACTAACCTTATCGCTGTGAAGGTACTTGGTGCAGAAGGAAGCGGCTCTAACGCTGGTGTCCTGGCTGGTATCAACTATGCCGTCAAGGATGCTCAGTCCAAGGGTCGGATTGGCAAGGCCGTTGCCAATCTCTCCCTCGGCGGGCTCTTCTCACCCATGACCAATGCCGCAGTCACCGAAGCTGTGAAGCAAGGTCTCTTCTTGGCTGTTGCGGCTGGCAATTCGGGTCTCCCCACCATCACATCATCACCCGCATCCGCGCCAGACGTCTGTACCGTCGGCGCCTCCGACAAGAACGACGCCAAAGCTAGCTACTCCAACTTCGGCCTTCTCGTCGACATCTTCGCCCCAGGGACTAACATCACCTCAGCCTGGAAGAACAGCGATACCGATACAAACACCATCTCGGGAACTTCCATGGCGACACCACACATTACAGGCCTCGGCGCCTATCTGCTCGGCCTTGAGGGGTCCCGCAACCCAAAGGCTCTATGCGAGCGTATCCAGGAGTTGAGCACCAAGAATACGCTTTCCAGCGCATTACTTAGCAAGAACTACCTGGCTTACAACGGGAATGGACGTTGAGGATGCTGAACCGATGATTTCCGATACGATGAGGGTCGAGGAACACGATAGATATGACCTTACGAATACACATGCTTTCCTAATACTGCACAAAGCTTCAACTGTAATATTCGATAACTAGCATGAATATCCGCCTCTTGACTTCCGAACCATTGCCTTGCCCAAGCGATCCTTCTCTTGAAACGGTATCGAGTACTATGAGTAGGAAGAAGCTGCTGGGTTCATAGGAAAGCAACGTCGACTGGGGTATATGCACCGTTGCGAATTTGTCAAGTAAAAGCTACGACTATTTCTTTGAGACGTGTTTTGATCCATCAAACTTATGTGCATACTGCCATGAGACTGTGCACACTGCTCACTTTGGATGGCGGCCTTGTGCTAGCCCTTTCACCGTTGCCAACGCTCGGTAATATAAGATCTTCTCCACACTCTCATCAAATTTATGCGATCCATCGCACATATCGTGACTGAGATTCAGTCGCTATCGTTCGACATGGGTCGAATGCCTCTATTTGCTGAAAATGAGGGTACAACGACTGGGTCCATGTATGCTTGAGGACACACGGGTACCGACAAGGCGCAAACGCATCTACCTTTCCGCGCGACGCGTAAATTCGCCTATGGCGATATGTGCCGCCAGCTTGCTATCCAACATGGACCATACGTATTGAAATTGGTCTTGCACATTGCCCGAACCTCATCGCGACTAAAGACGAGACGGAGTACTTCTCATCCGAAGGTCTACAGCTCATTCAGCAAAGCCTTGCAGAACTTGGTCTCATCCCGAGGAAGGCGGGATTCAGATTAACGATGGTCCTTGACGATGATATCATGTACAGCCAGACGGAAGAAGTCTTGAAAGCCATGCGATTAAGCTACGAGAAATCCACGCAGGCTGGCATGCACTTCCGGGTATATGGTTATCCTGCGTCCGACGGTGCCCCTATTGTCCGGATCGATCGTTACTACAGGCTGCACGCGGAGCTTTGGCAAGACTTTGCCGGATCACAACGCTGCCGTAAAGATCATCCTGCGGAATATCCTTCAGATGATGATGCGCCGGATCAAGCTTCTTGGTTGAACCGCTCAGCTAATGAGATGGAACGCAGGGGACATAGTATGGATGAGCTGCCAGAGTATGAGATGAAGATGGAATGGATTTCGCTCCTTCGGGACAGGGCTTACTGACAGCGCAATTCACCTCCACTGGGACAAAGGTAAGCCACGACGACGAATCTGCCTCCAAACAGACCGGCATACGTGGAGAGTCATGCTGGTTACATAGTTATTTATCAGCCAGGCGTTTCAGAACGATACAAGTAGCAATTGCAAAGCATGTCCAAAGAATTGTTTCGATTCGTGCTTCGTGCAAATTAACACTATACAGCTAACCCAGTCCACGTGCCAGCAGAACAGTTCCATGAGCCATTCACTCCACCATAAAATAGTATGACAACGTGGTATAACGCAAAACTAAGCACTCCATGTCGCACAATGTCCAGCACGCCAGCGGACAACGTTGCTCATGCGCTTAAACAGTAGACGTCTGGGGATGCACGCCCGTAGTGGCAGGAGCATCGTGAACAGTAGTCGTCTCATGCGTAGGAGCAAGGACCTTATCCGAACCAGTCGCATGGCGCGTGTTGTTGAAGCGGTTGGCATCGTAAATCCTGGTCTCAAGAAGCGTGCCAACGAGGTTTGTGAAGCTGTCACACAGATTAGGATCCTACCCATTAACCCCACAAATAATGAGAACTTACAAAGCAATAAAAGCAAACGCCTCGAGCGTCTTCTTCAAGCTGCACTTGTTGACAAGAGCGGGCGAGTTGATCGCGCACCCACCATTGTAGTTGTAGTCCTGCGCCGAGAAAATGAACGCCGTGAGCCAGAGGTATGAGAAGATCCAGGCAAGCGGGGCGAGATAGCCTTTGTAGGATTTGAGGAAGGGGAGGGCGACGGCGGGGAGGTAGAGGAATGTGTCGATGGCGGCCTGGGGCGGGTTAGCATGTGAAGTGTGATGGGTTGGGTGGGTAGACGTACAACGCAGATCCAGAACAGGATATGTGTGTTGTGGCCGAAGTTTGCGATGAAGTATGCTGCGATACCCAGGACGATGAGGGAACTGATCAGGTGCAGGGCGTGGGTGGCAGTGAGAAGGAGACGAGACGTTTTGTTCGCGCGGACTGTTGGCGCGCCATAGTCGCTGTTTGTGGTGGTCGTACGAGCCATTGCTGATATTGCTCTGGGAATTGGTGATAGAAGATAGAAGAAGTTACAAAAGTCTAAAGCGCAAGTGGTGGTGTGTTTGCGATGGAAATGGTTGCTTGTTGATCGAGACACGAGAAGGCGACTCGTCGTCTTATATGGGCATAACAATGCACGGCAACAGGTTTGCCCTCGTCACTGTTGTTTCCTTGCTGCATGTCGTACCAGACGTTTCCGTCGCACCCGTGTTGCGCCTTCCCTTTCGAAACAATGGCTTCAAAGAAAAACAACCTTATTCTTGTGCAGCGTCGAATCACAGTCTTTGAATATAGGCATCTTAAATGCTATCTCATCAACACGTCACGGGCGTTTCGACACAGCTTGGAAGTCATCGTGATTGTTACATGGGTGATCTGCGTTTCCTGCCTCGCGTAGTTCGATGCAGGGGCGTGGCAGAACATGGCAGTGGCCCATGCCGATGGCTTGGCGTGCGACCACGATAGCGGTAAGGCAAGAGGAATGTGCTGGCAACCTCGATGACGCTCAAAATGCGCGAGCTGCGACTTGGAAGCAGGATGCAGGCATAAAAATATCGAAAACTTGATGAAAGCAACTGACAACCGAGAGGGTTCGACTGCAATGCTCCTCGGAAGAAGTAGAAAGTTTGTGTGACTGTGCAGCCGACTGCATGCGCATGTCCAGACGCAATAAGTTGCTGGCGATCAAAACCTGCATTGGTACGCTTGTCTGTGTATCGTACCCAAAGCAGCCTTGCTTCCTGTAAACGGGTCGTCATTGTACTCTTGTCCAATACATTCCTGAACCTTACGCAGTGCTGCATTGTCAAGGCCCATACATGCTGAAGGAAAATGCGGACACAAAAGGAGATATGAAGACGAGGATGTGAGGCGCCCATATTGGCTCGCTTCTACTCCTTGTGTTGCGCTGTCTCTACACCAGGGAGTGGAGCGATGCCTCCTTGCGTCGTTTGTGAATACTTACCAGATTAGATATGGTAGAGTTGAGACGAGTTGAGAAGTCCGGAAGGGAATGCCGAGTCCAGATACAAGCACTCGGCTGCTGTTTGTCTGCTGTTGATGCCGTCGAGCACCTCTTACCTAGGTCCACGACTACGGCATGTAGATCCAACGCCAAGACTGAGCATCGAGTGTGCCAACACCTCGATAGCAATGAGGAGTCGTTCGGGCGGCTAGCCATACAGAGATAGTCTTGATTGATGCTTCGGACTCTTCTGTAGTTTGCGATTTGATGAAGCCAAAGGCTAGCACGTGGCCACTCACCAGTTTCTCATCGTTTCCACCTTGACCGCTCTCAGATTTTCTGCCATCTAGCGTCTTGGCAGCAGTAAGTCACTGATTATGTCTCATTGGTTCATCAAGTAGCATCCCATGCGCATAAAAGCAATGGGCAACGAGGCTGGTCATCGCAGTGTAGCACTCGCTTTCCGAATTGACCAACATCAGTCATGGACACAGTCGAGCGGAACGCAATCGCAGACGAAAAGGATGACAGGAGAGGAGATGACGTCGAACTGGGGAGGGAAAATGAAATGCTGCCACCAGCATCAGGTAAATCACCTTTGCATGGTCCTCCAGATTCGGTAACTGACACAAACTGTAGGGGACAACAATGCATCAAAGGAACTCCCTCCATTGAAGGGGTTGTCGTTCCTGGACCGGTTTCTGGTGGTCTGGATCATCATAGCCATGGCCGTCGGAATTGCACTCGGCAACACTGTGGATTCCATCGGCCCTGCGTTACAAAAGGGAGAATTTGTGGGCGTCAGTATACCTATTGGTCGGTGCCGCATACCTCGTCTCATTGGTTTGCACTAACAAACATATCCAGCCATCGGCCTACTCGTAATGATGTACCCGATTCTGTGTAAAGTGCGGTACGAGACGCTACACCTGCTGCTGCGCTCGAAAGAACTGTGGATTCAGATTGCTGTATCCTTTGTCCTGAACTGGATCATTGCACCACTCTTTATGGTCGGTCTTGCATGGGCCTTTCTGCCAGACCGCCAAGATCTCCGAGAAGGTTTGATCTTCGTGGGCATTGCACGCTGCATCGCCATGGTCCTCATCTGGACAGACTTGGCAGGTGGAGACGGCGATTACTGCGCAGTTCTTGTGGCTTTCAACTCAATTCTGCAGATCGTCTTGTTCGCGCCGTTCGCAATCTTCTACGTGCAGATTGTCAGCCATGGAGACAAGACGAGCGTCTCGTATGAGGGCGTGGCGCAAAGTGTTGGCGTGTTCCTTGGTATTCCGCTCGGTGCCGCAGTACTCACACGACTGGGTCTGAGGACTCTGCTAGGAGAAGACCGATATCAGCGACGCTTCATCCGTTACATCGCGCCCTTTTCGCTTATTGGACTTCTGTATACCATCATCGTTCTGTTCGCCAGCCAAGGAGCCCACGTAGTCAGGCAGATTACCGATGTTCTTCGCGTCTGCGCGCCGTTGCTCGTCTACTTCCTGGTTATCTTCACCAGCACCGTCTGGTTCTGCTGGAAGATGGGCTTCGGCTACAGGGTTAGTTGTACGCAAAGCTTTACCGCTGCAAGCAATAATTTCGAGCTTGCAATCGCCGTCGTAGTAGCGGTGTATGGTGCGGGAAGTGGGCAAGCATTAGCAAGTACGGTGGGTCCGCTTATTGAGGTTCCGGTACTGGTGGCTTTAGTCTATGTCTTGAGGTGGGTGAGGAGGAGATGGCAGTGGGCCTAGAAATTTTCGAGAGATTTAGATCGGCATGGGAACTAAACGTCGAACGCTTACTTGCTGGGAACGCGGTGTTGGTCTTATGTAGTCAAACGTAAAGGACGATACTACTTACCAACTCCGTAGAACTGGTGATTGCTCGTATGATAGAATTGGAAGGTGCCGTTGCTTGTAGTTTAGTGATCACGTCATGTTGAGCTTTACAGCGGCCAAATCCAGTTATGCTCCCTAGCCATCGAACGGTGTTTGACATCTCAGGTACCGACCGATGACAGGTGTAGCGAACTTCATTGCCGATCATGTCCACAACCACGCGCCTGACGAGCAGGTGGAGGGATCGATTGGCTCAATGAGGGGCCTCGTTCTGGACGGAGATAGCGTCTTGTAGGCCTCCGTGCGTTGAGTGGATCAGTCGCCGAAGCTAGCAGCTAGCAGATGCCGGAGTCAAAGCCGGGCCTATTCGAGAGGCTGCAGGCGTTGTACAGAACGACCACACACGCATGAATCGTGCATATGCACACGGGACATGGAGCTCGTTGGGTGCGATTCAGAGCGGTCGACGAGGGCACGAAATGAACATGTGCCTGTGAAATACAAGATTTAGTATTAGCTGTTAAGACAGACTGTTTGATATAGAACTTCAAACTGTAATGCTGTGACGTGCGAGTCGTTTTCGCTTCACCGGGCCGGTCTGCATGCCCAGCTCGAACCTTACCTGGCCTCTCAACTGGGAAATCCGCGGTGCAGAAGTTGGAAGTCGCTAGAAATTGTCCCGGAAGCGGTGAGTTTGGTAATATGAGGGAATTCAAGGGCCCTGTGAGCTTGCAGCTGGGTTTGAGGTCAACTAGCGACCTTGTAAACTAACAGGAAAGACTGGCACTTAGCCACGGTCGATAACGATTACGGATCCAACAGTGCTCGGTGGCTACTCGACCATATGGAAGGAGGGACTCGTATTGTAACAGGATTGCCCTGTGGCTCAGACTCGCCCTACTTCATGCACCAAGGGCAAGAGAGATGATTCCGTGGCGGAAACGAAGCTTGAAACCCGTGTGATGGACGCGCAATGCAGGCTCGTATGTTTTTCAGTCATATAAGGCTCCGCGCTGACGCAAAATGCGGTACGCGTATCACAGTGGCTGCAAACACAGAAGCGGGCATGCTCTCCAACGGCTATAGTGTAGCGCTGCACAAAGAAAGAGCCGACCCGATACCGGCTATAGGGCGCGGTCTGCACGATGATGGAGTTGGCATGGGCAGAGTGGGCTCACGAGCTATGCGTTCGCTGGAGTCATGCTCGTCCAGCAGACAGAAGACCTGTTTCAAGGTCAGCGGAGTGCCCCTATTCTAAGCCATTGTCTTTTCGCGATGTCTTTTGTAAGCTACTCGTCTAGAACGACAGTGACCTTCCGGTGTGAGTGTGGATATTACCACATTCTCGGGACATGTCTCCTTTCCAGAAAAAGCTGGCATGTTGTGGTGGAGCCAGTAGTGGAGCAAGTTCATGCTGAACGTGGCCCACCGCTTCCCTGTTCACCCAAGGCTCCTGCGCGCTGCATTAGGCATTGGTAAAAGTTATGTCCGGCATAGCTTGCCTACACAGAGTCAGTTCTCAGCACCGGAATGCAGTATTACAGGCTGACAGAACGCCAGCAGGCGTCAGCAGGCGGCAGCGGCGGGTTTTGTGAGGCTTGGGGTTGCATTGGGATGGGGCGTTCGGAGAGACCGTGGTGGCATACGGCTCACTCAGCACTTATATCCAGAACACCGATACGTTCAGAGGCAGCGAATCACAGACAGTTGCAGGCTTGCATTTTGTTGTTTCGCTCCCAGCACGGCGGATCAGACAAGCGACGTGTTTCGCGTAGCAAATGCATCATCTTAACGGGCATCATATAAGTGCGAAGCATCAACATCAAGGCCCGCAGCTTCTTGGGCTCCATGCTAGCGTGTGAGCAGAAGCCAGGCCAGCGAATGTCATCGTCTCACAGTCGTTTGGAACTGGCGCATCTCGTTTCCAGAACCACAAATGTCGTTCCCCGACGGCCGCCATTTCAGCCCACCAAGGCGCGCTCGCAGCCCGCTGGAAGGCCGTGCAGCCGCCGGCCAAAGCCCGCGTCGGCCCAGCTCAGCATGTGCGTCATTGTTGGTCTGGGTGAACGGCGTGCTTTTGCGGCCGGCCCAGTGGTCGGGCACCCGGGGGACTGGTTCGGCCGATGATGAGAGCTAAGCGACCGCCGTGTTTCATGAGTTGATGCTCGCCATTCTTCCTCTCTCCCCGCACTCGTCTTGTCGCCTTGACGGTGTCTGCCGTGCGGAATTCTTCGCGATTGCCTCGAGCGCTGTGATTGGCCGCCCTCGCCTGCGAACTCTCGACACAAGACTTTTTCATGTACAAGGCGCACCGTTCCAGGGTACAGCGGCTACCGAAACGACTTTTGCTCGGCAGATCCATCTGTCTGCATGTCGGACGCATCGACGGCGACGTGCTTGGCGCCCACACATTCCAGTATCCTCTGACCGGCTGTTATGTATAGCCTTACCATACTCCGTTATGGAACGCACGACCTGCAAGCTGAGCAAACCGATCGGAGACCCAGGCATTCAATATTGGCGGGCTACCACCGCCAGTGCTACCAGGCCCCTGCGCGAGCTATTCACCGCATGGGTTTCGGCTAGACTCAACACGCGTACGCGTTGTTTCCGATAGAGGGACTCCACCACGTACAACAACACATCATCTTCATACGGGCCGTTACGGCCCCACTCTTCACAAACATTCAGGTAATTTTTCGTTTCGGTATATGGGTGTACAGTAAAGGGCAAACGGCAGCTAGAAGCTTGTCTGCACGTGGGACCTACCATGCAGAACGGCCGCAGTCTTCTACCACATTGACATCAGGCACCACGCCACGCAGAGCATTTGTTGTAGATGCCTGCTGCTGTCCGCCTGTATTCGTTTTCGTTCACAACCGGCATCGTACAGGGGTCCCCCGAGCGCTAAGAGCACAACCTGCTTGTGCGCAATCCTGTACGACAGGGAATGTGATGTGCGCAAGTATTATTGCAAGCATTGTGTACCCTAGCATCATTGTGGCTCTGAGAGCGATCAGCTACACTTGCAGAGGCTAGTGGACTGCGACGATGCTTGCTTGATATCAGACGACGACTCCGTCCGTTCCGAGAATATCTCGAGGGCAACGTCTTCATGCCAACATGGTCACTCTGAGTGCATGTCTCTTCCGGGGGTGTCAATGGGCTACGGAACGGCGCGCTGCAACGATTACAGGACTTTGCACAAGCTGCAGCGGCCAGGCTTCCACTGCATGGCGGGAACCTGGGATTCGGAGAGTGGGAGCCAAATTTCACCTCTACCCGAGTTCTATAACGGGCTTCTGCAGCGGTGCTTCCCATGCAACGTTAGCACGCGCAGCTGCATGGGACCGAGACATCGTCCTGCGAGTCCCACGCTTCACGATGCGCCTCGTGTGCATGGCTATTTCTCCGTCCCGACACGCTCACCAGATGCGGCCTCTCGCGTAAGCCAGGCGCTGATTGATCGATGTGCTGTAAAATGCGGAAATTGCCATGTCTTGCCGGTACCAGATGCAACTTCTCATCTCGGACTGCAGCGAAAGCGAGCAGACGCCCGACAGCCATGTGAGCCCTAGCCATCCAGTGGATTACTGGATGGAGGCATGTTTCGCAACAAGACCAACAGTCCCAACACGCTGTCTCATCAGCGTGCCCTTTGTACGCTTGGGCACCGGGGTCCAGGAGAGGACCGGCACGGCGCAGTAGCTGTTGCTGTGCCGCATTCCATCGCACGCTGTGGTGCGGCGTGGACGACGACGACTGGCGACGGCGTGGTGCGGGAGTTCGCAGAGCTGGCTTGGCGGAACCGTACCGTCGGTGATTGGGCGGAAAGACTAAAGCGAGGCCAGTTTGGCGCGCTGGGAAGACGGCGAGCAGCGGTGCACCTGGAATCCATCGTCGGTCAGCCATCCATCCAGGAGGCGACATGGCAACATTCATGCGCATGACGGGCGTGGCACTAGGATAGGCGTGCGCCCCGGCAGCGGTGAGGGTGAAATCAAAGAATGCGACGACGCCGTCGCCACGGGGCTGGTGCAGTGCAGCGCGCAGTAGGGACGAGACGAGACAAGGCAAGACAAGACAAGACGATACGGACAGTGGCAGAGTCAGAGCCGCTGCGCTGCGATGCCTGCCATGTCTTGTCTGTCGACGTGGGCTGGCTGGCCGGGGAAGCTGGCTCGGGGTTGTGTGGTGTGTGCACTGATCCGACGATTTGGGTTATAGAGAGATCCGACAAGTTGGGAAGTGGCTACCCGCCTTGCCGCTTTGGGCCCCAGCTCCGAGGGTTTGCTGGGCGCTGGCAGCATGGGACAGGGCAGGCAGATTAATAGCAGCAGTGCTAATGCAACTCTCGGCTCCCTTCAGGTGCTCGCTGGCCGAGACGGGCTGCGACTGGGGGGACGTCCGCCAGAGTGCACCATGCCGTCCAGCGTCAGCGCTTTTCGACGCGCTTGACGCCTGCAGGGGCCTCGTGCCTTTAAATACGTCCCGCGCCGCTCTTGCCCTGATGGATGACTGAGATCCCGGCTTCTTGCCTGTGTTGATGCCCGCCAACGACCCAGCAGTCTGTCTCGAGCCCGCGCACCTGCCAGCACAATACATCCAGTCCCGTCGTGCCTGCCCGTTGCTCACTCGCTGCACTTCCCTCGCCATTGCTCTGCCTCGCCATCCCGCCCGTCTCCTGCCTGCAGCAGCCCGCCGACGTCGACTCTGTCTTCTGTCTCATGACCAGCGCGCCCGCGACCACCACGGCACCACTCTGCGCCCCGCCTGAAAACGACGCAGCTTATTAGGCGACCTCCCCCGCCCACGAGGCTTCTCGCAAAGTCCCGCTGCTCCAATGGTTACGATGTCGACGCATGGGTGAGTTCCATCCACCTCCAATCTCCCACCTCCCCTCCCCGCTCTGTGCAACCAATTCTCAACTCTCAACTCTACACTCTCCACTCTCCACTCCCCAAATCCCGCCCACTATCGTCCTCTATCAATGGCCGACCCCGTAGTTAACTGACTAGTGCTCGCAGTCCCGCGCCCGTCCCCGCCCAAAACAGCAACTTCTTAGAAAATGGCCGCGTCTACCACGGCTTCCGGAGAGGCCTCTACATGTACCCGTGCGATGAGGTGAGCAGCCGCCCACTGTCTGCACCCGTCCGCATTCGCTGACACAGCCCAGCCCGAAAAGGACCGCATGGATATCTATCACAAACTCTTCACAGTCGCACGACGCGACCAGCTGCACCAGGCGCCTGTTCAGACCTCTCCACATGGGGAGCCCCCCCGCATCCTCGACATTGGCTGTGGCACGGGCATCTGGGCAATTGACATGGCCGAGTAAGTCTGGCTCCGCCACAGCTTTGTGTCTTTTGCGACGCTAACCGCACTGTGTGCAGCAAATACCTGACCTCAGAGGTGTGCTGACCCAACCACGGCTGCATTGCTGCCAGATGACTGACTTTGATATTGCAGGTCTTAGGTGTGGAGCTCGTCAACATCCAGCCCGAAAAGTATGCTGTCCGTCCTTGCATCCGCAGCTCCATATATTAACCCGTGTTGCGTGTAGGATCCCTCCGAACCTGCGATTTCGTGTACCACGCGACTACATGTCCCCGTGGAACTTTGGCGAGGACTCCTGGGATCTGATCCACCTGCGCATGGCCTGCGGCAGCGTCTCGAGCTGGCCAGAAATGTACCAAAAAGTCTTCTCGTACGACACCACCCTGTGACTGCCAGACGCAAGCTAACTCGCGCAGTCACCTCAAGCCCGGCACCGGCTGGATCGAGCACGTCGAAATCGACATGGAACCGCGCTGCGACGACGGCACTCTACCCCCCGATTGCATGTTGAAGAAGTGGTACAACTATCTCGCAGACGCCACCGCCCGCGTCACACAGCCGATTGCATATGAACACCGCACCCGCCAGCTGCTGCAGTCGGCTGGCTTCATAGACATTCAGGAGATGGTAATTCGCGTTCCTTACAATTCGTGGCCCAATGACCCGCACCAAAAGGACATTGGAAGGTGGTACAACCTATGCATCACAGAAGGCCTGGACGCACTAAGTTTTGCGCCCCTCACCAGAGTCTACCATTGGGACCTGAACCAACACGTCAAACCAATGCTCGAACAAGTTCCGACGGGGAGATATGTAACCGCCAAAATTCATGCGTACAACAACATGTAAGTCATTGCCTCCTTTGGGATGTTGCAACCAATTGGTGCGCTGTTACCGGCCAGCACTGATCCCTTGCGCAAATAGTCACATCTGGGACAGCTCGTCGTCCTCAACAATAAGATATGGGCGTAGGACTTGATCCTTTATCCTACCCTCCTGGAGCTTAGCCTGCCCACAACGTGCTCGGCCACGATTGCAATCCGCAGTCCCCCGCCTACCTGGATCCACTCACCTGGATTCAATACCTCCTTTACGTCTTTTAATCTCTGGTGCTACGTTGAGCAAATGTGAGCATTGGCCCCATGCATACTAGCACGTGTTGCTTCACCGGCCACATTCTTGGATCCCACCAAGATGGGAGTGGGACAACCATTTGGGCACCGAGTTGCACAAGAAGCATTGCATTCTGTTGTGCACTCCGATCATTACCACCGGTCGAATACCCAAGTGCACGCATGATTACCCAAGACCCGTCGCAACGAGGAAAATTCTGGAGTTATGGTGAACATTCTAAACGGCGTTTGAGCATCTTGGGAATATGATACCTTGTTGTACCTGCACCAAAACTTACTGGGAGGCCGGAGGCGCTTTTGTGTGCTGTCTCCAAGAAGTTTGCGCATTTCATCACTTTTCGAAGTCGCGTCTGGAGGCATTTTCCGCTTATGGCGGTTTTATCACGTCTATTCACTCTGAGCGATCAATTTTGTTTTCTGCATTTCGAGGTCCCTGGCCTTGTCGCTTCATGTGTGGTCAGCGAATTCACATGGAAACATTGTGCATGTTCGCAGGATCGTCGACACATCCCCGGCGCGATTGTAGTCCACCACCCAGTATATAATATACGGACATATACCCGCTTCCTGTCCATCCCTATTCTCTACGTACTGCACATGCAGCTATTCCTGTACACATTCCATAGCAGATGCTCGTCGTATCTATGCTGATCCCGTCAGTCGCCGCTGTATTTATGGCATCGCCACGCGTCATACCCAAGTGTTTGGTAACGACGCAGTAGTGATTCGTAGCCGTGAACAGGCGGTCAGAGGGATCTTCGTTGAATGGACACCTTTTGCAGTTCACTTGTAGCCAGCCGGCGAGGATCCGCTGTCGCCGGCCCAGCGTGTCGGGGGCAGATCCAAGACGCAGTTTTAGCCGGGCAAGACACAACACGCATATTGCCAGAGGCACAAGCAGGACATGCTCAGAGGAAGAGGTGCGTGAGCAAGGCAAGGATAGCGATGTATGCATGACTCGGTGCGAGTAAGAGGTGCCCAGCATGCTGGAACGGCCTCACCATTGGGAGGGAAAGGCACGTTCGGAGCCCTGCCTCGTTTCTTTGGCTGTGAAATTGCCCGCCCTCGGTTTGCCCTGCGCCTGAGGTTCCCTTCTGCCGGCTTTTGCCAATCCTTCTCGCACATGGCGGCGGCGCGCCTTGTGAAATAGCGCAGCCTGCACAATTCGCGTGTGTGTGGCCTTTCGCGATACTTGCTCGTCGTGAGCAAGTCGCATCGACGCCTTGCACCCGTGGACCCATTCCATCTTATCGTTCGGCATTTCCTCGGGCTTTCGACAGCCTGTCGCGTCGGATAGCCGAACCCATCGCGCGACACGACCGTCTCTCCGTATGAAAAGCTTCCTTCCTGTTCAGCAACAGCTTCCGGTGGACATCGGCGACTGCCCTCGCGGACAAAGGCGACTCTGCCGTTCTATTCGCCAACGTCTATATATCGCGCCTTTCCCGGAATTGCGTGGTACGCGATCAGCAAGGAGACCCCGCAACGCGACTCACTCGCACGTGTTGGTCCGCCTTTCTGTCAGCCTACACGAACGCCTTCCCTTCCGCTGCGCGTGATCGTCGAGTTGATTGCTACCTCGCTGCTCGCCAAGGCCTGACCGGTGTGTCCACGAGAGATGGCACATCTCACTAGACCCCAAAGCTGCACCAAGGCAGTCGTCACCGCTCCAGCCTGGTTTCCGGCGGGTGCGCTGGAAATACCGACCAAGAGGTCCAGCCGCTTTCAAAAACTTTACTCCTCTCGAACGGCCTACGCCACGTTCAGCCCACTGTCAAGCCTCGCTCCCCCATGTCCCGTATAGATTACGGCCGCGGTTCCTTCGGTCGCCTTGCCGGATACCAGGAGTTCGACTTCGTCTCGATTTGACCACGCGCAGAGCTGCTACAGTTCATGCGATGCAGCCCTGCAGGAAGCGGCATCCGGACGAGTACATTCCACGTACTGGAGTATTGTGGATGCGGTCGTGCTGTTCACAATCCAGCTGGGCGGTTACGCTTCGAGGCGCCGGACTTTCTGAGAATCCATTGCGGCGGACAGGACATGAGTCGAGATGACTGCGGCCATGCCGGTACCACTAGACCCCCAGAACGACTACTGCACGCTCGGCATACCAGCTACGTGACAGTCAACATCACTTCCAAGTCCTTGGGATCTTCAGAATCTCGACCATGTTGAGGGACATGTCCACGGTCCCACAAACTTCCGTCCCACCCTCCGAGTCCAAATGCGTAAATTCAAAGAACGGGGACTGCATACAGCCAAGCCTAGCCTTCAGCTATCCGCCAGCACCACTCCACCGGTAAGTCTATAATTGCTTTTTGTTGCATCCAACCTTCTTCCCCTTTCTTCATGATGACAAAGCTGGGGCCATATGAGTTTCTCCCGGGCATTTCCTCTCTTTTGGGAGAAATCTGCCAGGTTGCAGGAACATTGCTTTCACATCCAGCCATATCCACATCTTCTCAACATTGCCTGAACAAGAAACCCATCCACTAGCGCTATCTTTAGTCCCACCTCGCCTAGATATTCGATCGCTAACGATTCGCTAGGACTACTTTGCCGATAGGTTCTACGGACCTTCCCCGCTGCAGGGTTTAACTCTAGATCAATACATCTCATTTTTTTTTTCGATCGATATCGGGCGGATCGGAGGGTTCTTTCATGAACCGATTTTAGTCGTCGGGTGTCCCGTCCATGACGCGCACTTGCGAACCGAGGTTTGCTATCTTTGCAGTGGAGTTGGTAAGCGAGAAGGGCAAGCACACTTGAGTACACCACTGTAGAGTCGCGGACGGGCTCCCGGTTTGCTGGGTTGTTGACAAATATTCGGGATCGTGTGGACTTTGCGGGATTAAATGGTAAGGTAAGGCACACTAACTAAGATGTAGCGTATCTTCCTAGGTGGGTTATGTTACTTCATGTTGCAACGTTGAGCGGTGGTGAGTAAGAGCGATGAAGTGAGAAATCCAGCATACCAAACTCGATCCTTCACACGCTGTTAATTTGTGTGGAGAAGCAAGTGCTCCAGACATTTGCTTCTTTTTGTACGTGGCCTTGACGAAGTTCTAGAACATTGATTTCTTGAACTATATGTCTGCATCTCCGCTCCATCTGCAACCAAGAAGGCGACCAAATCAGATGTTTATGTAATCCATGGGCAATCCGTAGTAGACCAGACATCCACTCTACTCCAGAAACCTTGCCAACTCGTTCCAAAAAAAAACCCCCCCTTGTCCGCAGCTCATTTTTCACTAAAAGAAATACCATCGTACGCCACACAGAATTGGCCGTGTAAAACTCCTCAACATGAAACGAATATATACAAAATCACCAACGCCTTTCCTCGACGTCTTGCACTTCCCTTCCAGCTTCACCCCTAACCCCCGAAACAATGCACACTCAACCTCCTCTTCCTCTCGCTCAACATCACCCTATCTCCCCCTTTCCCACTCGTCTTCCACCCCTCACTCTCAATCGTCGCCTCCCTGCACAACGGCCCGCCATCCTCCCCCTCGCCCTCCTCAACCAGCACATACTCGTCGTCCACGATGATGTATTTCGTATAGTCTGGTATGCGGTATGGCGAGCATGTACATTGCTGGTGGGACGTGGGGGCGAAGAGGGAAGTGAGGTGTGTGCGGAGGGAGATGTGGGGGAGATGTGGCAAGTGAAGATGGGGGATTGTTGGGGAGAAGTGGTGATGGTGTTGTTGTTGGGAGGCTTTATCGTGATGTGGTGATTGTGGTGGTGATGAGGTGTCGTGCGTTGATATCGGTGAGGACGAGAGTGTGGGCGATTGTGGTGGTGATGAAGATAACATTGTTTGTGTGAGTGACGGTGGTATGATTGGGAAGAGTGACATATGTGACGTGTCTTTTTCCTTTTTTTGGAGGATGTGGTTTGGTGTTTGGTTCGATCGAGGCTTGCTAGTAGTGTTGCGACGATGTGTTGTGTCAACTTTCGCTTGATGTGGTGATGATTGATATGGAAGTAGCGATAATTTATGGTAGCGACAATTGATAGTGGTGATGATTGGTAGTAGTGATGATTGGTAGTAGTGGTGACTGACAGTAGTAATATAATTTACTTGCAACTCCTAAACATCTTATACCTTAAACCCAACCCCTTGCTTCCCCACACACCTCCGTGGCCACACCATGGGGTGACAATCACCTCCCATCGAAAGAACGCAAGCAGCACGAGGACAGTAGTTCCCGAACATGACCAAGACATTGGACACCGCCAAGGATCCGGTTATGTGGTAGAGATTAGAGGTGGAGAGATGCATGGCGTGATGTGCATTCCGGGAGTGCCCGGTCGCGCCACCGGCCCGCTTTCTCCCGAAACACGCATATCGAGGTTCGAGACTTTTGCGTTTCGGTATGTTTTTGGATTCAGGCACGGGAAGATACTAACGCGTCGAGAAATAGATGTACATTGATGGATGCTAGAGTTTTGGCCGCATGCAAAAAGTTTCCACTGTTATTAGGTCTGTAAAGTAAAATCCCATGATTTTATGAGCCAGAATTGTTCGATTCTTCTACAGTAACAAAATGCCTCCGTCGTAAGTTGCGAATGCCATAGTAACGCCTGTATGCGCTGTGCCTCAGCGCAAGCCATCCCGTGGCTTATTCCTAAACGCCAGTTCATGTGCAGCACTGTGCAAGTGATTGACTGCGCTTTAATTCGGCCTGTAATACCGGTATTCTTTTTCATTGTCGTCGATCGTTCCCAAACGCCGTTATGATGCCAATGAGAGAGATCGCGAAGACTTTTCACTTTGCCTGATTAATCTTCAGATCCATGACATACTGCATCAAGCTGCAGTCATCGCACTTCACCAGTGCCTGGAGAGCTTTGATCCTCGCTTTGAGCAGGTGGTTCTCATCAGTAAGGGTCTTCTTATCTTTATCCTGCTGCTTGATGTACGCAGTAGCTGAGGCCAGGATGACAGCCTTGCTAGGCTTCGATGGTGTTGGCAGATCCTCAATGTCCGCGCCATCGCACGCTGCTTGGTTCTGCTGAAGTGAGGGGACGACGCGTCGCAGTGACTCGAGCTGTGTATTGAGGGACTCGCGATACTTCCGTTCAACTTGGTTGTGTGGCAGTCGCCGACGATTCTTTGGCTTATCATCGCTAGCTTGTGGAGATTCTTTGTTCGGTGAGTCTTCGGATGTCTCGCTTTTCATTCGTTGTCTGTCTTCAGCTGGGCTGGCTGTGGTGTTTAAGCTCTGAAGCTGACGGCCAGATGGCTCATTCATTGACGTGGTGCTTTCTGATCGCTTCTTTCGTCGTGGCTGGATCTCAACCACTCCGTCTGCCGCAGTTACTTCTTGTGGCTCGGTAAGCAGGTCCTTGATGATTGGAAGAGCATCATCATTGGCGAACAGAAATGGTGCACAGCCGCCGCCACAGCTCGATGGATTGGGTGGCGGGCCGTCATGGTCATGATTTGGGCAGAGTGGCGACGTCCAGCAAGCGGAGAGTATATCTGGCTTGTTCTTGGTTCTCTTGGTACCGTTGTTGACACTGTTTGATGATTGGGTCCGATCGAGAGGGGGTTTTGTCGTGGTGGCGACACCCCTTGGTCCGTTTGGGAATGTGAGGTCTTCGACGAAGCCAGCGTCTATGTTGTTCGGAAACATGGACTCGTAGGTCGGGTTGGGAAAGGTGTTGGCGCGTTGAAGCGCTTGTCTCTGAGCAGCGGTCATCTGTGGTAGTTGATTAAGCTCAGCTAGCAGTGCGGCCGGACTATGGGCCGAAGTGCTGATAGCAGACACTGGCTCTGGAGAGGACTCTGATGTTGACGCGCCACCGCCAGCAGTGTTGCCAAATTGGAGGACTTCGAGGTCGCCCAGGAAGTAGTCGTTCGATGCGAAGACGGCGTCGTCCAAGTATGGGTCGACTGAGTTGCCGTTGAGGAAATTGTTAAAGTTTGTGACGTCGTCAGGGTCTGCGCCGGATGTGTCGGCGGTGGTGGACTTGGGCATTTCAGAGGTGAGGGGGCCAGTTGGAAAGGCAGTGAGATCGGACCATTGGTCGTTCGGTATGTTGATACTCTCAGCATCGAGGAACATGTCCCAATTGAGAGACATGGTGACTGTGGGCGGGTGGGTTGTTGCACGAAAGATCTCACGCGTTGATCAGGAGATACAAACGTGGGAGGGGTATCAAAACTACCCTGCCCAAGCCTAATGTGAGACTAGCCGCGGAATGCAGGAGCCGAAACGAGCTGGGGTAGAAGAATATAAGCTCGGTCTTCGTCGCTTTTGTCGATGTTTGGAGACGTCGCTGTGGTCGCTCAGAATGAATGTTGCGAGGGAAGGGAAGACCAAGCGAACAGCAAGGGCTTGTCGCACACCACCTAACGATGAGCCGCTACTTATGAAGGTGGATGAGATAGATTGCGTGCTGTGGCAGAGCCTGGCAATAGGTGCAGCTGTTGTCTAGAAGGGTTCCCACGAGTCTGGCGGTTCCGACGGGCGCTGATTGGAGTTGCCGAAAACGAAAGGGCGCGAACAAACAGAATCAGCTGGCACAGGTGCTGAGCAGAAGTCTCTGGTCTGAACGGGTATCTCGGTGCCTCAGTGAAGCGCGAGTTGTGCAGTGCGGTGTTCCGGGCGAGCCTGGAAGGACATCACACCACCAGTGGCGTGACATTTCGGTGAGGCCCGCCGTTTTTGGACAGGGATCCCAACAGCAGGGTTCCGTACCAGCACAAGACCATCAGCGAGTTTTCGCGAATCATTTTTCGCAAAGCTCCGGGAGACGGTTGATGCACATCATATTAGATGCACGGCAGTGTGTAGCTTCAACACTCTATTCGTAGATATAGCCACGTTAAGGAGGCGGGCTCTACCGACTCTCCCACTAGCGCCGACTGCCGTTCGCATCTCGTTCCGACGGCTCCAGAAGTGCGAAATGCCCAAAGCCTCACTTCATCATGCCCCGTGATAGAATAGGCAAATAAGTTCTTCGAATGTACTTTGGTCTGTTTAGCTCCCAGCTCTATTTCTTCTTCATCGACTCAAAGACCTGAACTGCAGGTGGGCGGTACCAGCTTGGCATCACTCAAATCTCGATGATGACATATCGACCACGAGCTTGGACCATGATAGTACCAGAACTGCATATCAATGCTCTTATAAGACGTTGAGTCTAGGGTCTCAGTGATGTACATGTGTCTTCCCCGCCAAGCGGTTCCTTGAAGATCGTCTCACGCCATACTCAGCAGGGCAACGACCTTCTTCAATTATCCAGAACAGCACATAGCAAGTTCAGAGAGGCTTTCACAGCTAGTGATCTCCATGCCATTCGACCGAGCCCCTCAAGATGGCCAGTGTCGCAAAGTCCCTGCAGCGGAACCATAGCCGTTACACGGGTACTCCCGCACTGCAACCCAAGCGGTCCAGACTGGCCTCGTGTGATGTTGCCGAATGCCGAACGATTTCCCGCGGCAAGTGGGGCTGCTAAATCGTTCTGCAGCATAGAACTGGGACGTGGCGTGTAGATGTGTTGTCCTGTGGTCGGCTCTAGTTCCGATCGTTCTCAAGTAGCTCATGCATGAACTGACATTCTGCCAGAGACGATTTACGTTTTCTTAGTCAGACTATGAAAGCCAATGGCACTGTGGCAGACTCTGGATATGCCTCCTTTTTTGCAACTTTCTTTCCTGGAATGATGGTTCGATGGCATAGTGGGCAGAATTCGTTAAAACGTGAGAACCATTCGTCGAGGCAATGCACGTGGAAAGCATGTGAGCACCGGAGGCCGCGGATTTGCGCATCTTCAGCGAAGTTCTCGAGGCATATTGCGCTGTTGTCAATTTAGCATATGACGACGTGTTGGAGTGGCAACGTTACCATAGAGGATCCGGCGCCAGGAAAGTCTTCGAGTCTTTCTCTGACCGCTGGCTCGTGCGCCATTCGTAGTAATTTTGTGTTTTGATGACCTTGTTGATCTCTTCGAGTCGCTGTTGCATGCGCTGTCCTTTGATCGCAGAGAAACTTTTGCCACCGCGTCCGAATCTAGGAAGGATGAAGGCACTATGCGCACTGTTAACTTCATGAGTCCGCGAACCCGGCACGGGCACCATACGCTACGATGAGAGAGAGGACAATGGTGACAAAGACAGCTGGCACAACGATGGCGACAACGACAGTGCTGCCCCTCAGACCATGGTCAGAATGCGTGTCGCTCGCCATAGGAATAAGTGATTCAACGCAAGGGTTGTAGTCAGCTGCTGATATGTTGAAAACCGATGCGCCACTTGCGATAACGCATATATCGCGATCAGATGCGAAAACAGCCTCGTGCATACGGATGGTGTCGCAGGTACCTTTGGTTCGCATGTGATGTACCGCACAGAGCATATCTATTCGTTGGGCGGTGTCATATTGAAATATCTCACGACGTACGCGTCGTCGGGCCTTTTAGATATCAGCAGGGTGAGGGATCGTCAGCTCAGCCTACACGGCAAGTTTTTTCATCTTTGAAGTGATAAGATCGAGTCTAATGTTGCGCATGGAAAGAGCTTGGCCCAACTGCTTCGGTGTTGTCATCCGTCAGCGCTATTGTGATGCCAAGTCGAGCATCCCAAGGGATGAGCCTTGTGCTCTTGTCGTGCGGGGTCAAGTGCACAGCGATTGCGTACGCGATTCTCGTCCTACACCGCGTGACATCGGATGCATCTTGGCATGGATTCTTGCTTCTGGTTGGACGAATTCTTCAATTTGTGTATGGAGAGGCGAAACATCGTTGTCAAGATTTATGGTTTGCTGATTTGAGGCAAATAAGCTAGTGAACACAAGTGGGGCGCACATCCTTGGACTCTACCGTAGTCGGTCCTTTAAATCAGGTATTATAACACCGATCGTGCTTCCCTTCAACCCAGAGGTTGTTAATGTAGTGAACGTGCTTGTTGCATGGATTTGCACAATCTTCATTGTATGGCATTATCTCCTCGTCGTGTCCGTATCGCCCGATGGCCTGTTGCTGGTGAGCTTCCGCACGTCATCTTCACCAACAAGCAGCTGTCCAAAAGCACAGTTTTGGGTCCTATCACCCTACACTTTCCGAAAGTGGCTGCAAATTGAGCATTTCCAGGACTTTCACGCCGCCAGGTATGGCGAAAATACTCTCAGTATCGCCTTCTGGTCTTGATGAGCGATACACGACCTGACCTTCAGCATCTCTGCTAGTTATAAGAACCTGTCGCATCACGGTGCTGCTTCGCTTAAGATCCAGACTATCTTTCGTACCGGGCACATGCAGTAGTCTGTTCAGTACCAATTTGTAGACGGCGGGTTCTGCGGGACAAATTGGAACAAGCAACGTCCCTTCTCTGGCCTTTTCTGTCCTGTCAAACTTAATCTTCGGCTCCCCCGCATTATTCCTCCAGACGAGTTCCAGCATGGGCAACAGATCGACGACGGGTCTATGCGAGCTTGTTATGTAGTCGCCCAGCCTCAGAACCACACGACGTACAAGCACAGGCGGGAATCTTGGTAAGCTCAACCATTGTGCCCCGCAGTTGATCGCTAGACTCGAGCTCATCAGGTAGCTATTCGAGTTGAAGATGAAGGTATTGTGACCATAGAGGACTCCCGCAGCCTCATGGTAGACTGTCCTTCAGACATCCCTGGCAACTTATCGCCTGAACAGGCCCGTCAAGATGAGCTGTCGGGCTGATGCTCAAGTAGGCAGGTTTTCGAGTTATGGGAGAGCAGCAGAACAAAACTCGGGCCTACGCTAGTTCACGTAGAGCGCAAGAGCGGTCACGTTACATCAGAGGTGCAAACACACCACCAGGTGGCCCACTAGGAGGTGGATATACTTTCACAGTATTTTGAGCGCTCATAGGAATGGTAATTCCCAGGGCGTTACTGTAGTCATGCGGCACCTGATGGAACTTTCCGAGATGCAGACTATCTGAAACTGATAGTTCGTGCCTTCATGAGCAACTCCTGTCAGACAGATCCGTGAATGTCTGGAGCACCTTGGAAGGCCATCAAATATCTTGTAAGCATAGAAGGTTCGACTCGTCGACTTCGAAGTCTGCCAATTCCCAGCAGTGATACCTACTGATCTCGGTACATCGTGATAAACACAGCTCATTAATCGCTCATACCAGTGGGCTTAGGTGAGCGATTACGAGGAGGAGCTTAGGTTATAGTAGTGTTAGCTGGCTTGACTGTAGTCGTCTGGGGGGTGAGCTGTTGGCGGCTGCGGCGAGCCAAGAAACGCTACTCCTACTTCTACTTTTTAACAATAAGGAATGCTTTTGCGGGCCCCTTCACTGTGCAGCGGATCTTGTTTTCGAGTGAGGGAACGAGACCGTCAACAGTTTACTTGTCGCCTTTGCGGTAGTCGTTGTTAAGCGTCTCCACCCTATCAGGCGAGACGCTGTTGATACCGTTGAGAAAGTGCATGTTATAATTTGGCCTGCGGGTGTGGCCGGCCATGTTGACACTGTTCGGTTGCTTCTAGCCGATCGTTATGCCGTTGGAGCAGAGGTCGCCGAGGCCCTCGCGAAACTTAGACATGTACTCGCGTACTGACTTGTAGATGTTTCAAGCCGTACCTCTGTTCAGGACGGTCAATGTTTCATCTCATCACCTTGCATAGTACCTTGACGGTTCTGCTCCCCGGATGGGTGCGCGCCACTTAACATCGTTGCATGCCGAGCCTTGCATTCCTCAGGCATTCCAATCCTGTTCTGACTCGAAACTGAAACTGTATACTAGGTATTCTTCACCTGCTACTCGCTTCTGCATGCCCTTAACGTGCGGTGACATCATTTGGTGTTTTTGTAGATCGAGGAGATGAGTTCGGCGATCGAGACGATCGCTTCTGTCTTTTTGTTAAAAGCTCTAGCGAAACTAAGCTAGTAACCTGGCTAGCTATTAATAATTACCCATGTCTGTGTTAAGACTCGGCATTTCTAATGTCGGAAACAACCCGCTGGGTCGTGGTTGGGTTGGTGTATGTTTTTGTCACCAGAAATACTATCATCGGCCTTGTTGTGTACAGCAATGACAAGAGTCGTGATCATCGTGCCTTCCTGAACACAGCATCCATTGATATGTAAACGAAAACAGGTTACGTATCTATCAAGGTTGCGTTCTTTTCCCATAAACACACCATTTACAAATATGATACCTATGGCATCCTCCAGAGCAGAATCTCCGCGCCTAAGATCAAGGCCCCCCGAATGTCTCCATTCAAGTGCTTTGGTATCAATGCCAAGTGTTGTTAAGTTTGATAGAGAAGATTCTGCGGGCACGATTAGCTCCTCATATTTAGGCCACCCGTCTCCAGGCCAAGTGTTATGGTACAACAGCCAAGTGCTATAGTGCCTGTTACATGAGGAAAGTTTTATGAGTATGACGAAACCACTGATACCCAATGTACAGTCCATGAGTCGCGCTACAGATTAGAAAAACCCTAGTTCAGCACAAGATTGCTGCGCGCGACTCCGGGATACCCCGTAGAGTAATCTATTCCCGACGCACATTGCAGATAATAGATCAGTAAAAGAGTGGTCAGGTCCCACCATTACACCGTCTGTGGAGACAGGAGTTTGATTGGTCGACATAGAAGTTGTGGGGGAGAAGGCTTAGACTCTGGGGACTAGCGCCAATGATGACGTTTACCCTTTCCCATAGGTTGGCCAGACTTGGTACATGGTACGGGTGCCAGAGTAGTCTTGAAGAGTCAGCCGCATGAAATAGTTTCGTTTCCGCTTAGGTCTGTAAGCAACGAACAGCTTTCTGGCTACACTTCAGCAACGTCTATGGTGACAGATTGATCCTGCGCGATCAGGTCTCAGGGTCATCAAGATTAGGTATGCTTTCTTGTCCTGGCGTAGAAGAGCTCTCGCGGCTAGTCAGTCATAAAAAGGTCATTCCCTCATCATGCTCATGTGCTACGGTGCCTGCAGCCACATGCAGTAGATATCTTGGTATGTAACAACAGGCACAGACATGACTCGACTTCCGCCGAGCGTCTACTTCATTTCACGCGGTAAATTAGGAGGAACTGAGCATACTCATGCAGACTTCCGATGGTAACTTCAGACATCTCGCAACAACGAGGCAACCCGCCAAGGACAAGGCGACCTGCTAGTAACAAGGCAACGCACCAGAAACAAGGCAACCCGCTAAACCGGCACTGACAACCGTATCCGGCGCTATTCTAGATACGCCTTGAGTACTCTCTAGAGTACGATACTTGGCTGTTGGTATAGACCCACGAGGCTTTGAAACTGTAGAATGGAGGGATGATCACTGAACAGTGACGAAGGTGGAGGGTCAGGGTGTAGAAGAGATCACCAAATAATGACAAAATGAGAGAGCGGGAATCAACCTCATGAGGTATAAAGGCCATCCTCGTTCTCCTTGAAAGAGCACCACATCTCAACTCACACAAGCTGTTCACACAAACGCTTGCTTCACCATGCTTTCTACACTCTTCACCCTACCTGCCTTTGCGACCTTGGTCTTCGCCAAAGAAGTCTTTGTTACCTACCGCTACGAGCGATCTTCTGGTAGAACTGCGCTGGAAATTCAGGGTGCTGATAAGGCAGTGCTCGCAGAGTCCTGCAGTTCAAAAATTGGTTCTCTTGACTTCTCCAACTTGGAGCAGGATGGTAGAGGATTTTTCACCGTGGGCGACAAAAAGTTCGAAGTATTGAGCAACCCTGAGGACGGACCCGTCTGCACCAGAATATACGACGAAGCCATTGCTGTCGTTGAATGTACTGGTGTGGACTATGATGTCCCAGAAAGTGCGGCAACATCTGCAGAAGACTGCTTCTTTCATGAGGACAACAAAGCTGCGTTCCGTACCCTCAAGTCGAGGAGCGAAAATTTGCACCTTGTTGGTGCGCCTGTCGAGAAACCTGTTATGCCACCATTTCATTCCAGGATTTTGGGATCCCGACAGGCCTGCATGTTCTCTCAGTACAACACTAAGCTCGTCGGCGACGGTAACCCACACCAGAACTATCTTCACAAGCAACTTTCGGTAAGTGCAAAGTTTCTAAGAGCTTTGAGTACAACGATCGCTAACAGTCATGCTTAGGAAATCCAGGAATGTGGTTCTGCCCCGACCTGCAATACTGCCTTCACGAAAACTAAATCTTACACCATTGGCTTTTCAAGCAGTATCTCAGCAGGGGGGTGGATCTCTGGAGGCTTTGACGTGGCAAAGAGCTTGAGTACAGGAACCACGAACGGTTGCACCGGTAACAGAGGCGACACGATATGCATTTGGTATAAAATGGCCCATACTGCCTGTCAGTTTATAGCATTCCGTCATATCCCCTACTTTACACCAAATCTAACGCACCCAACAGACACAGTACAGAGTAGCTTCGACTCTGCCTGTGGAGACGGCAAGCTCAGCGAACCATACGTTCTAAAGTCTCCCAACAATGCAAACCGCGGTGGTGTAAGTCAATTGAACTACATTGTTTTATGGTGTATATGCTGATCCTTCTTTAGAGCTACTACTGTGTCGTTGGAACGTGCAGGTCTATGGGAGACGACTACTGGGACGACACTGGTCGCGCTGGCGGCCCTTGAAGGAGATATGTCTCTCGCGTATGAGCGTTGGAACGCTGATGCCACTGCAACTTGCATCTATGTAGGCTCTAGAGGATACTGTCTGTGCTTTCGCATTCATAGCATATCCAGCATCTCTAGCTGTTACCCCGTAGTCTCATATTATATGTTTTATCGCATCTAGCGAAAATGGCGCGCTTATGCGTATGTTGAATGTCAGGCTGACTGACGATATATACTATTCTGCACACATGATCGATATTCATTGATTACTGTTACCTTTTTGGCATGCTACCGCAGTGGGTACAGACCTGCGTTCTGACGGTGAATACTCACTACACAACCAAGGCTTCACTTCTAAACCTGTATTTCGAGTGGTCAACAATGATCTCACTTTTGACGTGTAGACGCCTCGGATCGTAAAGGTGCACCCGTGTCGATCTGCAGGATTCATATATGAACGCTCCAGATCATTCTCGAGTCAAAGTTTGTGATGCAGTAGGAGAAATTCATGATATACATGCACATCAAATTTGAAAATGGGATCTCATACTGAATACGCATTAATAAGCTATGGTATTTAGGCAGTGGTCGTCTGAAGAAAGCACTATGTCTCCACCTCAAGAATTGCGACCTTCTCGACCATGCTTCCGAGCACGCCTGTACATAGCCAAACCCTGCCAGGATCATTCTCACATCTGTGCACTGACACGCCTTCCTCCAAGCTTCAGCACCGTTCGCGCCGATCCTGTAGCTCGACTACTTAATAATACGTTGGAAAAGTTTGAAAGCTTTCCTCAGCTGGCTTCTGGCCAATCGTCTGTCGACATGTGTACCCATGTATGGGTAATCTCTAGATCTTGCGTCTGCCAATAGGTGCAGCCCGCTTTGTACACGTCCTTAACCTCAAACTCGTGAGCAATGGGCCACCAAATTTTACGGCCACATAGCAGATGATTCTGGCTTGTGTGGAGAGGCTGCGGCTTAGACTTACAAGGAGACCAAAAGTGCGATGCCGGATATGTCCCACACAAGTATAATAATCTACATAGCTCCCGGGATCAGATACTGCGGGTCGAGATATGATGGGCGTGCTCAATCTGAAAAGACATGTAGCTCGACACATCTCCCAAGAGTCTAGAGAGATGTTTGCTATTGCTGCACAGTCTGTCCTTTGCATCTTAACTATTATTTTGGGCACTTTGAGTAAGATTCGCGCGATACTGATGGGATCACATCTTCCGTGCCACCAGCTGTACCAAACAACTAAGCTGTCGAGGAACGACGTGCTGACTAGTTCTTGGGGTCTCGAAATGGCTTTGGGAATGGGGACCCTAGTGGAGCTCGCTGCACTGGCTGCTGATGATCGGTAGATCAAAAGATACGCCAGGCCATTCTCATACCTTCTTGCACTGTGAGTTGGCTCTCTCTCGTGCGAGTGTTGCAGTCGAAGGCCTGAAGTTCGGGGCGTCTTGAGTGTTGCATAATTCACAACATGGTCGATGCCGTGATCGAGATGAGGTTTTGGACTGAAGGAAAGATAGAGCCAGTTGCTTGACGAAGAAGAAGGGAGGGTACGTCACACTTATAAACGGAACAACTCTTGCCTGTCCCCGCGCACTATAGTGAACAATTGGCGTAGCAATAGCTAAGTCAACGTATCATCGACGTCTTCGTAAGTATATGTCACGATCTAATAATCCTTTGAAGCTGTACAGGCTGGTGTAAAGCTTGCTGGACAATCTCTAACGAGGTCAAGAGTTAGAGCAGAGTGGACACGAATGGTCAAAGCACCTGGTGCGTCTGCCTTCACCTAAGCTAAGAAACTGTAGAAACATAGGCTGAAGGTGATTCAAAGCTATTCTTAGTCACATGAACGCCACCTAATCCCAGACTCACCTTCTCTAGATCCTGCCCCGATCCAAGAACTTCTTTGGCAAGTCCACCGTCTTCGCCCTCAGATACTCCATCGCATCTGTCATACGAGTCAGTATCCTGTTCTCCAATCTCCTCCCCTTAGACCCGTGTACTCACTTTTCCCCAATGTGTCGTACGTCGAGCAAGCATTATATCCTCTATCCAGATGATCATGCAGCAAGAAGTGTACCGCTCTCAAATTCTTCATTTCAAACCGGTCGATCGGCTTACTTCCCTTGCCTTCGTACTCCTCTGGCCCAAGCAAGTGCTTGATGCGGTCGATAGTCATGAAGCTGCGCAGCCAATCCCACTCGTCGTCGTGGCGCACGAAGAAGCCGCAGTTGCAGTCTGACACTTTGTCGCCGGAGCGGCCCGCGACGATGTACCCGAGGGGTGCGCGAACGGTTTCGCCAAAAGTGCTGAGATCAACGGGGCTGGAGGTTTCGTAGGAAGATTGCTGGCGCGGGTATTCTTGCGTAGTTGCAGGGGGTGTGAGGTCGGTGGTAGTTTTCTTGCCCCACAAAGTGTGGACGCGGAGAGGAAGTTGATCTTGCGGGAGGAGAGAGGGCCAGTACTCGTAGTAGGGCTTAGGGATAGTTTGTCGAAGGTCGTTGGAGAGTGACAGTCCAGGTGCGGATTGCAGGAAGACTTCGACACACCATCTGTTAAAGCCGTTGGGGATGTTCCCGGGCGGACGATTTCTGGATCGGAGGTTTGGGCAAAGCACCGGAAGTCAACTGTTGAGACGTCTTGGTTGCGTGCGTCGATGGGTGATGAGCCATTTTGGTGGAATTTGAGCGTGGAGAAGCGCTCAACGTTATCGCCCATTGCTGGTAACATTAGCCTCACACATCGCGAAAAGTCTGTTATTCTTGAAACTTACTGTGTCGAATTTGGTCTTCCGTAATCTTGCACTTCTCCTCGATGTCGAGCCCGCACATGAAGAAGTGCCATTCGCACTGATACCCAGCAGGAGCTGTGATGCCGACTTTGGTCGTAGGTGGCGGAGGTAAACCCTTAACGCCAGTCACACGCACTAGATCTTCGCCCATTTGCTCCATCTTTACGTTGGTGATATCCGCTGTTACGTCGCAATTGTAGTACAGAGGACCCTGAATCTCATACAGCAGCTGCGATGTACATGTGCCGACCGTGACGCATCCTGTTTGTATCAGTATTCGAGTAATGAAATGCTGTAACTTCCGAAGTACCTCCAGTGTTCTTTTCCTTCGCAATTGTGACTGTACCGTCATACTCGACCTCTGCAATTGGAAAGCCCATATTGACGTGTTTGCCTTGCTTCATCAGATCCTTGAACATGGAGTAATAGCCACGCAGTAACATATGTTGAGCACTCAATCAGATGTCCTGTGCACAGAGTCAGTGATCTCTCGTATGTACAAGTCGCACATCAACAACTGACCAGCCACCAGTGCCGCTGCGAGTTCGTCGAATTGATCGCTCTTCCAGTCATGCCACCATCTAGAAGTGTCAGCTTCCCAGTACTCGGTTTCCAACCCCTGACTTACGCAGCAGCACCAATCACGGGCGCAGCATCAGCAACACGTCCAGCGATCACAATATCGGCGCCTTGCCGAAGTGCCTCTGTCATACACAGCCCGCCCAGATACGCCTGTGCACAGATTGGTTCCATGCCCCATTGTTCGAGCTTTTTCCCATGCATCAAACTCTCAAACTTCTCGCCTTTCTTGATCAAGCTGTTCACTTGACCTGTAACATCGTCTCCTTCTATCCAAGCGACTTTGAGATGGCCGGCACCCGCCTTCTCCAGGAGATCGACAACGACTTCAGCCAACAGCTCCGTGTCTGAAGCACCAGCGTTGACTGCCAGTTTGGTGCCATTCTTGACAAGATTTGGAATTGCTGGCTCAAAGCAGGAGATGAAGGTCTCAGCGTACATGGCCTTTTTCTTGCGCTCTTCTAAAGTGACTGGAGCATCACCACTTTGGTTTGAGCGGTTCTTGACTTTCCCGCTGCCGTGGACGGTCATTGTCATTTCCGATAGCCAATCGCCTGCGGAAAGTTAGCATTGCGGCCAGGACTGTTAAAATGTTCAGGTCTTACCCATTACAACATCGACCTCAGGGTCTCCAGCCATCCGAGTGATGGCATTTGCGCGGTCGAGGAAACCGCCGGAGCAGCCGGCAATACGCACAGCACGTTTACGATCAGTCGAAGGGGACATTTTCACACGCTTTGAGGTCCTTATAGTTGACATGGGATAGCAGGATACTGGAAGAGGGCGGGAATTCGTCTGCGTCGTTGGCAGAAGCTACTACAAGCTATATACTATCTTCAATGCTAAATTCGGAGTCAGGCACGGTCCTGACCTCAGTCACAGGAACCGTTTCTCGGTCCATTATCCAATGGTAAGACGATCAGATGCTAGCGTAGCTTCTCTGAAGGGTCCTGAGACCATGTCGCGGGTAACGAAGACACAGCAGCGCGGATAAAGCTTTCCTGTGTTGAGATCAGTCGTCATCCGCGAATGTGGGGATGCGGGGAAGACGACTGCATTGCGCTTCGAACTTCGACGCCAGCATATGAGTTGTTGAGTATGAATATGGTAAAAGTAACATTGCGATGGTGATCCAGCTACGTTGAAAGGACTGAGCATTATCGATGGGCCATTTAACCTCATCATGAACGCAGATGGTCAGTGGAAAGAAGAGAGCGTTACAGACGCGTGAAGTTCACTGACTCAGGCCTTTTGCGCTAAGAAATCACATGACTCGTCGGGATCGTCGAGGTCCAGATGTCTTTCCACTGATCTCAGCCCTTATGTATACTTCATTGTATAAATCTTACTGGTTTTCGTTCGATGATTCTTGAATAGGGTCGCGAATGCATTTGTCCCTAACTTGGTATGTGTTCGCCACATTGGGATGCAGAGTGGCTGTAGCTGTGTCTTAACCGATTCCTGTCTTCGATTCGACACGGAGCTTCACTTTCTCCATGACAACCCTGCATGAAGGCGATTCGAGAAGGAGCGCTTGCAGGAATGTCCTTTGTTGTTGTGACGATGAAGTGATGGTGAGGAAACAAGGTGATGCCAGTTCCACGAGCTTGTGCACGGACATGTAATGGAAAGCGCGAGGATGTTCAGGCAATTTCTAAAACTTTCCATCTCGCAGTCACAACAAACCTTCAAGTGCTCGACACCGGCTTGAAGCATTATCGTGCCATTTGTAACTCGCGACACGAAAACTTACATAGCAAAAATCACGGAAAGCGAACTACCACCTCCCAGATTCAGCCATGGCGACTTAGCACGCTGCACGATCCTGGCGCCCTGTGGTCGCAAATCGCTATGTTGTCGAAGATGCCCGTCCACACGAAAAATGCGGCGTGGCTTCAACTGCTTATATGACAACACATCTGCTTTCTTGGTAAAGTCTGTCCAACCCTCTCGTGAAGATTGACCGTGCTTTACCCAATGTCACGTCATGCTTCGAGCACGCGAGCTGTAGAGAGCTATGCGCTAACTGCCGTCCAGGACATCTCTCTGCTAACCCACTCACCCTCTGGTTGCGTGTTCCCCTCCCGTGGTACACGTCAGCCACCTTTGCACAATTTCCCGACGAGACGCGATCGAGCATCCGGCGGTCCTTCGTTTCGCCGCTCATGTCAGACCAACGCCGAGTATTCTGTGGATACTGCGGTACACAACTCTCGTCTTGGAACGAGCGCACACGCGACGATGCCGAACACATCTCGTTGACGGTCGGAAGCCTGTTGGATGACGACCAGGAGCAACTGGGCGAGATGGGGTTCCTGCCCAGCAGTGACAGCAGCGACGACGAAGGCACATCGACTGTCGCAGAACCATCGCGGTCCCACAGCAAGCGAACTGTGGTACGGTCAGAACCTTCGTCACGAGGCGCTCCGTGGTTTGAGGAAATAGTCCGGAACACGAGACTGGGACGCTTCAAGCAGCAGCGCGGTGGCCACTCTGCTTCTGGCGTACAGGTGGAATGGGAAGTCACCGAGTGGACTGAGGGCGATACCGACGAGCTGGTCAGCTCAGGACAGGCCACGCCTACTAAAAGGAAAATTGGCGATGTTGAGGCCGACGACAGCGAGATGCGCAACGCGTGAAAACGTCCCCCCCCCCTGCAAGATGTAAAAATATGTGTCATAGATGGAGACGGCTCACGCTTCACGAAGAAGAAACGGCAAAGTTATTATTGGTTTTGTATGGGCAACGGGCTCGGTGTAAGCAGCGGTGGTATTTTCATGGAGTTAACTTACAATGTACGGCAAGACATGTCACTATACTAAATACGCAGTCTCTTCCGACCCACAGTGCATTCATACGGCCCACTCCAGATTCCCTCCCGGTTAGCCATCTGCAGCCAACATCACATATTCCCGCCTGCCGGAACTCATTCAGTTCTCCTTATGAAATCGCTATGCAGTCGGTTCGTGCACTGGACGGTCAGTTCCTTCGTTGACCAATGCACGACTTCGGAGCTCCATGGAGCCGAAAAGGAACGCGTGGGGTGGGGTTTAGCGCGCGCGCGGCGGCGCCTGCAAGTGTCCGTCGGACCCTGCGCGGGAGGGAGGACGGGAGCTCCATCTGACTGCAACAGCGTTCCAAACTTCAAACTTTCTTCGACGTTGACTCTCGCAGATGCCGATAGTTCAATGGCACCCATGTCGACGAGAACGAGTCGTGACGTGAACTTCAAATCGGCAGATGTGTTATCTCGCGCCTTACGCGACCGTCTTACCCACGCAGCCGCAGCCGCGTCTGCGGGTACTTATCCTGCATCGGCCCTGACAGCCATAATTGGCCACTAACATCACCACGGTCCCTCCGCATCCTTGCATTCGATGTCTTTTGGTCTCTTCATCGTATGATAAGAACTTTGTCACAAGGTTTCGATTAACGTCTCACCCGCATCTGCGGAGAAGGCGTCTCGACCATCTTCCCTGCTGCTGGCAAGTAGGGACCATGACAAAACAGGTCACTGCCCGGAGTCGTTCTGCAATTGCTATCTGTGGAGTCGCTTAACACAGGCTCAAACGTAAACGTCTCATGCAAGGGCGATAGGGACGAGCCGTCCAAGCTCGCTGCAGCTGAAGCATGCAATATCAACGTGTTGGCCGACAGTATCGAACAAGGCTCATCCTCTCTTCGGCCCTATTAACTGCAGTTGGAGTCCCAGTACTGTGGACAGCTTCCAGCGAAGCCTGCCGATTCTTCTATCCGTCGATCTGCTCGATTGCTGGTTCTTTTACTTCTTCCGTTAAGCTACGTTGTTCGATCTGCAATCGATTTTCCATTTTACAAGCCAGCGTAGCCCAGCGCCTTTACTCAAACTTTGGGACCAACTGCAGCCAAATCTCCAAAACTTACTGTTCGCGTGGCGTGCGGTCATTCTATCGGCATGGAGAAGAAAAGTGACGAGACGCCTCGCTATGAGGTTGACGACTCAGTGGGCGTGGGTGAGGTGTTGAATGCGTCTGGACACAAACAGGAGCTTGAAAGACAGTTCAGTCTATTGTCAATTTGCTCAATTGGTATCACGACTGGTAATGTTTGGGCGGCATTGGGAGGTTCAATCGTATGTTCTCACGAACTTCCGTATTCCTCAACGAGAAAATATCGAAGTAATACTAATCATTTACATCAGGCCATCGCGCTTTACAATGGTGGACCACCTGGCGTAATTTATGCATTCATCGCAGTGTCATGCATGTACTTCTTGATCGCAGCCTGTATCGCTGAGATGGCTTCTGCTATTCCTTCTTCCTCGGGTGTTTATCACTGGGCCAGCGTAACAGCAGGCGCAAGATACGGCAAAGCTACAGGCTTCTTCGCTGGATGGTGAGTCTCTCCGCATCCTATATACTGCTGCTTAATCATCGAAGCATCACCTTGCGTACAATAATAACTTGTGGCCAACAGGTGGAACTTTCTCGGCTGGCTCTTCGGCACCGCATCCATATCCTCCATCTGCGCCAACCAGATCATATCCATGTACGGACTCTTCCACGAAGACTACGCATACGAGCGATGGCAGGTCTTTGTTGTATACCTTATCATAACCTGGTTCACTGCATTGATTGTCATGCTCATGAACCGCGCACTACCTACCATAACCAAGATTGGGTTATTCCTCATTTTGGCCGGAGTCTTTGTTACAATTCTAGTTTGTGCCATCATGCCCAGTAGGACTGGCAAGGGCTATGCGAGCAATGCATTCGTTTGGCGAGAATGGGAAAACAGGACGGGTTGGAGCAACAATGGTTTCGTCTTCATGGCTGGCATGCTCAACGGCGCTTTTGCTGTTGGAACGCCGTACGTCTTTCCCCATGTCTCAAATGAAAATCTGCATACTGACCATGCCAACAGTGACTGCATCTCCCACATCGCTGAGGAGATTCCCAATCCCCGTGTCAACATCCCGAAAGCCATTCTCGCTCAATACGCCGTTGGCTTCACCACCGCCTTCCTCTACGTCATCACAATCTTCTACTCCGTCAACGACCTGCCCTCGCTCTTTGCCAATCCATGGCCGTTCCCCCTCGCCGAGCTATACCGCCAGGCGACAAACAGCCACGCCGGCTCCGTCGGTCTCCTGATCGTCATTTTTCTGCCAACGTTCTGCACAAACATTGGTTGCTACCTCACCACCGGTCGCATGCTCTGGACGCTGGGACGCGATCGCGCAACGCCATTTTCCGCATGGGTTGGAAAGGTGAACCACACATGGGGAAACCCACTCAACGCCACGCTTACCTGCGCGATCCTCAACACCATTATTGGCGCAGTGTACGTTGGTAGCACGACTGCTTTCTCTGCGTTCGTCGGATCCTTCATTGTTCTCGCCTCCCTGTCGTATCTCGCCTTCATCATCCCCAACATCTTCAGCCGCAGACGACATGTCACGCCTGGCCCGTTCCGCATGCCCGATCCTGTTTTCTACGTTGTCGCGGGTATTGCGACATGTTACATGTGCATTTGGATTGTAATCTACTGCTTCCCATTCGCGCGACCGTTTGACGAGACCACGATGAACTACACGAGTGTCATGACGGGTGGATGCACAATTCTACTCACTGGATGGTATTTATGGATCAGAAATAAGGGATACGTAGGTCCGCGGGCGATGATAGAAGAGGCGGAACGCAGATTAGCGGCGGGCGAGGATGTCGTTGTCAGTGATGTCGTGAAATAGCTCAGAGTGGGCGAAGCGCAGTATATTGAGCTGCCAACTTACGAATCATGAGACCCGAGATAGATAGAATGACTCTCTTTGACGCTATGAATCCTTCACCTCTGATTCCGTGTTGCTGGCATTCATCTTCTCAATCGCATCCTTAGCACCCACCCAGCTCTTCCTCTTCGGACCCTCAAAAACCCGATATATACACGGCGCCCAAATCCCATCCATCAAGAGATGGCAGAACCATATATTCCACAGCCAAAACCACCATCCCTTCAGCCCGTACCCCAAATACTCATCCACGCCCGTGCCGCCCAATTCATTCATCTTCGCCATCCACGGTCCGCCATCGACATTCCCCGGACTAATGTTATACCCATAGCCCGCGAGGCCCGCAAGCCACACATGCTGCCTCTTGATATCTGCTTCTATTTCTGCTTGCGCAGGCAGTTTCGACGCCCCTTTGAACACCTGCGCGATCGCCATGGCGGCCATGTCAGAGATATGAAACCCACCGAGCGCAAAGTACACATTACCAATGAACGCCAGGCTATCTGGTTTCCGGGCAGAGAATACATTGAGGTAGAGATTGAAAAGAGATTTGTTGTTCGCGCCTTGCGCTTGTGTCCATGCTGTGTTGGTGGGCGCGCTGGGATCGTAGTCGGGGTGCATGATGCTGAAGTCGGACTTATATCCTGTACACCATATTATGGTATCCACGTCTATTTGTCGCCCATTTTCGAGCTCCACGGTGGTGGGGGAGATGATGCGTTTCATGACAGGTACGGATTCGATGTCTTCGGCGTGGAGATGGTCGACGAGGGTGTCGGATACCATGGGCACTTTCTGAGCTGGTTCGAAGCCCCATTCTGGTTTCAGTTTGAAATGCTTGTCTTGGTAACTCTTCATGAATTTGTCGAATTGCCGCTCGGCGAAATCTGGGAAGTACTTCATGACGAGGCTGGAGATGCGGAATAAGCGGAGGCTGTGGTTGTGATCGATTGGTTTGCCATTGTGCATGCGCGGTACCACGCGTGCGCCATGACGGTGCGCGAGATAGATCTTACTTGCAGCGCCGACGAGCTGAGTGGATGTGTCTGCTGCGCTGTTGCCGAAACCCACCACCATGACGCGTTTGCCGGTGAAATTTTGCGGGCGCTTGAAGGACTTTACGTGGATGCTTAAGCCTTCGAAGTCTTCCAGTCCAGGTACTGAAGGCATGCTAGGCTGGCCGACCATGCCGCCGATTGTGACTACAATCTTATCAAAATACTGGTCATTGTGTTTGGCAATTCGAACAACCCATTGCTGTCGGTCAGAATCGAACGAAATCTCTTGAATTGATACGCTGAGGCGAAAGTGCGGTTCGAGATTGAAGTGCTCAGCATAGCTCACAAGATACTGATGTACTTGAGCGGCTGTAGGGTATGATGGGACAGCTTTGCTGTGTTAGTTGGTCTTAGTTCCATTCGAAGAGAGTTGGGAAACACTGACAGTTGGAATAAGGGAAGTCTGTGAAACAGCCTCTTTCTTTCGATATGTTCGCGACTGTCGTGTTTAACACAGACGTCCGATCGTCCTCGGCGTACTTCCATAATCCACCAATATAGTCGTTTCGCTCGAATCCTGTCACATCGAAGCCTTGCTCTTTCAAATTCTTGAGTGCTACCAGACCAGCTGCACCAAGGCCTATAACCGCAACTGTCGTACGCTCAGTCATTCCGATGTGCCAGTCTTGCAGCGCGGCAGGTGTCTTTCTTGAGTCAACGATAGTCTGACAACTACGGTGAAGCCAGATTTTATCTTTGATGGAAGTTGTATTTGACTATCATGCATATGAACGAGATGCAGCGCGCCTAACGGGTCCGTCCACAAAGGACGGGCTAGTTGTGGAAGTCCATTACTAGTGTTCTCAAGGTCCATGATGTCATCACAGAAGAGAACGAACGAGTTCATCTCTTCGACCATCCTAACCATTCGCGCGTAACTAGCAGCCTCCTCATCATTGAGGTTGCAAGGTAGTAGCGCTCACAGGCAGTAGGGCTGCGTTCTGCGATAGCCCGCTTGGTGGGGGCACGAGGCCTGTGGCAATTAATCAAACGCAGCTAATCTCGACTGCGCATGTAAAGTCAGGCGCAGTGCGAAGAAACGAAAGGCTGAGTGTGTAAAGATACACAGACGCAAGGCTGGCTGTAAGAAGTGTGCACGTAAGACGCGCGGTCTCCGAAGCATCATTGGCGGGGGGCTAGCCACCAGGCAGCAACAAAAGCGACCTACTGAACACGACTGCACAGCCCAGGTAGAAAGAGCTACTAATATAAGCTTTCAGTCGCATGGTCTGCCAGTAGACTACAACACCTTATACCGATCCACTTCATCTACATTTCTCTGGCTAGGGACCTTCGGCATCAGCAATCATGGCTAACCAGCCTCCTAACCCCGCCAATGCAAACCTCAACATCAACCTTCCTCCACCATCACTATCTTCAAATTCTAGCGCGCCATTCACTCCTCGATCAGCATCAGTTGCGGATGATTCCGATGCTGAATTTGACCCAACACCGCTTCAAAGCCCAAGAGGCGGACCAGAGTACGATGATTTGCCACCTTCGTATGACGAGGCGCAACATCAGGCTGTCAGCGATGCACGTAATGGCGTAACACCATTAGATCCAAACCAGATTGAAGCCCATCGTTTGACTTTAAACGAAGGACCCGACCAACCGGAGATCTGGGAGTATCGAATCAGAGGGGAAGAGCTGGATGCAGAGAATGAACAAGCACCAGAATATGGTAACATCACGAACCATCATGAGACAGCCATACCTATTCAACATGTCGAGACAAGTACAAATATTCCAGTTGGACAGACTGGGGCCAGAGACCTGCCTCCAGACGTTATGCCAGATCGGACCGCAGAATTACTCAGTCAAGCGTTGAACTTCGCACGCCATGAGCCTGATGCGGATGCTCAATACGCGCCGAGACTTACCAGACGTATTGCCATCCCTCAGCAAGCCAGTCCTGGAGCAGAAACCAATACGGTTCAATTTCTGAGAGCATATGCCAAAGCTCTACATGCACATTCTATTCGGCCAGCAGAATTCTCCGAATTCATCGACGGGTTGAACTCTTTGTGTGTAGCTTCAGGCATAACGGTGGACGATCTACTCTCGTCAGCGTCTACTGCTGGTGCTACATCTGACATTGTACAAAACTACATTCGAAGCGTGAATGAAGTCTTCTTTGCTCCTCGAGGGCTGAGAGTCTCGCTCCGGTCGCTTTCCGCGCTCATCAATGCTCTTGCTATACCTACGGAGAGGGGCCAGCGAGCAGGCGCTGTTGCAGGCGCCGCCGATGACGCCAGTACAGCAGAGAGAAGAGCCCAGTCTCTTCACCCGTGGATAGAAGCCATTGAAACGAACGTACCTGAATCAAGTACGCACTCTTTAGTGCTACGCGAGATGGCTGAGAGAAGGAGCGCGCACACCAAGACTGCGTCAAGCTCCAGCCAAAAGCCTGAGCTTGAGGATCCGCCACACTCTAGCCTTGAAGAAGTGACTGATCCAAATACCCAACCCGGACATGAGCATCACTCTCGGCATGCTAGTGGAAGAGGTGGTCACCACGGCCCGCACGGTACTCACGGCCATGGACCATTTGGAGGACCGGGCAATTGGCCGTTCGGTGGTCCTGGTCTTGGGCCTTTTGGAGGACCGGGCAATGGTCCGTTCGGTGGTCCTGGTCTTGGGCCTTTTGGTCACTCAAGACGAGGTCGTGGTGGTCGAGGCCGTGACTCTCACAGTGCTGCTGAACGCGGCGCTCACAGATCTCCCAGATACGACCGCGGTCAGGCTTGGGAACACCCGCGCAGGTCCGGACCACCTAGGCCTGGCGATGACTGGGCTCAAATTGCTAAGAACTTTGGCCAAATGGGCGAAGAATTTGGGAAGAGAATGGGGGACTGGGGGCGAGCAGTTTGGCAAGCAAGCAAGCGCTTGGGGTCAAAATGTTGGTGAACGAGCAAACGCCCTTGGGGCGCGGAGATCAACGCCAGGAACACAGCTGCTGGCTCCTAGCAGTGGGTCCACCACCACAACACGATGATGGGCTGCCCGCCATCCCTACGAGGCAGGACCCGAGTGCTCAAGAAAGCGGGTGTGCTTCCGTGGTGACAGCCAAAGCTTCTCTCGACCGCCCCAAGCTACGAAACATGGTAGAGGAAATCCCACGAAGGAGTATCCGAGGGAAGGCCGCCCAAAAAACGAACGATTGACCGATGACCTCGCGTCCTTCCCATACCTCCTCCATCCCTCAAAGGCGACTCGGACAGCGACTCTGACCCCGACTCTGACTCTGATGACGAAGACACTCAAGCAACATTCCTCAAGCGCATCCAATCCATCAACAATGCCGCCGAAGCCTCCGCGAAGAAAGGCAAAAAGAGCCCTTCCGAGATCGCCGAAGAGCGCGCCCTCGCCATCGAGGAAGCACAAAACCAGAAACTCGAAGCAGACGTCAAAATCGACGATAAAAGATCCCGGCGCGCAATGAGCCGAACACTGAAGCAAAAGCGCAGAGATCTCAAGCGCGAGCACAAGCATAAGAAGAGGGAGTTGAAGGCGGCACATGGCAAAGGGAAGGGCAAGGCGAAGAAGAACCCTGCGTGGAAGATGGCGAAGAAAGAATATAAGACGAAGAGGAAGGAGTTGAGAAAAGACAGGGCGAAGGCGAGGCAGGAGTGGAGGGAGGCGAGGTCGGAGAGGTTGAGGGAGAGGAGGGAGGCTAGGAGGGGTGTAGCTGAGCAAGAGGAGGAAATGAGTAAGATGGTTTGGCTGATTGTAGAGAATCTAGACGATCCAGTTGCTTGATTATAGTCTATGTAGCTATGGAGCATGTGGATTGCCTGATCGGCAGATTGTCTATCCCAAATAGAGATACTATCAGCGAGCATGCTGTAGTCCAACCATGTTCGAATCGGATTCTCTCCCGTCAAATGTGCACCTGGAGCTTTCTGTTGTACAGCTCTCACTCAAGCCGCCGGACCTCTGATTTGGGCCTTTTCCTGGATTTCCTCCCACTGCTCAACTGTGTACCTCTCCTGCGGCTGCTCGATGAAGATCGGTCCATCGTACGACGACCTCAACCATAGGTAATCCAAAACCGCTCTCAAAGTCTTCGTATCTACATCCAGAGGCGGCGCACTTAGACCTTCAACAGCATCATAAGCCACAACAACCACATTCCCGTTGATTGCATGCTGGGCAACTGAGTTGGCACCCAGATTTCGCCGTTGTTTGGGGTTGCTGTCATAGGAGATTTGGAGCCAGTATGGTAGGTATCGGTCGTGGAAGCCGATGGTCTTGATATCTCCTGGCTGTGTATCGGGGTAGCAGCTCTGCACATCGGGCCGGCCATCGTTGTCGTGGAGGACCCAGTGGAAGCGAGCGCGCGGGTACTCAGGCGCGAGGAGAAGAGCACGTCGGGAGTTTGTGGTGGGTCTGATCTTCGCAGATGTAGTGAACTCCCTACATAGCGATTTATGCTCCTTTCTATCCGCTTTCTGTAGATTGTTAGTGATAGTACCTCTGTATCTGTGCTTAGGCAAGCACCTGGCATTTCTTGGAACAGTAGAGTATGTTGTGGCAGCCGGCGCATCGCTGTAACTCTGTGGCTTTGTGGCAGATAGCACAGAGGCCGTGCGCGTCCGGGGCGACTGGTTGTGCTACTGGCATATAGTCTTCGAGGACTAGAGGCTGGCCAAAGTCCTGGGATTCGCTCGAGGTCATTGTAGCTGGCATGACTGGTGTTGCGAAGTAGGAATATGGTTGATAAATCAGTATGGAGAAGGAAGGAACATGGGTTTGTCTCGGGCGAAAGGAATGAATTAACGGCTTGCTATGGGAGAAAGAGCGCTAGGAGCGTCTCTCACTTGAGGCCTTCCTGCCTTCACTTTAAGACAGGCAATGTGGAGCGGTAGCCTCATGACAAGTGAAGGCGACCGGGTAGTATCATGTAAAATTTCATACCAAATATTTAGGATCTTGACACCTTCTGGAATTCAAATCGATTGTCTATAACAGCTACTACATACAATGAAGTCGAACTCGAACCCTCAGATGTGTTGTGTAGCAATGTGAGTGCCAAGGCGCTACAATTATGACGTACTCCGGGCCAGGCTGTGAAATGTACACAGCCACAACCTGACCGTTACAACGCTTGCTACACTACTTACTTTCGCCTCAAATCAAAGGACCCCTCCCCACTCTGCAGGATACCATACACCGACTGTAGTTTGTTGCGCTTTCACAGTTTCACCGCTCGTACCCTGCGCGACACACTCCGACGAGAGCTACCGAGTTCACAGTAGATCATAATCCGTGCTAGTGAACATGTTCAAGAAATTCAAAGACAAGCTCAAGGGTGATGAACAGTCCTCTTCGAGCTCTTCCCAAGGACACGGCCAGTCTAACAATCAATACTACAATGACCCACAACAACAGCCGCATCATGCTCCGCCGACAGAAAAGTATCAGAGCCCTCCAGGACCACCACCGGGATATAGTTCCTCGAAACCAGAGTATGCGCCGCCTTCAGGACCTCCACCGAGTCACGATCAGTCTTCTTCAAAGACAGACTATGCACCTCCTCCAGGACCCCCGCCTTCGCAGCAGTTTCCCCAACAGCCGCCTCCGAGCTGGGACCCACCACCGTACCATGACTGGACAGTGATACCGGACACTGCGCTTCTACCACCTCCACCAAGTATTGGTTATGACACTTCACCAACCGCAAACGCCAGCGCAGAAGATGGTGACCGAGCACTAGCCTGGACAAACACAAACCCTCTATGGCCGCCGCAGAACCTGACACCAGCGACTCACGCCGCGATTCAAAATGGACAACTCGCCCTTCTCAAAGCACCTTCATATCTCGGGGACCTCCTCCCTCAACCCGAAGCTGGACACTGGCGATGCCGCACGCACGCCAACTGCAGAGACTCGAGCATCATGACGAACCTACCCATGTACTCTGTGTACTGGGACTCTCCGCTCAACACCCAACGCCCCAAGACCATCTACTTCGAGCTCAAAGTCACCGGCATAGGTCGTGGAGGCTCGTCGCTTGAAGAAGCAGATGCGGGCATCGCGGTCGGCTTTGTCGCACCTCCCTACCCAACCTTTCGTCTTCCGGGCTGGGAGCGCGCAAGCTTGGGTGTTCACGGCGACGATGGGCGGAAGTACGTCAACGATCCTTGGGGCGGCGTGGACTTCACGACTGCATTTGCGCCGGGAGAGATTGTGGGTATAGGCATCACGTACTCTGTGCCTAAGAATCCGCCGAGTTACGAGCAGACGCAGCAGGGACGCTTGATGGACATTGACGTTTTCTTCACGCGCAATGGAAAGAAAGAGGGTGGATGGGATGGGAATGAGGAGCTCGATGTGAGGAGCGAGGGGGGCAATACGGGTCTGAGGGGCGAGTGTGATCTGTTTCCTGCTATCGGTGTGTTTGGAGGCGTGGATTTCGATGTCTTCTTTCATCCTTCGCAGTGGCTGTATAGGCCGTGGTGAGTTGCGTTTGATTTGCTTTCATAGGATACCCGTACATTTCAAAGTGGCGATGTTACCATGAGTACAGTCAGCAATATGCTTGTGAGACAGATGCTATGCTTATAAGACCGGCCATCACGAGCCACCCGTACTCACTTCAGGCGTGCCAGTCCTGCGTCATGTACGAGCTGACATCACAACATTTCCCAGCCGTCAGCCGCAACTAACACCTCCATTGGCCAAGACATGTCACCACCCAATAGTCCATGTTACACCCACTGTACTCGCTCATAAGCTATTCCTCCCAACCCTGCCAAACTATCTACCAAACAAGGTTTCAAATATAGTAACACTAGGCGACTTCGTCTCCTATCACCAGCTATTTAATCACCTTGCTCTAGACTTTGCACAATACGGTATTCTTCGACACACCACCGTCGCCATGAAATCCACACTATCCACCCTCGCACTCCTCTTCGCGTCGGCCAACGCATCCGTGCTCTTCGCCCTCTCGCCCGACACAAACGGCGGCAATGCCCAAAAGTCATGGGTCGTGAACCGCTGGACATGTCACGATCTGGCTATCGATAACTTTGACAATCAGGCGAGTTGGGCGTTCGTGGAAGGCGGGTTGGCGAATGGGTGTCAGCTTTATGAGTGAGTCAACAGATATCATGTTGGGCAAACTGATGAGATATGGCAGGAACAACAACTGCACTGGCAATTCCGTGTACATTGAGAAGAACAATTCGAATATCCTTGGGCCTGGGCCGGTGCATCTTGTGGACGTGGGGTTTGACAAGGTTGCGAGTTCGTTTCAGTGCTTTTAGAGTTGAGGTTAGTAGGGGGGGTATGTAGGGGTGATGCCTAGTCTGAATATCAATTTTAGATGTGTGGGTGTAGAAGTCGTGCTGTACATGGTTCAGATGGGGCTCTGATCATGTGTCATGACGCGGTTTCCCCAGCCTCCACTAGCGCCACACGCACCTTCACCACTCGTTACGTCCACCTCAAGACGCAAACACGCCATGCCTCCGTGAAGTACCACAGAACCGGGCCTACGATGGACGCGCCCTCAGCACAGTTGCACCTCGAAATCCGCGATGCCGTCGTCAAAGCGCTTGCGACACGCCGGCCCATACTGCACCACCTGAACGCCGACACGAGCTGGCTGCTGCAGGTGCCGCGCCCGGCGAACGCGGTCAAGCATGGGAGTCGCATATACTTTAATATCCTAATCGATCCGTGGTTTGTCGGTGGACAGTCGGATGTGGCGAAATGGTTCTCGCAGCAGTTCCATGCGATAGAGAGCGCGGTGCAGAGCGTCGCGGAAGTGGATGAACTGGCGCGGCAGGTGGAGATACTCGCTGGCGGCATACGCTTGGGGAAGGCAAGGAGGAGCAATGTCGCGGCGTCGGCAGATCTCGAGACATTTGTTGATGCGGTCGCTGTCAGCCATGAGTTCACGGATCACTGCCACAAGGACACGCTGCTCGAGGTGCATAGGGATGTGCCTGTGTTTGCGACGGAGCAGGCAGCGAACCTCATATCCGGGTGGAATCATTTCAGGACCGTCATCACCACCCCCACGTTCAAGGACGACGCGGATTGGCACGACTACTCGCTTCCGCCGCTGCCGTCATGGCTCAGCATATCGCGCCTGACCGCCTCCAAAGACGCCCTTTTCTACCATTCGGCCCTCCTCATCACCTTCGCAACACATCCATTCCTGTCCAACGCGACACCAAAGAAGCGCTCTTCTCTGTCCATCTACGGCGACGGCGCAGAAGACCTGTCGAGCACCAACTCTGAAGCCGCCGAATGCGTCATCTACACCCCCCACGGCATACCACATACCGCACTCACACCCATCGCGACCGCCGATCCTCCGCTCCACACACTCGCCTTCTTACACGGGCTGCATGACGTCGCGATAGGCTCAGCGCAACAGCTCAACCTCGGCGCAAAGAACGGCCTCCTCGCGCAACGCATACTCAAGGCGAAATACTGGGTCGCAACACACGATGAGGTGAAGAAGGGCGGCGGCTTCATATCCTGGTGGCTACGGCGCAAAGCTTGGACACTCGAAGAAGCATTGAATGAAGCAAGAGCCGAATTGAGCAAGGATGGCGAAGACACGCACATGAACGGACACGGAGACGTATTTGAAGACGTCCGATTTCAGGACATGTCCAACGGGGAGAGTCGGATTCTGGAATAAACATGGTCGACGTTGATTCGAAGCAAGAAGAGCATAAGCATATACCCAAGCGTTGACAAGTTCCATTCATTCATTCAATCAAGCACTCGCAATTTTTATCATCATTATACTTCCATCCCATACGCCCAACACCCCGTCCTCCACTCCCCATTCAACCAAAACCTCGGCACCTCATTCCACCCACACTCTCTGAATCCCAGTTTCCTCACCACCGCTTGACTTCCCGGATTCCCTTCGTCCACACAAGCTTCGACCCAGAATAATTTCTTTCCCAGCGCCTTTTCCTCCGCGACGCATGCCGCATATGCGTCCAGCAGCGCCCTACCAGCTTCCGTCGCATACCCTTTCCCCCAGCCTTTCTTAAACAGCGCGTACCCCAGCATTCTCACATCGACCTCTTTTCCGCTCTCAACTACGTCCCCTGGCACCGGCAGTGTGAACGCAGGCGTTGGGCGCCGCAGACTGACACTGCCGATGTGTTCGCCGAGGTCATCCGAGTCACTACCATCTTGATTCACGAAGATAGAGTAGAAGTAGATATCCGTCGTGGCTAGGGAGTTGATTAGGCGGTCTCGGCTTTCGGAGAGGCTGGAGGTGGCGCCAAGCATGCTCCAGGCTGTGGCGTCCGGGTCGGACCAGTTTTCGTGGTAGAGGCGGATGTGCTGGGAGCCGGGCGTTGTGTCTGTTAGGCGGAGGAGAGTGAGGCGCGGGGTTGGGATTGAGGGTGGGAGCATGGTGGTGGGTGTGACGCAGTTGACCAAGCCGTATTAGAGTTGATTTTGGCCAGTCACTTCGGACTACATGTAAGCATTTACAATGTGCTGTGATTTTCGATTCGTCTTATGTTGACTCGGAGATCGCAGAATCGCAGATGCCTATGTTCAAGTCTTAAAGCAAGTCTTCGATGCGAAATACGATGGTCTGAGTCACTCGAAACTAGCGCGTCGTCATAACGTTATCTCACGGAAACAACGAAAATACTGAGTTGCATCAGCGTAGATGTCAGAATGGCTGACTCACTTCATGCAACTACCTCAGTCATCAAATCCTCCGGCCACCGCGGTTGATCCACTCCATTACCTCTTGTGCCCACATTGAACTTCAACTCCACCTTGCCGTCAGGATACTGTACGATGGGCTTGACAGTCTTTACGTCTTTCCCAATGGCACCGGAATGCCTGACTTCGAAGAACTCCGGCTTGAAGAGAACATCACTCGCGTTCGCCCGCATCATCTGCAAGTACCGCGGCAGCGTGTACTGCATATTATGATAATGGCGAAACACCTGCCGTCCGTTGGCGCGTCCAAACATCCTGCCAGACGGCCTCAGGATACGTCCCGACGCTATTGACCAGCCACTGGGAGTAATAGTTCAGCGCAACCTGTCTCACAATTAGCAAGGCAAAATCCTCTCCTTCCTAGCAAGAAGAAGAAGAAGAAGAAGAAGAAGAAGAAGAAGAAGAAGAAGAAGAAGACCACTTACATCAACATTCCACGACCCGCCCTCCTTTCCCCTTCTGATAATCGCATTCAGCACCCCAATAACTCCGCTAACCCCTGTGCAAAAATCACTGTTCGGAAATACAGGTGTGACCGGCTCATCCACCCCCATCCCCCTTCCAAACTCCCAACTCACCCCACAACACGCATCGCTGATCTGCTGCCAGCCCGATCTTCCTTGCCAGTCCCCATTCCACCCATAACAGTTCTCCCTCACCACAATCAACCCACGCTCCCGGTCCTTCGTCAGCTCAAGCAAGTCGTCCAGCCCGAGCCCGTATTTATCTAGCACGCACGGGCGGTATCCAGACACCACGACGTCGGCGTCAAGAATCAACGCTCGCAGTTTCGCAAGGTCAGAGGGGGAGCGGAAATCCAGATGCGTGTTCCACTTCCCCCAGTTCAGATCCACGTGTAGCGCCGACATGTCCGTGATGTGCTGCGCCGTGACGCGCATTACCGACGCGCCGAGTTCAGCGAGACCGCGCGTGAGGGCGGGCGCGGCGATGACGCGGGTTATGTCCACGACTTTGAGGCCGGCGAGGGGGCGGAGGGGGGTTGTTTTTGGGATGCCGGGCCACCAACAAGCTGGTTGGGCGGTGTTTTTGACCGGGTGGATGGCGTAGAGACCTACATGCGCGTTGGCTTTGGCGTGCGCGGTTTCCTTGAATTCTTCAGCTGAGAAGCAGATTGTGCCGGCTTGTTTGTATGTGTCGGACGCGAGGGTTTGCATGTCTTGCGAGTCGATTTTGGATAGTTTGTCTTCGTACGGGGCGTAGGCTTCTTTTGGGGTGGAGGCGGATTTGTGGTGTGGGACGCCGATGCTGTCTTGTGTCGGTTCGGGGTTCATTGAGCCGTGCAGGTGGAAGTATTTGCCGTCTTTGCAGCGGTAGATGTTTGTTGCTGCGGTACGGTACACGTTGCTGGAAGCATCGTGCAGATCGTAGTTCTTGAAGTATTTCTGGTATGCTGCTTTGCCTTCTGCTGTGGAGACCGAGGCAACGTTGATTGCTTCGCCTTCTGGGTCGATGGTGTTTAGCAGGACGGACATGAAGAATAGTTGGGCGTGGTCGCTTATCAGAGCAATTAGAAATAGCCGCATGCAGGTTTGTAAGTTGTCGACTCACGTATTGATAACGGCTTCTTGTGGCTCGACGCCATATTTCTGCTTCAACAGTACGTTTACCATTGCTGCCTCTAATCCTTTAAGTGCGGAGACGCTCTCAGCAAATCGCCAATTGATGGGTATACTGGGCCTGTCGGTGCCTTCAAAGCGGATGCGCTTCGAACATTCCTCGATCTCCTTCGGTAGTGTTGATGCGATGAGTGGGTTTTGCAGTATGCCCTCCTCAAAGATCTTTTGTGTTTCTCGTGGAATTGAGTAGGGAACATCATTTTCTTTGGTACTGCTCGCCATATCTATATTACCGCAGTGTCCGTGACAATTATAAATTGTTACTTAGGTATATGTATTCGTCTTTCTAGGGATGAGGAGTTGCAACTTCTGACATTTTATGTTACCCATAGTCACGGTTCCCAATCCATCGTGGATATAGACTTCCAGTACTCACTCGGTCTGGCGCGAATCTCATGTGAAAATGGTTATCACCCGGCCTCCTCGGTCGAGTCGAGGTAGTCGACTTCCCACCATTCCCGTTCCGACCAATCACGGAACGAGTAGCCCCCGCACTCGTAGGCTGGAGGACTAGAGAGCCATGGTATGTCGTTACACCTTTTCCGGACCTTGGGTATGAATCGTGACACGACATTACTTGAGTCGGAAAGAAGAACGATTTGGCAGGTATTTGTACTTCACGTTTAGTCACATCTATCGACCCAGTCACGATATTGTACCACAACTGATCAGCGCTCTTGAGCGCTTCTTATATGAACCTGCGGTTTCATTTCAAGATAATCATACTTCGAAATGGTTAATACAAACTACGCCACAAGATGGACACAACAGCGTGGTACCCGCCCCGTCCGAATCGCAAACTGCTCCGGCTACAAAGGTCTCATTCCACCACAACACACCCTTACTCACTCGCAGTCTAACACGGTACAGCTGATCCCGGCTACCACATGCACCTCCAAGCCTCACTTGGCGACGTGGACTTCATCACCGGCGACTATCTGGCCGAAGTCAACATTGCAGAAAATGCTCAGGCGCATGCAGAAGGCAAGCATCCTGGCTGGGAGCAGACGGCTTGGAATGGTATCGAGCAGACTATCGATCTTTTAAATGAGAAACGCATCAAAGTTGTGATTAATGGTGGGGCACATAATCCGAGGGGGTTGGCGGAGAAGGTGCAGGAGCTGGTGAGTCCGTTTTACTATCGCACATGACCTTTGTCAAGTTTGAGCTCTGTCATGCAGACCAAGCCTGTGAAACATGCTGATATTCAAGTTTAGGTAAAGAGCAAAGGATACGACCTCAAAGTCGCGTTTGTGCTCGGCGACAACTTGATCGAGGAGATGAAAGACATTCGCGAAAGAGGTCTACCACCGCATCTTGACTCGGACAACAATGAAGTCACAATCGCAGATCACGGCCTTGATCTGCTCGAGAAAACCGACAAGCCTATTGTTAGCGCCAATGCGTATTTGGGAGCTCGAGAAATCGTCAGGGGGCTTGAAGAAGGCGCGGACATTATCATTGCTGGCAGAGTTGCCGACGCCAGCCCGGTAAGTCATCTAGTTGACTTATAATTGATTTATACCAATCCTGGGTGTAGGTCATCGGTACAGCATGGCACTGGCACTCATGGAAAGACACTGACTACGACGAACTAGCCCAAGCTCTAATTGCGGGACATTTGATCGAATGCAGTGGGTACGTGACAGGCTCTAACTTTGCTGGTTTCTACGAGTACCCACTAGATGATCTTTATGACATATCATTCGGCATTGCTGAAGTTGAAAGGGACGGAGTATGCGTGGTTACGAAACATGACGGTAAGAATGGTTTTGTGACTGAAGATACGGTCAAGTGCCAGTTCTTGTACGAGTTGCAGGGAAACATATATCTCAATAGCGATGTTAAGGCAATATTGGATAACGCGCAAGTAAAGGAAGTGTCAAAGAATCGGTACGATCATCTTCAGTACTGCCCTATACTTAGATACACGCTCACTACCATCAAGTATCCGCATATGGGGTATCAAAGGCGCTCCACCACCCCCAACAACCAAACTCGCCATCTTCTACCGCGCAGGCTACCAATCCGAAATCGTCGTCAACGCCACTGGCTACGGCACATCGGAGAAGTTCGAGCTCTGGGAGCGCATGATCAGATTCGGACTGAAGCGTCTCGGTCTCCTTGAAAAATTTGACATCCTCGAATTTCAGCGCATCGGCGTGCCTGAAGCAAACCCTAGGAGTCAGCTACGGAGTACCACATACTGTAGAATCTTCGCAGAAGCCAGCGATCCGAATGTCAATCTAGGATTAGCGAGTCTACTCGGCGAATTCGCAATGCAGCATTACTCCGGCTTCCACAGTACGAGCGACCATCGAACTGCTCTACCAAAACTATACATCTCGTACTATCCCGCCATTTGGCCGCAAGAGAAATTGAACACGTCAATCAACATGCTCACAACAAGAGGTACTGAGCAAATCAAAACCACACCGCCACCGCGCTTCGAAAATCTTGCGAAAAGAGAAAGCTACGAAACGTCGAATCCCATAGATCTGGCGGCTTTTGGACCAACTACACGCGCACGACTGGGCGACGTCGTCCTCGCCCGATCCGGTGACAAAGGCGGAAACGCGAATATCGGCTTCTTCGTCCCCACCTCTTTGCCATCGTCCTACCCAGAAACCTCTCCACTCTATGCGGAATGCTGGGACTGGCTCCGCACCTACATCACCAAGCCCAAACTTCAAGAGATGTTTGGAGAAAGCTGGGATGACAAGTTCTTCGTTGAGCGAGTCGAGTTTCCGCATATCATGGCCGTGCATTTCGTTGTGTATGGCGTGCTGGGTCGCGGCGTGAGTGGGAGCAGTAGGCTGGACTCGTTTGCGAAGGGTATGGGGGATTGGTTGAGGGATGTGGAGGTTGATGTGCCTGTTAGATTTATTGAGGGTAGACAGCGTAAAGCGCAAAGCGGACGATACGCGAAGAGTGCAGATGGACATAAGCTATGAATATACGTACATGCCTATACACCGCTGCACGTGTTCTACGAGTCCGATGACAGCACGAAACAGCCATCAAGAGCTACAGATGATTGATGTAGTGAAGCCAACTTGTACAAACGCCTGGGCTTGTAAAGGTACGCCGCGAGCACAAAACCGTCCCTTCGACCACTTCTCGCACCTCCGTTCTTGCGGGCGTCGAGCCAAGATTCAGGGCGTCTGGGAGCAAGATCCAAGGTGAACCGAGATATAGACATGATCAGGTGTGATGAAACTTCTTCCTCAATGCAGTGCCATGGGCAGAGCGATCGATGAAAAAGTGGCCAAAATGGCAGTCCAGCAAAAATTGCCCCGCTGAAGCCCCCGAAGGAGATTCAATCCAAGACCTATGAAAATGTTAGCTGGAAGATGAATGACAGTACAAAAACAACTTGCCTGTCCGCGCTGTGCAATGCAGCAGATCCTGAATGACCGGCCGAAAGCTTGAGCTCGGCGGTCGCAAGAAGGTAAGTATGAGAAGTGTTGGAGGGGACGGGGCTGGCGAGGTTTTTATCCTCACGAGGGGCTTGGCGCGCTAACACCGCACGTGATCTCGCTTAGCTCTGGTGGCTTGTGCGCCGACCGTGCCCTGACCGTGCGCCATCCGTGCGTCCCGAGGTGCTACCGGAGGACTTTCACCTGCGAGATATCACCAACAGCCACGGTGAGGTGAGATGGTCTTGAGATAGGTAAGTGGCTGCTTTTACGTTCAATTGCTTTCGGGCGACCAATTTAAGCTATGCAAAGCTCCAAGGTCGCCCATTCTAGCCTCCCCATCCCACATGATGATCAAATATAACATTAGAACCGTTGCGAATGACGCCTTCTGGCGGTTGATTTCAAAACCTTTGCACATATCTGATATCTACAACTTGTCAATCGCATTGCAATGTCTTGCCGCAATCTCAAGCTAACCATGCTCAAGGCACCATGAGCAGACCAGCGCTCAGCTTTCTCCGACCGTACCTCCATCAATCCGCTCGTTCAATACGACCAGAACATGCCCGCGTGTACCTGTCCATCCAGCGACGATTCGCCCAGTCGATAGCTGCTGACGAGTACACTGGACCGCACGATGTTGAGAAGCAGAAGCGGTTGGAGCAACTGAAGAGGGCGAAACCTCTCGATGACTACCACCCACGGCTTCATCGCTCACCTGATGTTGAGAGTCTCTCGATTCGCGACTTCAATGCGAGATACGAGGGCATACAAGAGACGAAGCCAGAGCTCGTGTCTGTGATGGGTATGTCCCAGCCGCATTTTCAACGACTTGGCTCTGACAGCTTCAGGAAGGGTTCGATCAGTGAGAATACTCAGCTCCAAGCTAGTATTCCTGGACATCGAGCGCGACACGCAACGGCTACAAATCATGGTTGAGCTGAAGAAGCTCACGCCACAGGACGGCACTGAAGATAGCTACAAGAGCTTCAAGAAAACGACGAGACTAGGCGACTGGATATGTAAGTATCACAATTTAATTCACGATTGCATCTCTGATAACCCCAGCTGTCCATGGGAATCCCACGCGGACCTCAAAAGGCCAATTGTCAGTTGTCGCCCTTGATGTACCCCAAATCCTCGCGCCGTGCCTACACCACATTCCCGACACAGTCGACAATGCAGAGACGCTTGCTCGACGGCCGCATATACACGCCCTCACGAGCGACGAACCAGGCGACGTGCTTCGCCTCCGAGCACTCGTCTACGACTACATACGCACATATTTCATATCCAGTGGATTTCTGGAGGTGGAGACACCGACGTTCGATGTCAACGCTGGGGGAGCGATTGCGCGGCCGTTCGAGACAATCGCGAACGAGCTGTCGAATACATCAGTAAGGCTCAGGATAGCACCCGAGCTGAACCTGAAGCGTATGATTATAGGTGGGCAGGACAAAATTTTCGAGATCGGCCGCGCATTCCGGAACGAGGGTGTGGATAATACGCACAACCCAGAGTTCTCAACCTGCGAGTTCTATGAGGTTGGAGCAACACTACCAGATGTGATTGCGAGGACGGAACAGCTGATACATGGCCTGCATACTGCCGTTGAGTCGCTGAGGTCCACATACTTCCCTACACTTGCAGCGCCAGAGGTTGACTTCTCTGGCCCATTCGCGCAATTGCCCTTCATCCCAACAATTGAGAAAGAGAGCGGCCGGAAGCTGCCAGACCTTTTGTCACCGCACGCATCGAACGAGATCCTCGACATGTTCAAAGACCTTGACATTTCAGTCCCGCCAAATCCTACACTGCCCAGACTCCTTGACGTACTCGCCGAGCAGTATATCGAGCCGCTCTGCGTCAAGCCGACCTTCATTACCCACCACCCTGAAGCTCTTTCACCCCTCTCGAAGTCCTACCTCGATCCCGCTACCTCGCAGCGTGTCGCCTCGCGCGTTGAACTCTTCATCAACAGCCGTGAATATGTGAACGCATATGAGGAGGAGAACTCGCCTTTCGAACAACGTCGCAAGTTCATGCAGCAGCTAGACTTTCATGTTGATGGTGAAGGAGCGATGGACGAGAGTTATCTCGAGGCTCTGGAGTGGGGCATGCCACCTACAGGTGGATGGGGCTGTGGTCTGGATAGGCTGGTCATGCTGTTCGCCTCAAAGAAGAGAATAGCAGACGTGCTGCCCTTCGGCACTCTGAGGAATGTCGTTAGCATTGCAAAGACCAAATGAACATAGCTTCCCCGCTGCAGAATCACTACATTATGCTGAACTCACTGTGCCGTCTGTTCATATCGTGACTACTTCGCCCCCCAACTCTCCAATCCCAAGCGCCAGGTTCAAAACCTTCTTGTCTGCGCCTCACACCCACATCCAACCTATCTCAGCCTATCCATCTCGCTGTGCCACATGCACATCACACGAGCCGTTCCTCACCGTTCAATCTTCCCCAACCCACACATCTTGCAACCTTAGTCTACGGCACAGTTTCCTTCCCCTCATACCGCATAAACTCAAAAGTAACATGCCCATAGCATAAACTTTCCGCCCCGCAGCGCTGCCGAGAATAAAATAGCATTACACTTTTTTCGCGAAGCGCGCGGTACCCCATAAAAAAGCTCCCGCCACCAACATTACCACATTTACATGCGCAACGACAACATACACAAGCTAGCCGCCCATCCGAAGCCATGGCCTGAGCAATCATCCGTTTGAAAAGGTCTCGCGATGATGGGCAGGTTCCTCAGGCCACAAGGCCGCATGGGTGGGAGAGGTTGGCCTTGTTTCATGCGTGCGCTCGGTTGAGTGCGATCCGCGGTGAGGCGGGAGGACTTGGCGCGCGGGCTTGGGGGTGTTAGGGAAGAGTGGAAGAATGGGTCTGGCGGTGTCATGTGAGGACTGGTGACAAATCTGGGAGCGGTGTGGAGGGGGGTTTGTAAGTCGAGAGGGCGAGAACACGCTGAACATGGGTTATGCGAAAGACGGGCGATTATGCTCGTAAGATTTGATGTACATTCTTGATTCATTGCGTGATGCTTGCGATGCTTGCGAGAAATGAGTATACACAATCATATAGTGCTATGCAACAAAAAATTGGAAAATATGTCCGACTGAACTTGTACAGATTTCAGACTCTTGAAGTTCGCCCTGGCTAACAATACACAACTCCACATATTCATATCCAATCTCTAACAACACAATCATTTAGAAATGCTCCTTCCAGAACTTGAAGTTAACCTCCTGGCACGTGGCCATCTTACACGCCTTCTTGATATCCCGCGCTGCGACGTTGGGTCCGCAGAAGTACACTCCGACTTCCGTCCTGAGCGTGCTCTCGAGACCGTTCATGTAGGTGCGGTCCAGAATGCCATCGCGCATGCCGCTCAGCAAGCGCTGGAAGTCGGGACGACCAAAGTTTGTCCGCGACTTGAGTTCGGTCAAAGGATCCTTGTCAGTGCCGACGGAGTTGAGAACAATGTTCTGTGCGGTGTTCGCGTCCATCTTCTGTGTGAGGTAGGTGTGGATGCGTAGGAACTGGTCGCCGTCGGCGCCGCCCAGGGATTGCGCTTCGAGGGAGGAGAGCAGCGTTTGGAACCACTCAAAGGAAGAAGTATCTTTGCAGACCCAGATGAATTCGACACGGCGGAGACGCTTGGGCGGGTTGGGGCTGAGGCGGAGGTGGTAGATGGACTTGAGGATAGACGCCCAGGGTGTCACACCGATACCGGTACCGATGAGCACGGCGACTTCGTTCTCGAAAACGTCTTCTGCGGGGGCTCCGTAGGGTCCGTCAATCTTGAGGCTAGGCATCTTTTGGCCGTGCTGAAGCGCGATCTCGTACATGCCCATGGGGTCGAGCTCGTCATAGAGCTTGGATTGCGATTGACCGGCACCAAGGGCATCAGCAAGAGCGCGAGTGAAGTCACCGACCTGACGGACGTGGACAGAGATGTAGGGATCGTTGGGGCAGGAAGTGATCGTAAATGGATGCCACTGGTGGTAGCTGACTTCCGGGCAGTTCAGGAAAAGCCATTGTCCTGGCTTGTACCTCATGCTGGGCTTGGTGAATTGAATCTCAACAGCATCTACTTCACGTTAGCTTGAGCCACAAATTGCAGATATAAGACCCTCTTACCGTATGGGTGGCGGACGACCTTGACTATCTTGGTTTCGCGCCTGCTGCGGACTTCACTGGTAGAGACGGTCAAAGAGGTAAAGACCACCGCCTACAAGCTCCCATCGCCAACCCTCGTAACCGATGCAGTGCGTCCAGAAGTTGTCATGATCGAAAGGTGAGAACGCAGGGGCAGTGTCACGGACGAAACAG